CACTGGAAACAACGACGGTTCCGCCTCCTCGCTCGCCAACGGCACCACCACTGCCAGCGGCGCTAATGGGCCCTCCAGCACTAACAACACCAATAACAACAACACCAGCGGTGCCGGTCCCGGCGCCCAATCCGACTGGTTCGCGCTACCGCTCGATCAGTTCTTCAACAGTTCGACGATGGGGGTTGATCAGGGACTGGGCGGGACAGGGCCGATGGTGGGTGAGTTTGATATGCTGGAGGTGTTGTTGAAGGAGCAGGATGATATGGGAGGTGGGTTTATGTAGATGTTTGGTCCTTTTTTTTTTCTTTTTTCTTATCGTTATCTTTGGAAGGTTATGGGAGTATATATCTAGGCGTTGATTGGGGTTTCGATATTACGGGTGAGGGATCTGGTGGTGTATTTGTCCCCCTTTTTTTGTTTTTCTTTGAGTGATTCTGATTCTGGTTCCCGAATTGGATTTCTGTACATTGATATTATTCTCTATCTATTATATACTTTCTTGACATATAACAAACAGTACTTAACTATGCTTATTCCATTCTACTACTCCCCAGCCCTCCCTAATCTTAATTGTTTACCTCCTCAGAGCATAGCTTTTTGTTTCTTCTCCTTTCCTTTTATTTTTATTTTTCTATTTTTTCCCCCTTCATTTTGGCGAAGAATGATCTTGCTATTGTCGTTTGATTCTTGTTCATTGATCGGCGAATCGGCAAATTAGTTCAGGTAGATGCACATATATACTGACGATCTCCGCCTTCATCCATCTATCCATCTATATATCTACATATATATATATATATATATATATATATATATATATATATATAACCACTATTGCATTCAGCTTTAATTTCAATTGGGTTTCACATCAGCTCTATTCGTCCTCATTCTCGTAACAGGATGGGATGGATGGTCTGGCAGGTATGACAGAGGCCACACTTCATCCAATCCGAAAAAGTGAATCAAGATCCGGCTGGTATGGCACAATGACTATATATGTATGATGGTAATTTTCTTGAATTAAAATAAAATTATCAATTGCCTGTTTTCAAGTTTTGGACTGGCTATGTATCCTGTATCCTTTTGTTTTGTGGATAAATCAAGCTATTTATCTCTGAACAGCGCGTTGAAGGCTCAACTGTTAAAGGGAGAAAGAAATTTTATTATTTTTGAAGAAAAAGAAAAAGTCAAACTGACACCATGGATATATATATATATACCTGTTCGCCATCTCAAAAACACCAGCAACCCAACTCCCAAAATCCCATCAGAAAATAAAACCGGGACAAGATAAAACTCATACAATTCCCTTCCTCCAGTATACTTATATATATATATATACGTAAACATATATATATATCCATCAGATATCCTGAACATCCAGCCCCCAAATTTCCCAATGTTTCAGCACATCCCACCCAACCCGCTTGAGCCGACGCCGGTAGAGCACATCTCCCTCTCCGACTTGCCCCTTGTTTATGCAATTTACCACGTTCCCGAGGGCAATACCTGAAACCGCGTTGTCTTTGCCTGGGAATGTATATGCGTGGCTGGGCTGGGATGGAGGTGCGGGTTGCTGTACTCCATTGGCTGGTACCGGGGGAGGGTGCGGAGGTTTGGAGCTGTAGTAGCCCTGGAGCTGGGCTTGGACGTGGGAGTCGGTGGGCGGGGTGGCGGCTGTTGTTGCCATTGTCGAGACGGAGGAGGCTCTGGATGGGGTGGTTGGGAATTGTGGATTTGAGGTTATTGTTGTTGTTGTGGAGGTGGAGGTGGAGGTGGAGGTGGAGATGATTGGAGTAGAAGGGGATGAGAGCGTATTTTGATTGGGATTGGGATTGATATTGATATGCGGATTGAGAGAGTGTTTGGGAATTTTATCGTTATTATCGCTACTGTGGTCGTCGCTATCTGATAGCCGTTTCCGCTTTCCTAGCGGGGATACAGGAGAAGGAGTTGGATGGTATATATTTGATGCCTGCTGAGGTCGCACAACGCCATCAGGCGGAGAGATTTTCACACCCAGCGGTTGATTATTTGAAATAGCATCTACCGCATAATGGTATTTCAATTCAATTGCATTTTCGTCTATCAAGAGGATTGCTTGGGTAGCCTCGGATGCAGGAATGGTATATAATTCACCCAACTCCCATGCTTTCCAGCCAAGGCCGATTATTTGCAGTGTTCCGAAAACTTCCATGTCTGCGAGTGTCACGCCCATTGCTTCGTTATGGATGCGGTCATCCATATCAACCACTTCAGCGATGGTGCGTGGATTAATTTCTGGCGTTTGTGGCGCATTGGCGTTGACAGCCCCATTTGACGGTGAGGTATGGTTGCCATTTGAGTCTGAAGCGGAGTAAGGAGTCGGGATAAGCAGTCTAAGTGCAACAAGTTTTCGTAAAAATGGGAGGAGTAAGCTGAGCGTTTCCATGCTGGACATCTCAGTTGCTAGAGCAAGCTGTTCTAACTGCGGACTTGCGCGTACAAGGCGTGCAATTTGGGGAGGAGTTAGAATCCATCTGGAAGGGAGGAGGAGGTGTCTAAGCGAGGACCCAAGGCTAGTTGTTATTTCTTGAATAAATGGGTCGCGAAGGTGGGGTGGAAAATTAGATCTAGTCTGTGCTGAGTCCGGTCTGAAGTTGATGATATGTACCATAGCGCTGGGGGTTTCGCTATTAGCTGAACCTGATCTCCTCCACCCGACAGACGAAGAATCCGGCGTCAGAATCGAGGAAGACTGCGAGGAGTTTCGTGGGCTGTTAATGTAATCCCCTGGGCTCCGGATACCATTCACCAGATATAACCTTTCCAAGGCTTTGAGGTAGCTAAGGTATTCGCAAACTCTTTTGTCCATACGGTCAAGTCGCATGGACTTTATATTCAGCGCGAAATTCGGCGTCGGCCAGCTATATTCCACGAAGGACATTGTATCAGCCCCGCTGGTAGGTGTTGTCAGCACAGTAATTTCTTCGAGCATGGAATAATCAACGCCAGACATGATTTCCTCCCTATGGAGCGCGTATAGGTTATGGAATGCAATCTTTCTGAGCTTCAGTGGCGATTTAGCAACAATGCACTTGCGAAAATAGTCAGAAAGCTGGACGCTCGCCTCCTGCGCCTCCCGCATCCGGGGAGACCAGTGTAGCCTCAGCTCCCGCAGCTTTTTGCTTTGATGTAGCAAAGTAGATATGTCGTCGGGGTAACAAAGGGGATCAATATCCGTAACCTTCAGAGAACGTAGATGAGGCATCGCAGGAAGAATAGCAGTTGGCCGAGGATGCCGGCTCGATGGAAACCGTACTGTTAAAGACTTCAGCTTAGGAAGCTGAGCAAGACCCTGATAAACCGTCTCCAACATTTTCGTATTTAGCTCCCAGCTATTTTTCCCAATCAGCCTATCGACATTCCCTGTTCCTCCTTTTGGCGTTCGACGCCGGATAGGACAGCATACCTGACTGATTCTAACCCTGGCATCTTATCCACCGCCGCCCTCACCACGATACTGAGCATCATCGAAGAATCCGGCACTCTGCCTACTCTCGCATGCTCCTCCAACTCATTCTCCCTCCACTCACCCCGCAGGGTCAGAGACCGGACTAGCCCACCCACATTTCGACTCACAACCGCATTGAGGGCCATGGAAAATGGGCTAGCACTGCCGCATCCCTCCACATATTCGTCGCGGTACCGGATTTTATCGTACGAAGTGAGCGTGAGGTCTTTGTAAAGTTGTGGGAGCGCCATGTAGTTCAAAACTCGACATGTACAACAGAGGCGTGCGAGGTCTGCAACATCGTCTAGCTGGGGGTGAGATTAAAGATATTTTTCAGATTTAGCAAAGAATAGGCCTCGATGGCTAAAAGAAGGTGGGGAGGGAAATTCGCAACCAAAGAACAACAGCATATAGGTACTTACATTCGCCAGGAGCATGGCAATAATATTCAAAGGCAGTGTCAAAAGCCCAGCTCGCTGACGGGCAAGGGCGAGGTACCCCCCAGCAGCTGCAAACATGTTTGCATGGACGTTCGACATCTTCTAGCGACGGAGCTCATGGAGATCGTTCGCAGTCAGTGGGTCGAGATGGACGCGTGCACCAAATCTCGCCTTCTCACTCACAGCTGGAGGAGGTGATGGGAAATGTGGTTGATGCTGTGGTCGTTCGATGTTTGCCTTGGTTTCGATATTTTGCGGTCAAAAAGGCAGGCTGCAATGGATGATGTAATGGAGGCCAACCGGACCCGGTCTCACACCCCGGCTGGGATCGCGCGGCGTTCATCCAGTAGGTAGCACGATCAGAATTATATTTCATACCATCGCATGAGGGTCTCGTTCTTCGTGCGCCTGTCTTAAACACTTCGCAGGAAGTTAATGCCTTTTCAGTCTATTCCAAGAATTGAAATTAAAATTGAAAAATGAAAGTAAATAAACAAAAACAAAAACAAAAACAAAAATACAAAATACAAAATACAAATACAAATACAAATAAAACACCACACCCCTATGCCTATTGAGTGGTGCTAAATAAATATCATGGAGACAAATAAATATATGTGTATATATATATAGCAAAAAATAACCTAATGACCCAAGATCTAATGATAAATTATCCATCCAAAAGTATCCAGCAGAGGCCAGCCCTTAACCCAATCCCTAAAAGAGAAGCCCAAGACACCCCCCAAAAATGCCGTACACCGCACATGTATATACCCCAATTGTTGTAAAGATTTGCCCACCAAGAAGTTCACATCCAAAACGAAAACTCCGCGCTAAAGTGCAAAAGCAGATAAAGCGTCATAAGACAACAACAGAAAGGCGCTCGCTAACCTCAGAAGTAAACTCCGGCCGAAGAGCGAAATTTCACACGGCTAGGTACGAACGAGGGCGGGCCATATTATATATTGGCCCGAATTTTAATATATATATTTTTTCTTTTTTTGTTTGGTTTGCTTTTAATTCTCTGCTTCCCAAGAACCTATGTGTCGCACATAGTGTCAATGTCAGCGCTGGGTTCCAAGATCCGGATCGCTGGGGTTACAATGCCCATCTCGGTCGTGACTAGGGCCTGAAAAGGAAATATTTCGACGAGTCACGGGGCGGACAGAAGATGACGATGGAGCCATTGGCTCTGTCGCAGCAGGCGTATGAAGTTCCTCATCATCCCGTGGTGGTAACGCAAGAGAGGGAGCATGTTGAGAGGAAGAGGTGGACTCAGAAGAAGCAACATCACCGCCACCCTGGGGACGACGAAGACGACCACTGCTCCCGTACCGTCTGAATAATTGCATCTTCCTCTTCTGTCACCATGGACACTTCGGGCGTCGAAAAGACCCGTCGTCCGAGCCCGCCAGCCCAGTCGTGCGAATGAGGGGAGGAATGCGACCGAAGTCCTTGTGCTGAAGATAGTAAGTTTGGCAAAGTGGCATCCGTCGGAACAGACAATGGGGACGTCGCGTCTAATGCCAATGTAGTAGTGGATCTACGATGCTCGTTCGAAGGTCCAACTTGGGGTGTTTCTGTCATTGGTCCGGGTCGACTTGACGGGCCATCTCCAGTTGATGACCTGTCCAACGGCTCGATGCTTCGCCCATTGACCAAGTCTCTAGCCTGCGTTGATGACTCTATAGTAGGTCGTGACCATGTCCTTGATAATCTCGATGGTGCTGGAATTACCATGACTGGGAGATTAGAGTTGTTTCGCATATCGTGCTGGTCATCATCGGCTGATGTCTCTTGTTCTCCATCGGACCTGCTAGGTGACTGGTCCTGGGACCCCCTTGGTGGTGCAGGAATGACGGTGACGGGTAGGGGTGCTTCAGGGTCCTTCTCGCTCGACAATTTACCTTTGTCCCAGGGCCGGTAGGCTAGGATCGTGTCAAACCTAGATTTCAGATTCCACGTTTTATCATTCGCACTACTATCGTTTGCGGAGCCAGCCGTACGCGAGCCCGATTGCAAAGTGTCCGTCACTTTTGCCTGAGCTGTTGCTACTTGCGTCGGTGGAGAAGCGCGTCTTTCCTTAAATGGGTTATTTAGCACTATCCACCTGAATCCTGAGTTCACTACCGGTATTGTCGGGGAATAGTTATGGAGATCTCTATTGATAGGAGCTGGTGGGTTAGCAGGGGCCGAAAACGCCTTTGAACGATCTTCATCTGGCGAACAATCCATTCCTGCTGAAGTAAGGCTTCCAACGGAGTGGTACCGGACTCGGTAAACTGTGCTTGCAGCACTGACAGTATCCGTTCGACTGACAGGGGTTGCCGTATTTGGGGGAGGCGTGGGATGGACATCGTCACTCCTATTAGCAGATACGCCATTTGGTGCTGTAGCTGCCGTGACCTTTGACTTCCTGGTCCTTCTCCGGGCTTTAGGTAAGCGGCTCTGGAACGTTACTCGAGTCTTCAGCGGTCGATGGGTTAGACCCATAACGCCTCCCCATCTTGAACCAGAACTTGCACTTCCTCCATCATCATATTTATCGTTATGCGAACCGGGCCAATCGACCTCCTGGGATGGAGTAACCTCCAGCATTTCGTCGCCGTCAAAAATCTCTCGCCCTAGAATCCCATCTTTCCTCTCGTCTCTTTCAAGTGCCTCAATGCGTTCGACCCACTCCCAAACAACCACACTCGCCGCTGCTGCCCCAACCCAGCGAATATACTCACCCCAGCCGGCAACGTTAGGTTTCGAAAGATCTAATACAAAGAAAACAATAGGGATAACAACTGAAACGAGAGATAACAGAGCCACCAGGCAAATGTTGCGCATTTTAGGATGGAAGAAAGCAAAGCGATGTTTAGAGAGGCCGTAAAAAATAACCCAGGCAGCGTATAATAAACTTAAAGATAGATCGAAGAGGTAATTGAGAGCTGGTATGGCCTCAACAATATGACTAGGTCGGATCGCAGCGGATGGACGGCCGAGAAAGCTGTTGAGAATACTGAATATTACATCCAGCACTATCAACGCAAAACCTGTCCATTTGATGATTACCTTTTCCTTATGGCGTGGAAACAAGCGAATCAAAGTCTGGACCTGCGCAAGCCAAAGAAAAGTGCTCGAAATAATGCGGACGACGCGAATCTCAACACCGCCAACAACTTCTTCCGTCAGTGCGCTCGAGTCCATGTATCCTCGATCATATTGCTCTTTGGCAACACGGAAGGAGTCCGCCGTCGCAATGGTAAGGGATATTGCAGTGGTAATGGCAGCCACTTTCTGTAACCACGGCCGACCACCAACCCCGATTACGGACGAGCTTCCATACGAGCCACTTAACCGTCTACGCCGGCCCAGGAAGCTCCCACCACCTCGACCACCGATGAAGAACGTGCGAGGGGTTATGAACAGGATGATGACGAGAAGGTAACTGATAACTGTGGCTGTAGCAATGACATACATCTGCGGAGAGGTGGAGGCGTAGAATGGTTCATCCATGTCAGCAATTGAGGTTGGATTGTCGAGGGTGATGATCGGCACATCCGTGCATGACTGTTTGAAGATGGCATTTTCCGTTAAGGTAATAGTGAGTGTATCGTTAATGATGATGGTTCCTATAAATACAAGCAAGACCATGAGAACCAATACGTGAAAATATCATCATCTGAGCTGGTAAATAAGGAAGGTTGGTCTGCTCTCTTTCACCTACCTCCTTTGCCCAATTTGGTAGACGGGCAAACCGGGTCAGAGCGGTCTGACTCATTGCGAGCCAGCAACCACCCTACAAAACTCATAACGTCCAGTGCCCGCAGTCCGCGGCGTTGTTCTCGAGTGCCATCCACACATTCGGGATGGCTTTTGGTGCAAAGAGCAGATCAGGCGATGGTTGGTGAAAGCGAGGGGTTTATCGGTATCCCGCGGTTTATAGCCCTTCCAATCCCACCCAGCGCTCTGTTATATACCAATTTCCCGTCTCCGCCAAAAGTCTTTTATGCCAGTGATGGTGGAAAGGGATCGTTCGCGCAGCGCTGATTCCAATGCCGTTGGGGCTGGATGGGAGAATGAGGAGGTTTTGGTTTAGGACCAACAGCCACGACCAGGCTTGTTCTCGCGCGTCTGTGTATATCTGGGGAACACAGGTGCGACTTGGTATTCCAACCGCCTGTAGGGGCAAAGCAAGATAAGGCGATACGCTGGTAGCCACTAGAAATGAGCGTCTTAGGTAGCGGTAGTGAAACTATTGCGGCCAGCCGAAACGAAATAATCTGTTGGTTCACATGTGTAAGATAAGGAATAAACATTCATCAGAGAAAAAGAAAAAGGCGCGAGAGCAAAGAACGGGAGAAAGTTAGGAGGAGTCTCTGTAGTTCGCAGCAGATATGGGTTTACCTGGTGGGCAGCAGAGGGGGAGACGGAGATGTCCCCAGGTCGATGTTCTAGTCCCGAATAGGCATCTGTGGATCCTGCGGCTCATGGGTGTTTAGTCAGCCTTGGGTACACGGGATCACCGAGTAATCGCCAGTTTAGGTTAGTGCCATCAATAGAAACCCAGTACAGCCAATAGAATGTCGCAAAAGTCGCCCGCCAGTGGATCCTTCGATAATTTAAGGTTTACAAAGCTTATAATGCCAAGACATAGTGTCCAGGATCTTGGCATTTCTTAAGGCCATTTTGCTCTCCAGGCGCGGATAGCTACAGGCCTGGCCATTATTATTTGATAAATGGACCAATGCTGAGAACTAAATTGGCCTAGTGCGCTTCCAAGCTGAGTTGGCGCTGCAACTGAAAAAGGGTGACGATGATTGCCAAAGTGTCCTAATAGACAAATCTATTATACATATTTCCACGTAGCCAAGAAGTGGTACAGAGACCAAGATGATGGTAACAAAAAAGGAAAGGAACATACAGTCATTAGATAAAGAGTGCATGTGTTAATGCCAAAGTAAGTAAAGAACTGGTTCCATTAGGAGTTAGGAATGAGAATAGCCTTTGAAATATGCAATGGTGCAAAATCTGGGTCCCCCGGATAAACAGAGGCGGGTACGGGTGGAAGCTAAATAAAACATTATACATGAACCAAAAATTGTTTAAAAGGAAAAAAGCCAATAAAAGGAAAAAAGCCAATAAAAGGGGGAAGAATAATCTGTTGAAAAGTAGTTCCAAACTGGAATAAGGGGGTATCTGATGGAGATCAATAAATTCAAACTTGTGTTCGTTTCAATCATCTGGGGTGGGTATGGTAGTTAGTAATTAATTTAAGTGCCGGAAAGAGCTAGGAAAATTGAGAAGATGTGTCGGATAAATGGGCCAGCGTAAAGAGACACGAGGTGACGGGGATAAACTGTAGCACAAAGTCGGCCGTTATATAAAATTTTTGGTTTCTATGATAGGCTGGTATCGATCGGGCCTTGGATGGGGGAATAGGAGAGGAACAATCGTGATATCAAGGACTATCGGTATGGTACGCGATCTTAGATTTCGAAGCGCTAAAGATGGAGAAGTCAATCACCGCGGCGGCGGACTGAAGGTCATATGGCTAGGCGGAAGGTATGGTGTTGACACGGTCTCTCGGACGCCTTCTTCTCTCGTCTTGATTTCTCTCTCGTCTTGGATGAGTGTGCAGCATGTACAGCATGTCGCTCGAACGCAGTCTGATGGAATGCTGCCAGGGATTCCGTACGCACGGCGTATGCGGGAGTGTTGAACTGATGCTAACAACCCTGTTTGATGTTTTTCTCTGGTTAGTTCTATGGGATGGCTGGGGTACAACGGGGAATTTGAGGGTATGGTATGAGAGGTCATAAAAAGGAACTGTGAGAGAAGCGCAGAGTGGAGCAGATACATACATTGGCATCCACAGAGCAGAGCCATCGCAGTACAAGACGCATTGCATGTTTCATAGCCAAGTAAATTCGTAGGATCCTTTCGGTCTGACTTTCTGTTCAGTCGGTACTGTGTTCGGCCATACAGAATACATGGACAAAAGAGTCCCAAGCAGCAGGTGCCTATATCCGAGCAGTCGCAAAGCCCATAGTTCCATGTATCGCCTTTCAATCGTTGAGTTGGATGCGGCACTTGGCCAGGGAAATGGCTCAAATCGTAGGTGTCCGGTATTGTAATTGGGGTCATGGGGTAAGAAGGCTTGATAGATTTAGGTCCGGGTTTGGTGAAAGAAGTATGTGATTCCAGTGGATTGGTGTCGGGCAGGATGGCCATGTCCTTTTCCCGTCGTTCTTGTTCCTGGGCGGCTGAAAGGGGCTTGTTTGCGAACTGGTCGTGTGACGGTAAGACGGCGATGCTGGGAGGGGGCTGAGGAAACGGCGCGACTTTCGAGTCGCGAGGGGCAATTGTCGTATGCTCTGGATTACTATCTGCGTATGGAGCAAACTGTGCCGGGTGCTCTGATAATGGCGGAGCTGTTTGTGTGTGAGCGTGCAGGGAGGCGGATTTCTCGGGCACATCGTGATGCACAATCGTCGGCATATTCGACGATGAGCGGGTATGAGCGTAGTGATCGAGCGGTGGCGGTAGAGGCTGGTCTGCCGCATTCACAGGCAGCGAGGGATGTCTCTGCTGCTGATCTTGTGGGGGAAATGTCGGCGCATGGAACTCAGCTGGAGTGTTTAGGTACGAATACCGGTTGCGGGAGTTCTGAGGCTCATAATTATTATTATCCGCAATAAGAACCTGCACTTGCGGCCTCATGCTGTACGGCGCTGGTTTGTCAAGAAGAAACAACAACGATCACAACAATCACGGCACAAAAGAACAAGGATATGTTCACCAGCGACACCTGGAAGCAGGGGGGCCTCCGTGGTATTCGCTGAACTTGCTGTTTCACTGGCGGTACCCCAGGAGATATACATGCATTCAGCTACGATAGCCCTGGAAGAGGTCAGTCTCTGGTGGTTGCAAGGGGCATCGTCAGCGCTTCGTGATACAGATGTGGAATGGCGGTTATATACATACTCAAAATCTCGATATCCGCGACCCTGTGGCAATTGCGAATGATGGAAAGGCTGATCAAGAGCTGGAACAGAAAATCAAGCAACAGAAGCTCGAACAACCGCCACGGCCTCGAAAAGGGTTGGTTGGCAGTTGCTAGTTAGCTCGCTCTCTCCTACGCTACGTCTACGGAGTAGATCAACAGCCTAACAAGGATCGGGATCAACAGCTCTCGACAGCAGAACGAGGCTCGCTGTGTTTGTCCGATCGGTTTGGGTCTGATGGGGGCTGAGTTAAAAATAATAACAACAACTGCACGAGAGGGAAAACATGAGGGAACACACGCACACGGTATCAAGTGGTCAAGTTGGGGGCGCTTTTGAAAGCTTTGAAAAGAATAAAAAACTAGAAATGCGCGGGAGTCCGGCTTCAATTTACCATTAATAATTATCTGTCTTTCTCCGCTCCATTCTCCTTGTCAAGAAACTTGCACCAATGGTTGGTTTATTGGCCTGGGGCACTCTGCACAAGACGAGTCTTGTAGACATGGCTCTGTCCGGGGAATGGACGGCTTCTCCCGAGCCACCCACCCCCCTCCCCTCTGCAGAGGAGCAAGCAACCCCCGGCTTGGAGATTCGTGAGCGAGCCATTATTATTTGACGAATCGCCGCCTGCAAGCCATCTGTTGGTGCTGGCTGTGGGGTGGCCACTTGCGGCCACAACAGTCACAGCAAAAACGGTGACGCCTCAGCCAGTTAGTTATAAGTTTAGCCGCTGTGGTTGGCTCTCCTGGCCCCTCGCAGTTTGGTACGCCCCAAGCAAGGATGCGACGAAGTTCCTGTGCCTCATATATTGGAGGGGAGGGGTGTTGTGCGAAGAGTTTTGAACAGATAGTTACCTTCGTAAGCTAATATCTAGGCATGGCATATGGCAAGCAGTGGTAAAATATATAAAAACCCCATCACCAGAGCCTGAATCCCACAGGCTCGAATGATCGCCTATCCTATCTATTCAAGTGGTGAGTCCTTTGCTGCTGGCTCTTATGCGCCCAAAGGCCTAAATACAGGAGCGCCTTAAATCGGCATCTCATCTCTCAAAGAATAATTCTTGTTAACCGCCTGCCAAGCGACGAACATTCGATTCATCACCATCAAAGAACCATGGGGCCCGCACGGATGGCGAAATATTGTGCATATTCCCGATATAAACAGAAGAATCTCCGAGACATGGCTTCTCCAGCAACTGACGAGGGGGAGCTGTGGTGTTTATCACAATGTCTTGGTAAACCGCTCCCCGCCCGGCCTTTCAAAGGAAATCAAGAGACCTTAGAGACCGGATTATTTAAACAAGGGTGGCAAACCTGGGTGAACCACGATGGCGGGAGCTAGGGGGAGAGATGCTCTCCCTACTCCCTACTCCGTAGTTATTTACTCCGTACAGAGGAAACAGAACAATGACAGGGGGGTCATGCGATCCCCGTCCGGCGATGATTCGATATTTAATGCGCGCGTGTGCTTTGAGGGTGTTTTGGTGATTGAAGTCAGAACTAAGGCAGAACTAACGCGGTTCTTTCACGCTTTATTCAAAGCTTCATTCGTGCCTATGATTGCCCTGCCCACACTCCTGGCATACGGGCGAACTTGTCATCGCATCACAAAGCCAAGGGGGGCCTCTCGTTGAAAATGGTTTATTTACCGTAAGACATAGCCCTAGACACACACACTGAATCTCAATATCTCGTCCACCGTGAGACTATATCTACGGCTCTTCTCTACCGACTAGTAGACAATCTGACCCCAGGAAATATATATAACTGGAGCAACCTGGGAACCCCTTTGACAAAATAAACAAGTTTTCAATCATCAACCTATTTACCTGCCAGCCAGGGGAAGCGCCCCGCTTGCACTTTAAGGATTTGCTGCATTTTTCATTTGGTTCTGAATGAAGTCCATGCATGCGTTCTGTGCTCACTACAAACAAACCATCATTCCTCTTATCATCGTCGTTTTTGCTACATGATTTCCAGGAGGCATCAGAGTAACCCATAATGATACTCCAACTGTACCGTCTACCCACCACAAGTCTGTCACTTCTTTTAACGTCTTCTCATACCAATTGGCGAATATCTCTTATGGCTGCGGCGCCCTTTAGCGCCCACAATGTCCAGTGATTGCCTTTCAAATGTGTACGTCAAAAGGGTTGTGTCTTCTCGCCTCCAACATGGAGTACGTGCGCTCGATTTTGCGGCAAAACATACCAAATTGAAACATGTCAGTTTGTCCAGATTGACAACGATACCATCCATGCAGACCTCAACCTGGCTAATAAATGTGTTGATACACAATGGCAGGTTATCTGGGTTTTGCTTAATTGGGGGTTCGCGGGTTGGCACCCTAAGTATTAGGAATATACCAAGCCATGTTAACTAACTACATGGTGTTCAAATGGCGACTGTGGGCTGGAGACGATGGAAAAGATTGTTCCCTCAATATCCTGTTGAACTTGTAAGTTGGACGGGTATTTCAAACCAATACCCTATACAGAGGCTATCTCTTCTGATCCGTATTTTTACTGTACGAAGTGTTTTAAACTATCCAATGGTAAGCGGTTAGTTCCCTAATTCCATGACTTGACCGTTCGCGTTTCCTTTCTTTTGGAAACATATCCCTATGAATACCAGTCGTCCTGCTGAGATTCTTTGGCGACACGGTCACTGGCTGCTAAGGGATGATACCCCAATTCTGAATCTGCAATGGAGGCGTGCTTCAAGTATGAGTGATAAGTGCTGATATTAACCGCCAGAGAGAGAGTGTTCAGAGTGTTCAGGGTGGGGTGGAGAAGTTTGATTTTTCTAGTTAAAAACACGGAGTGGAAAGCAGAAACCAAAAACCGCGACAGCAATAGTTCATTACGTGCATACCCTCATTTCCTGTTCAGTTCACGTATAATTGTATCTCTCAACGGCTAGAAGAGGCGAGAAAACGAATAATGGGATCGGGTGACGGAAATACCTTGGTAGCCTTCATCAAGCCCAATATTTTTCGTCTTGTTCCAGCAGGTGGGTCATTCACCCCCCTCTACCTCCCCCAATCTCATGAGGCAAAAAAAGAAAGTCTCGCAAAGAGACAATGGACGCATCGCAAACAAAACCTAGCCAGGCAAATTCAACCTATCCTACCCATCATTCGCCAAAGACCTAATCAATAGCGCAAACTCCTTCCCTACCCACTCCACATACGACTTCCATGCACGGTGATCCCCAGATGTCTCCGCGGTCGGGAACGCCTTCTGCAACTCCCGCGTAATCTTCAATACCCCCAGCGACGCACCCTGCGCCTTCTCAAGTTCCTGCTTAACTGCGTTTTCCTTAGGTTTAGTTGAGAGGACCTTGCGCAATGGTGCACTGAGGTCGTCGAGGCGGGCGCGAGTCTCATCCGGTGCGAGCGTAATTAGTTTAGAGATCATTAGGTTGGATATGGTGCGGATGTCCTGCTCGTCTCCGATGCCGGTGATGATTCGGTCGAAGATTTCGGAGATGTTCATGGTGTTGAAGGCTATTTCTAGACATGCGTAGAGCGTTTCGTAGGCGCTCTGTTTTTGTGGTTCGAAGTTGTTAGCAGAGTAAGTTGGGATATAAAGTAATTTTTGCTCCTGGGGTGATTCCGCTCACCTTTCGAACTTCTAGACCATCATCGACTCTATGTCTAAAGGGGCCCATTTGAACTTCCCTGACAAGTGTAGGGTTGATTAGGGTATCGTTGATAACTGCGGGTAAGATTTTGTTGAGATGTGGGACGATGAGGTTAGTCTTGTTGTGGATGGCGGAATTCACGGTAGTTAGGGCTAGACGATGATTTCCAAGATCCGTATCGTTCAGCATGGAGACCAACACTGGAATGATCAGTGGGCGCAGGACGTCGTTGTAGGCATCGCTAGCGTCGGCAAGGGTGTACCGGAAAGCTGATATGACTGTGCCTCTGATAGCAGGGTTTTCATTTGACAGGTATTCCTAAGAAGAGTATTTGGTTAGTGACAATCGCGTGCATCAACTGCGTTCTGCTGGTTGCTTTACCTGAAGTAAGGGGATATAGGAGGTCGGCTCGATGAGAGCCAATCTTCCAATACATTCCGCGCCCACTGCGCGGTTATCTTCGTCATCAGAAGCTGTGAGGAGTCGCTGCCAAAGGCGTGTGGCAAATGGTGCGACGTCAGGCCGGACACTTTCAGGATGTTGTAGGATCTCCTTTAGAGAATGGAGAAGGAGATACTTTGACGATGTGGACTTCTCCAGACCTTCTAGGATAACTGGGAGATATGTTTTGATATTGCTCGCGCCAGCATTTCCAAGGGCGATGGCAGCGGAGAGCCGTACTTTGTCAGACTTGGAATTGAAATTCGAGATAAAAGTTTCGGGAACTAAGGGACACGCAGATCCCATGCGAAGGCCAACTTCTCCCAAGACAGCGAGGGCAAGACATTTGCGTTGAGTGTCTTGCGCCGTTTGAAGTTCTGTCAGGAAGTCTTCCATTTTGACTCCAATCTTTGGACCGCCATATACAAGTAGTGTTCCAATGGTTCTTCCGACAACAGCAGGGTCTCCATTGACACCGACATCCCGTAAAAACGCCTGCATAAGTGGAGTTCCCGCTCCTTGCTCCCCGATCACTCGGACTAAAAGCAAAAATGCCTTTAGAACTGTTCCCACCAAAGGTGCCTGCACAACAGAACACAAAGCAGCCACGATTCTGCTGTTGATAAGTTGTTGCGCATTGCCAGGAATTACTTTGCCGAGGATAATGAGGGTTGGAGTGAGCAGATGAAGGTCTTCAGTATTGAGAAGAGGTAGGAGAAAGCTGGCCAGTTCTTGTATTGTCTTTTGGTCGTAGAGGGCCCGGGTATGTGGGTTCATTGCAAGACTTTTGAGCGCCTCTAAACAAGAGCCCCGTAGCGCGCGGTCGGATTTCCGAAGCTGGGTTCCAAGCTCCAGTGTCACGTCACGGACCCAGGGAGATGTGACATCGTCAGGGCCACTAGCAAGCAAAGTAATATCATCAATGGCACGAGCTGTTGCAAGCCTTGTTGTTTCGTTTCGCAGGCGTTCGACTAGCAGTGACAAGCCCGCAGCGCGCTGAACGGGTGAGATGAACTTGGACCCCTGTGCTCCGGAAGTGCGACCTAGCAATACGCCAAGGACGTGGATCGCTCGCTGACGAACTTCTAGATCAGAGCTGTTGTCCGCAATTCTCTCAACGATGATGTCGAACAACTTCTCCAACTGCGGCCCAAGGTCATGTTCAGTGGCAGATACGCGAGGTGGCGTCAAGGCCTTCTCGATTTGTTCCACGGCTCCTAGAGCTTCACTTGCAACCCTGTAATTCTTGTCATTCGCCGCGCTAACAACTCCAGGGATTAGCGCAATGAGGAACGGCAGGAGCGCATTGGACGCATGGGTCTCCGAGATCGCAGCAATTAGACTAAGAGTTTCTATCTGCAAGCTGCCAGCGCTGACGGATGATGTACCAGCAGAGACAGAAAAGCCTCCTGATAACGCAGAGGTCTTTAAGGCGTCTGCGATCGGGTCTTCAATCTGCTGTAGGAAATCGTTAAGTCCACCGTACCGAACAAGGGCAAGACTTTTCAATAGTGATATCGCGGCCTGCTTCAATGGTATTGACGCCCGTTTCCATAGCTTGACAATATTCTGGATGATACTAGGAGTCAACTTTGCAATTTCTGCCTGAGGAACCGAATTTGGTGTCGAGGGAATAGTAATTGGTGAACTCATGACAGATGAAGATGCGACCTCCGACTCCAAATCAAACAAGTTAGCATCGCTGTCCTGTCTTCTTCTCTTTCTAGATGTTTTTCCCTTTCCAAAAGCATCGGAAAAGAGTATGTCAGGATTGATCGCGGCTGAGATCTCGCCAGTTTTCCTGACAAGGCAAGTCATGCTAGCAACAACTTCTAGTTTGACTGATTCCTCTCTTTCCCTAGTGAACCTCGCGAGGAGAGCAGGTGCAATTCGTTGATATATAGGGCCGCCCTCTAGGACTTTCACACTATTCGCCTGAGTTGCGATGATTGTGTATAACACCTTGGCAGCGCATCGACGGACCTTCCAGCTCATATCATCTATGTCACTGTATCCCTCTTCCTCTTCAAAGTCATCAAAGGCATCATTGTCGTCATCGGGCTCCTCAGTTGCCCCATCATCACTACCCTCATCCTGCGTCCCACCCATTTCCTCGTCTTCAACTTCAGCTACATTGGGGTCATACTTGAGGTAACGCAACGCAGCGTCTATGGCATCACCGATGTACGGCTGCATTTCATTGCTACAAGATCCAAGTAAAGCCTCCAGCGTTACTAGGGCCGTTTCGCGTAATTCGTCTTCTTCCGGGTCGTGCTCTCCTGTATCCGACTCACCGTCTCGCATTTCATTCAGTTCTTGTTCGCTGACAGCTGAGAGCACAAAGGGGGCCAATGTCTTCAAATAAGGGCCGAATTTGGCAGGGATTGATCTAGCCAACGCTGCTATTGTCCCAATGAGATGTCGACGGTGGATTGATGTGAGGTGTGATGATCGAAAGCTTTCTATCAGTGTTGAAACGAACTTGCTGAGCTGCGCATCGGAGAAGTGTGCCAAGAGACCTGAGATGGCCGTCAACGCCCGTTTTATTACCACCGTTCCCGCGTTATCATTTTCAACAATAGCCATCACTGTCTCCTCCAGAGAAACTAGCTCCCTCTCGTTGAGCATCGGGCCAAAATTCTTCACAACTTCGATCAACACATCGAGGGCTTCGCTGCTGTATCCCTTTTCAGGATCATTTGCCAACATTCCCTTCACCGTAGATTGCCCATTAGCTGCCACGGTTTCTTCTACAAGCCTTGGAATCAAAACCTTGGATACTGCCATGTATCCTGCCTGGGATTCTCGAGAAGGAGGGGCGCCGGGATCCGGACGAGGCAAAGCTGCCAGGATGATTCTAAGTGCGGTATTGGGTACGGAGGTATCAATGGTCTGAGAGGCCGTCATGTAAGTGAGTTTGTCGATTAGGGGTGTTACTATTTCCGGAGGAAGGCGAGTGACAAGTGGTTTTAGGCTGCGTAAAGAGGTAGGAAGAAGAGAGTCATTTTTAGTCACCAAAGCTGCACTCCAAAAAAGAAATAGCATGTAGGGTGGTTTTGTTCTCCCCCGCTTCCTTTCTAGTTCAATTAGACATACCATTTCAATGCCTGGTTTTGCACCTCGCCATGTTGATCCTCGAGGGCTTTCAGCAGACCCTCCACTAGCCTTGAACATGAATGGACATCCTGGGACAGGTAGGCGGAGTTGGCTTGTTCGATGGTGGTCAACAAGTCGTTGAGGGACATGTAGCGGATATCCGGGTCAGGATCTGTCAGCTTTCCAAGCAGAGCGTTCAAACTCTGCTGGATCGTTTGTCTATCATATGCCATGGTGTTCTGTTCCCTGCGGTAAGGGGGGAGGGTGGGGTAATCAATCACTCTGGTAGTCGGCCGGATTGATGTAAGTAGTAGATGCTATCAGTGAAGGAATGTGTTAATATCCTCACAGTACGGTCGCTTGAGTACTGAGATCTACCTGGATCCAGAATTGGAGCGGGAGAACATACAGATTGAAAGCTGTGTTGCGTTGGGTGGAGGCAACGAGGGTTACCAAGTTAGCTCTGGAGCTATATGCAAATCCACATAATGTCAGGCAGCAAAGTGGGGGAAAGGAACCGGTATGGCAAGGTTGCCAGACGCTGCTGACCAGACTAGAAAATCAGCAAAAGAACCGCGCGGATGACTGTGTACAAAGAGAAGTCTTCTCTTTCTGCGTTGGAGTTGTATGTGTTGTTGGGATGGGGAGTCTTTTAGATTGTATGTAGATCAAAGAGTCCCCGCGGTTGACTAGGGCGGCGGAGAGAGTCTGTAACTGGTTGTAAGCCTTATTTAATTAACTAGACACAGTTAATTTTTATTATCCAGGTTCTACTTTTCTATCCTTAATCTTATCCAAAATAACAACATCTTGCCAACAAACAGTCCGAATCCCCTCGTTTCTTCAACCATCCCTCTCAACCTCCCAGCCTCCCTCGCTCAAAAATACCTGGAAATACCTTTCCAGTCACGTGTTCCCATGATCGGAACCTCACAGCCCAAGGTATAACGTCAGAATCGCCAAGACTTGTTTATTTACCAAACGGGGAACTTTCCACCTCCAGCCGCTTCCATTTTCTCACTCCGTCGGTCTTGCTCGTATCAATCAAGCCCGCAAGAAACATCCCAATTACACCCCCAATTATATACACCCAATTATATACCCAATTGCATCTCAATTGCAGTCGAACCACTCCAACAACGTCTCTCCTCCAGTTGCCCATCATGGTTCTCCCTCGCTCCACCCTCTTCCGCACACTGTTCACTGCCCAGCAGTCTACGAGAATAGCCGGGTCCCGAGCTTCGTCCCGGGTTTGGCAACAGGCCACAAGAAGATACGCGTCTGGCGGTAGTGAATTCAAGAAAAACAGCGACTTGCCATGGTATGTCCTATATGTATATCTTCTACAATTGAATGGCCAAAAAGCAAAGCAAATGGCCATTCAATTTCGGGGAGGGGGGAAAATCTTAAATACAGTCCCTGCTCTCATATACGGACTGCATCTATTTCGCCGGTACACAGAAGCGCTAACCATGTGCCGCGCGAGATCATTACCATTATTTTAGGATAATTGGCTCCGTTGGAATCACAGTGCCTGCCGCCTACTACCTCCTTGCCGACACCCCAAAGAACCCCGCCCACGCTGAAGTATATGTGCCCACTCCCAAGGACTCCGAAGAGCCCCATGTATCAGAAAAGCAGGCTACAAAGGAAGCTGAAGAAGAGGAAGAAACGGGCAAGACTGAGCCAGAACACGACTCTGCTCCTTCGCAAAGAGAATCGGATCAATCCGTACGCGGCAGCGAGGCGGAACCTGAGGAACCTGAGGAGAAATCCACTGCTTCCGAGTCCGTGAAGACTGCTGAGCAGGGCGAGTCTGCATCGTCAGCTCCTGCGGAGGATATTGAGTCTGAGAAGAAAGAAGTACATTAAAATGTTAATCTTATTGTCTCTGTTATAGTTTCCATAGGCAATTCCAATATATGTACAAATATGTAGAAATGTCTCTCCCATTCTGTATATGCTCATAAAGCACCTATGTATCTAATCCCTCCACACACTACAATGTAACTTCAACTCGCTCACACTATAATTTAAGAAATAAAAGTAATAATTTCACTGAGAAATATATTATTTTAAAATTACTCATTTTTTATAAGGAAAGAAATATTTACTCAATCAGTTAAATCAGCTGAATAGAATATTTTATTTATTTTATTTTCACAGTACTAAAATCTGAATAAATACTGAGTAGTGATTACATTTATTTATTCTTTAAATTAGAAAGTAATATATTATTGATGAATATATTATAAATGTGTATATAATGTGTTTTCACTCTTATTAATCATTAATAATATCTGAAAGAAAAAAGAAACACTGTCAGCAGTGCAGCACAATAAGAGAAAGAGTTGTTTTAAATGAAATTCAGTATAAGCACGAGCAGTCAACACATGTAACTGTAACAGAAGAGAAATTGAACTGGCCTTGCATTATAATGCTGAGAAAAGAGAGAAAAATAGTCAGTATTATAAAGCAATAAGAAGAAAATTTTTATATCTTGATACAATAGTGTAAGATATCATTGATGAGATAATAAATGATTAAATCAAGAATGAGAGAATGATCAAGAAGAACAGACAGAGAATAATTCATTTGAAAAACAAGTAAATTATGAAGATTCAGTGAATATCAAGAGTCAATTGTAAAGGCAACAAGAGCTCAGCTACTGTTTACAACTGAAAAGCAATAGAGAATGAATGAGCAAACAAGACTGTCAGTGAGTTCAATTGAGTGTGTTAAATTGCAGTGACACAGCAACAAACACAGTACTCTGTATAGCAAGACAGAATGATGAAAAAGTGAGAGAGAGAGAGAGAAAGAGCAGCAAAGATGAGTCTTTTATGTTGAAGAGCAGTGAGAGGAGATTACATGACAGTGTATCAGAGTGCCAAACCTAGACAGGCAAAACTAACTGCATCAAGTAATTCACAGGTCCCCTGTTTACATTATACATATATACAGATACATGGTTAGTAGTAACACAGTATTCCGAACCGAAAGAGGAAAAGAAAGAAAGGAAACTCTCCCTCTCACCACAGAGAAAGAAAGGAAGGAGAGCAATAGACAAAAGCAAAAACGCTAAGTTGACGGAAATCATAACAAGGGAGGGAGGGATATGGGGGATAGAGAAGGGATGGGAAGGGGAAGAGAAGACGAATTATTAAATAATTACATGATATAGTTAGAATGCCAGACTTCATCCTGTATACCCAACCTGGGGTTTTCCCACCGCGCTCCCTCCATTTCACACCTGTTCATTACCTGCCTTTCTCACAAATATTTAATAGGAAAACAGACATTAATAAATATGTGTATGGGTTAAACAAAGACAGAAAGGAAAGAAAAGAAGAAGACGAAAAAGAAAAGAAAAATCTACCGTCACCAATGCAAATGCAAAAAAGTAACAAGCATAATCGCGGAAAACAAAACAAATTCGTTCAGCAGGGGCGCGAAAGGGGTATTTCTTCTCTTTGATTTATCCTGCAGAACAACATATCGTATCCCCTGGGGAATGCATGACAATCATCACTGCATATCCAGATCGGTTACCATGGCCAAGCCGAAAAACCGCACTCTTTCAACAATGCATACGGGAGAGGTTTTGTGGGAGGTAGAGACAAGGCCCATCTCACAACCCCACTACTTATAATTGCGACGAATCTCCATTAGCCGCATCGTTCTCCTTCTGCTTCGCCGTCCTCCTCGTAACACGTACTCCCTCCGCGACAGCGGTGCCATTCTTATTCGTCATAGCCGAGCTGACAGCTCCATCTCCAGCTCCAGTTGCAGCAATTTTGTCTCCAATTTGAGCATCTTTGGGAGGCGTGGACTGTTCCTCCAGCTCCTCCTCGTCCTCATCGTCACTCCGTTCGTCCTTCTTCACATCGCTGAGGACGTAGTTCTTCGCGATGCGGAGGATCAGGAACAGCCACAGTAGGTTGATGGCTTGGAGTGCGCTTAGCAGGCCAAAGGTAATAACTTGACTAAGACGGCATTTATACTGTTGGGTTTCCCAATTGAGCTCGAAGGGCCCGACGGTTTGAAATTCAGTGAGAACGGCCCAGAGGATGCGGAGATTGAGGTAATGGCGCATGTATATCCAGATGCAGATGAAGGTAAGGAAGTATGGGCCGATGATGGCGGAGTCCAGGTAATTGAGAGTTTTGGAGGTCTAAAATAGTGGTGAAAATTGTTAGTCCAAAAAGATATAAAATATATATATAAAAGTTAGAACAAAAAAGAAATAAGGACATACCGCAATGAAGAAGTCCGAAACATCATGAGTGATATACACGGCCAAGCCAATATGAGTGAAATGGAAGCGGTAACTGAGCCCAATAAGCGCCAGGGTAATAATATGATGCGCGACCAGCTCCCTGAAATCCTTCCTGGGCTTCTCCAGCATCAGAAGCAGCACAATCGCCTGCTGCGCCCAGTAACTCGCCTCGAGCAGGTAGTACGCCTTGAAATCCGCCGTGTGCATCTTATGCGGGAACCCTTCAAACATCGCCGTCGTGTTAAAGTACCAGAGATCCGTCTTGCTCATGACGTAGAGCCCAAACGGGCCGAAAAACGCAAAATAGATCGCCGTGTACACCTGCTCCATGAAGCGCGCCATCTTGCCCTTGCCCTTGATCCCGCAGTATACACCCCACGGCCGAATGATGCGCTGCATGATGAATTCGCGCGTGAATGACAGAACGATCGTGTAGAAGCCGACGAAGGCCAGATCCTTTTTGCCCTTGCCGTACATGATGGGTCCATCGGGGGTTTCAGGGGAGTTCGGGTATGAGAGGAGGATAGCGGCATGGGCTGGGTTGGATTCCGTCGGGTTCACTATGTATACGGCGAGGATGATGAGGATTAGGACGAGCGGTGTCAGCCAGGTGTGTTTGAGGGAGATGTCTTTCCATCGTCGGAAGAAGGACCGCGCCCGACGTCGCTTCGAGTGTGATTTTCCGCTCTTCTCGGACGCTCCACGCTGTGTTTGCCGCGCCTGTCATTAGATTAGTAAAACACGAAGCGGACGATAGAGAATTTTCAATTGGGGGGGCATTTTTCAATGTTGAACAAGGGGGCGATGAAGAGAAAATGCTTTGCGGGGAATCCGTGGACACACATACCGAAGGAGGCTCAGGGGAAGTGAAAGAATTCATGGTTGACATGGCCGGGGCTCCGGTATCTCCTCTGATATCTGCACCGAGATTACTGGATTTCCGTGGTCGCGTCATCGAAGCCGACTACTTCCAAGGAAGAAAAAAGAAAAAGAAATAGGAAAAAAGGGGAAGAAGGGGAAACGGAGAAAGGACGTGTGGAATGTGGAGGCGGATTGACCAAAGGATCGAAAATCCCGTTCCCTCTGTTTTTTGGCCCGTCACGACCCACAAGAAGCCGCTAACGTCTTGGAACTTCCTCGGGGCGTTCTTGGCCTTTGTTTTTTTCGGGCTCGTTTTTGATCTTTTGACTTTTGTTTTTTAGTTCCCGAGATCAGCCCTTCCCCCAGCAGAACACACAAACACGGGCGCAGATGTCCACAGACAGCGGGAGACAGCGGCGAGGGTAGACAGAGGCGAATTTGATTGACTAGAACGTCGAGAAGGGATTGGAAGATGCTCGTGTAGAGCAATGAGAGTATAACTGCTTCCTGTACCTACCTGTCTATCTTGCTCGGTCAATCAAATAATTAGTTATATCCCTAATTATATCCTTGTCCATTTTCGCGGTGGTTCAGGGGCTTTCGGAGACAAAGTTGTTCCGTGTCCGGCCGTTGGCCGTCACGTGGAAATGGCTTTAACTAAACTCTATGTATGTTTATCTCAGCAAGCTCAGACGCTTCTCCAGATATTTATTGCTGTTTTAACACTGGATTGATGATTATGTCATGAGCTAACCTCAAATAAGCAATAAGCTAACCCAAATAGTAAAATCAGGTCATGTGAGTGATGATATCTTGCGAAGCATCTGAGAAGAAACAGTTCCTGATTGTTAGCAACACGGGAAGGATTTGCTCAGTACCCTGAGTATGAAAGAGAATTCCAACTCAACTTCATAGATTCATCATTTCTGTATCACCTTGGAACCTTAGAATAACAATGTTCTCGCGATGTATCTGATTTTTATATTCATATCTCAAGTTCTTAGGATAGAAGTATCACCTCAAAGTTGACCAGTGTGTTTTTGAACACAGGAATTTTGATCCAATTCCTCATACAAAAAAAAGCTCTTAGAAATTCTGAGATCAAAAAATATGATCATTTTCAAGAGTATACATCTATCTTAAATATAGATTTTTTTGAAATATTAAAGAAATATTTCTATTCTTCTTCTCTTTAGCTATAAGCTAAGGTGATTTTCAAATCTCAAAGATATGTGGGTATATAGTAATAGAAAGTCAAAGTTGAAGAATCTGAAAAATCCTTGTAAATCTCAGGAATCTCCATTGAAGATGGAACCATTTCTTCTCAGACCCTCTGGCGAGGATTGCTCTGAGCACATGACTTGTATCAAAAGTAGGTTAGTGTCATGCCGGATTAACTAGTTAATAATAATGCTGCAACCCGTTCAAACCGAGCCAGAGGTCTGAGCCCGCTGAGATAAATGTATGTATATGAAGTTTCTATACATTCGAATGAGATAATATCTGGACAAAGAAACCAAAACAACAACAAAACTGAAAACGAAAGCGAGCTTCACTCCAGTCCCCTGCCCCACGCTACACCAGCTTAACAGTAGGGAGTTCTGCCATATGCAACCTCGCTCCTCCATATGGCACTAAATTGATCTCGAAAGGCCTCCCAATACACTCCCGCTGCCCTACCAAGGGGGGCTCCGGCGCATACCCACGCTCCTTGGGCTCTGTCAACTCCCACTTGATCTCGCACACCATCGCCGAAATCGAAGTCGGTGTCTCCTTTTCCGCCCAGAGAGGGTTAGGTAGACGACTTACGTTGTTGGGTGCATCAGAAGCGGGTGCCAGCCCGTTGAAGCGGACTGTCGATGGATCAATCGCCAGCCCCCATTTCGAGGTTGGTTTCATCGTGTATTCCTGAGCATTGTTCGGTGCGCCGGGGTAATTGGTCTTCACGCTGGTGATTTGTGCGTCGATTGGGAGGGAGTAGAGGAGCGCTCCGTGGTAAATTGCGACGGTGTCGTTGGCACGCGGCTCGACGCGGACTGCGGTCGCAAAGGAGACGATGACTACATGTTTCCCTGGAGTTAAGTCGACGTGGTGCATTCCTGTCGCTGGGTTTGGCTGCAACAGAGAACCTGGAGCGCCATCAATGGACACCGAGGACTCGACGTTGTTTGCCCACAGAGGAACCCTGAAAGAAAATGTAAACTGCCCCCCTGCGTCGACCCTGTAGTACAATACATTCTCGAATGGATAGTTTGTTTCGCATCTGATATTTGCTTTAGTCCCCGACCTTGTTCTGGTTTGAACCTCAGCTGGCCCAAGTAGCGCATGCGCAATGCCAACCTCGCCGTTCCGCACGAACATGCCGGACACGAATTTGGGATATCCTTGATGGTGGTTGACAGTACAGCAGGGGTAATTAGGCTGTAGGCCAAACGTTTGCGCTCGAGATCCAACGTTAAACCACGGTGTAGGGTTGACTTCGTGGGAGACGGGCTGGTTGATCTGAGCTATGTACTGGTGAGCCCACCAGTCCGGGGTCACCATGACAGGAAGCGCGTTGAAGGCTGCTAGTTCGCATCTGTCTGCAAAGTCCCGATCTCCAATAGACTGGTAGAGGTAACTGAGCGAGTACATTGACTCGACAACAGAGCACAACTCCGTGCCTCGCACTGGGCTTAAACCTACGAGTCGCTCATCCGCAATGATACCCCCAGACGGGCCACCATGATAAAGGAACGTCCAATTAACGCCCCTCCGAGCAGACTCCAACAGAGCGTCGTCATGTGTAAACCTCCTGATAACTGCACCAGCCTTTAAGCCCTGTCCAGCATTGACCCCATGCACGAAATGATATAACCTGTCAGTCTCCTTTCGAGGCATAGTATCAAGATCTACCTTGATATAATTTTCCTCAGAGAACCACCAAGACCAGTCATGTCCTCCTTTCCTGAAAAACTCCATACATTCAAACAATTTGCCGGCATTCTCCCTGGGATCGGTCTCATAAAGCCACTGCAGAGCTAATATCATATCCGCCGCCCGAGATCGGCCCCACTGCTCATTGAAATCATCACCCTCGTGCCAAACCAACCCTTGCAAATTGTTAGACAGCATCGAATGCATCAGCTGAACAAACTTGTGCATCGCATTCAAAATCCTTTCTGCCTCAGGAGTGCCAGCCTGCGCTTCTACCATTTGCGCAAACCCCAAGAAGATAGGATACCTAGCCCAAAAGTTCCTTCGGGGCACTGTAGTTTCGGGCCCCAGCCAGCCATCCGGCTGTTGGTTGGTGAGTATGTAGTCTGCTGCCTTCCGGACCTGCTCGAGCAGTCGCTTATCCTGGGTCTGGTAGGCGAGCGGAACCAGTCCGTTGAACCAGTAGGGCATAGCCTCGTTGAGGTTGCTGTACTCGCGGGTCCCGCCCAGCCAGGGATTGTCGCGGACAATTTGGTAAAATTCAAACTCATGGCCTGCGAGGCCGTTGGCCATCAGCGTCAACTGATCACTCAGCCAGCCTAGCGGCTTGATTGCACCCAGCGGGAGCGGTTCGAAGACAAAAGGTAGCAGACCTGTAAACAATATTAGTAGGGAAGCCTATCCTAAGAGCCATGATACATAACATGAGTCGCTGGAACGCACCGCATGTTTCATTTTGATTACCCATGTTGTTATTCCCGTCGCTATCCATGATGATTCTCTGGTCCTCAGACCTAGCGATGTCCACACTCGGCCTGTAATCTACTTCCCCAGTTACCAGGAGAGAAAACAAGAGCAGCAAGACATGGGGAATATATAGGTATTTGAAAAATAATGGAAAAGCCGTTGAATTAGAGGCCATGTCGCTTTCTGGTCACTCTGTGTTTATCTCTGCTCTTGTCTTTCTCCTTAGTCTTCTCCCTCTTCCTATTCCTCCTCTTCTCTTCCTCCCCCCGTCCTGCTTGGTCTAAACAGCGCAAAGCTTATATGGTTCAGTTTTAACCTTTTCGCCGAATCAGCAACCAAAGTGCCGTGCCCCCCCCAGCCGTAGTTGGACTCGGACAGCGATGAGACGTGTGTGTTGCCGAACGAGGCGCGGGGAAACGGGTAGATCTCGTATCCAACACTCAAAGCCCCAATCCAGAAGAACGACAGAGGAGATCTAGATAAATAAACACATCCCAGTGATTCAATGCGTTTGTCTGGCTGGGACTGGAGGCAGGAAGAGGAGGTCTGCGGGGGAACCTTGGAACATCCGGGGAAGGTCTAAGTTACTCGTAAATAACTAAAATAACTTTGGCCGGCTTGGCATGTTACATAGTTGCTTTAGTTCCAAGGTTGGTTTCGGCCATTCAAGTGACGATTTATATGTATGTACATATATATACTCCGTACATTCGGAGTATATTGGGACCAGGTTTCATCATCATGTGTTGCTTGGTTACTTCCCTTCTAAAATGGAGTACATGTACATGTTCCATACATACATACATCCATCCCATCATGGATGCTTCTTAAACCAGTTTCCTGGAGGGTGTGGGTGAACTTTGTGCATAATAAGATGAAACCTTGCTGCACATATAAGGAATACAAGTATATATAGGGTCATTCTGACTATTATACTTGTAGAGGCACAACATATGTAGCCTACCTTGAAGTTGATCAGACGAGATGGATCGGCATAATTGGTAGTTACTGTACACATACATTTTATAGCAGTCGATATGCCGCCATTCCCTAATCAATCCCACCCTCTCTGCCTACACCACTATTACTATTACTAGGATTAAGATGAGATAGAATGCCAACTTTATTTTACACAGAGCACATGTGCAGCTCGTTGAGGGTGTTTTATAGCGTATCTTTTGAAGACTTTTGGATGAGTACTACAAGCCCTGAATAGAAAATATAGCTTGGTCCTTGATCATAAAACCAACTATGACAAGTCAAAGTGCATGAGAAGCACATTGGTCTGTTGATCCATTGATATTGTTTTGGTGCTTTCTTGTCAGGTAACTAAGTGAGTTTTCATAATCAGGAGTATTTTTTCAAATTGCACTTTAGTAGGAGAGTTCTTAAAGAGAGAAGCTGATGTAATTGAAAAGACATCCAAGAACATATTGTTTTGTTTGAGTATAATAAGTTAACTACCTTTCATGCTATAAACAATCTAGTAACAACCTGCTTTGATGTTGTACAACTTGAATGAGTTTGTTCTACCTTGAAACCCCTCATGCAATTATTATTTTTTATTCCTTATGGTCTGCAGGCTACATTCAGGCTTGACTAATGAGTCTAAAAAATGGGACATGTTCGGCAATCTGACTATAATGCTCCGTAGATGACTCGATGAGCTGCCTTAGAACATCTTTATTGTTGATTAGAGGTGAGGATGCAGCGGGGAGTTAAATATGTGGGCGCTAAAATAGTTTGTTTGAGCCCCATTATTTATCAAAGCAACGGCCAAACTGCAACCTCATTTTCAAGAATGCCTACACAATAACTAGTTACGCTGCCCATAACTAGCCCAGGGGATTAAAGCCACAATGTGTGACCACATCCGTAGTTAGGAGTGGAGCGTGTCAAACATCCCCAACTTTCCCCTAACCATACTACAGATATATTGCGGTCAAGGAGTTCTTCGGGGGTGGTTTTGCAACTATGGATCGTGCCAGCACTCGCCAGATTCGGTCTGCCTGTGACCGGTGCCACTCGCAGAAGCTTCGATGCGAGAGACAGCAAGGCGGCCACAGCTGTTTGAGATGCTCTCGGACTGAGGCCCCGTGTGTCTACAGCGTACGGCAGCCGAGGACTGTATTTCGACCGCCCCGCCCTCGTTCAAAAAGGCGAAGAACACAGGATCGTGTTGAGGATGGAGATGGCAGCCGGGAACTAAATATGAACACTCAACTCGAGAACCCCTTTGGCAGTGCGGTTGCTGAAGAGAGTAAGTGTGCATTCACAATTTCTTGTCCTACACTGAACAATTAAATACTTCCATGCAAAACTGTTCCTACCGCAATGCTATTCTAGCTGTGTGCGCCTACGTTCTTTATTACCGTTTTAGAGCAAGCTAATAGATAATATTACCAGCGCCCGATGGCACATACCCGGCAGCTTTCGACCCTACATTTGGCCAATGGCCTGAAACTCTCCAGTTGCCTCAAGACATATCAGTTCCAGTGTGTGATCAGTTGTCACTTCCGGACTTCAGCAACAGTTTTGTTGAACCCATCCTGCCCATCCCTAGCCAAACTTTGACAGACAGGAGTCAGGCCATACCTCGCATTCTGGAGGATAGACCAAGCGTGACGCTTCAGCACGTTCGAAAGTTGGCAGATTTAAATGTAAAGCTGTGTGAGCATGTCGCAAAAATGCCACTTGTCTCTGCTAACCTATCCGAGGTACAAATCTTGGTTGCCAACCGCATTTTTGAGATTGACGAAACCTTTGGTCTCATCCAAACCTTGCTAGATGTCACAAGTGACATTTATTCGCATAGTATCTTGCCATCCGAAAAACGACCTCCCGCAGAAGGGATCTTGCCAACCCCCTCGTCATCGTCTTTATTTTCTCACAACAACCAAAAGGATCAACCATCCGCCGCCACGAGCCCATCAGCAGGCACCAGCCCAGATAGCTACGTTCCAGATCGAGCCACCTTTCTCCTCATATTGTCCTGCTACGATCGCGTGATGGACATCTGCCAGTGTCTTTTTATTCATATCGAATGCTGCATCAAAAACCTCGCTACACCCATGGGAACTGAAGCACAGGTTGCGCAGTTACCAGAACTCAGAATCGGATCCTACAAACCCCCCATTTCGTCCGCGGTTGCCATGAAAATGTTCCTCTTCCATACCATGGCACGTCAACTTCTCGTGCAGCTGCGGACCGTTTTGGGGGCACACGAGTCCAAAACCACCGCCACCACCACCACTGCAGCCGGGAGAGAGGGGCAGGAACGAGAACGGGGCATGAATGTTCTTAGAGACGGGACAGACGGATATTGTACGCGGCCGTTCGGGGACGACAGCTACCGAGGTCGGCACGCCGATATTCCACAAGGCTACTACTGCTATACGAATGCAGAAGCTACACCACGTATTGACCTTGTAGACAAGAGTCGCCATGATATATTGACTCGCGCCTGTGGGATATCTGAACAGGTTACCAGTATAGGGAAATTGCTGATGGATATGTCAATCCCCAGTCAGATATTTCGCCCTGATCAATTGTGAGAATAAGGGCTGGACTGTAATCGCCAACCATGCAATTCCAATTCTGCAACATGGAGGACGGAACTTGCCCATGATTCACGGTCTTTATCACGTAGATTTTAAGATTGGGGGGATGAAAAAACTGAAAAGCCGGCCTAAATCGGCACCACAACGCAGGGGATTCTCTAGCTAGGACCTAGAGCGACAATTGCCAGACAGACAGACACGAGATCATCGACACGCTTCCTGAACCCTTCAAAATCCCACTTAATCCACAGTGTAATTTGGCCACACTGATTGGAAGTAGCTCCGCGTCGTTTGTTCATTGCCATTCATTCCTCCATCAAAAAACGACATCATCAAAATTGAGGACTTTTTAAAGTTTTTTCGGCTTTCTGCGTCTAGGTTCATAGTCGGTCCTTCGCCTCTTCAGTTAAGCATTCAACGCCTTGCTTTTCAGTATCGTGTAAAAAGGTTTGCCCCTTGCGGCCAAATCAATCGTTCGTCACATGGGATCTCAAGCCCTTAACCTCATCCAAAGTTGGCGGCAAGATGTTGGTGATAGCAACGGATTCACGATAACAGCTTCAAGTGTATATAGCCTAGAGCTGGTAATCAACAGATATAAGCCCCACTGGCTTAGTGAGTCGGTGACATCATCGACGAACTTCAATATCGAAGTCGACAACAAAAAAAATGCATATGCCAGCACCAGTTCCTCCTACCGCGGAGTTTTACCAACACATTCCATGGAGGAGATCAAAGATTTACCTAGTATAAGATGAGAAAACGTGAAAATGCTCACAGTCACATTGCTTCCTCACCTCCCCACACGCAACACACATCTCGCTTTTGAGAACACAGAAAATATTTTATTTTGCCAATGCCAAGAACAATATAGAAGCAAGATGCTCACTTCCGATCTGCGGGCCACAAAAAACGTTTTTTTTTTTTATCTCACACTGATATATAAATTCCTCTTTTTCTATCGCTTTGTGCCCTTTGGATAATCTATTTGAAAAGACGTTCTGGCTTTTCTTCGTTAATATAAATCCCGCCGAAAAAATATAAATTTACCACATTAATTCCATAAAGGACATTTAACACCGGCCCCTTTTATGCATATAATAAACCCCAGATTTTACATTTTAAATTTCTTGAGCAGAGAAAGGTATTTATTCCTTATCAGATCATACATTCTTTTACACTGAGAACACCCTTAAAAACGGGAGAATGGGGTTCAACGAAGGGTTCTTCTACGGAGAGCGACAGAAGGTGGTGGATGGGGTAACGAAATCCAAAACGGAAAACACGATCGGAACGATCCACGCAACAGGCGGCGATTTGCCTGTTAGTAATAATGAATTATACACCATCAAAGCCATACCCGGCAGGGGATTGGGTTGCTTCGCAACCTCAAAGATCCCAAAAGGCACACGGATAATAACCGAGGAACCCCTCTTCACCGTGCCCAGCATGGCGACGAATCTGCAATCCCTGGAAAAGGGCTTTCTCAAGGACCTCAAAGCCCTAAGTAAAGAGCAGCAGCATATGTTTTTCTCATTACACAATGCACACAAGGGTAAATGCAGTCCAGTGATCGGCACCATCAAGACGAATGCAATGCCGTTTGGCGCCAGGGGCGCAGAGGGCGCCATTTTCCCCCGCGCAGCGCGCATTAATCACTCGTGCAAACCGAACTCCCAAAACACGTGGAACCGTAACTTGGAAAGACTTACCATCCACACATTTAAAGACATCGAGGCCGGCGAGGAGATCACCATCGCCTACGTCGACGGGACGGAATTGTTCGACGCGCGCCAGTCTTGTTTTGGAGAGGCGTTTGGCTTCAGATGTGCGTGCGAGGTCTGCGCCGTGCCGGCGGAAGAGTCGCGGGAGCGAGATGCGCGGCTGCAGGAGATTGCGCGCCTTGATAATGTTCTGGGCGACGGGCGGCGGTTGATGACCAAGCCGGATGCTTCCCTTCAGGACGCGTATACACTTTTCCGTATGCTTGTTGATGAGGGCATTGCTGGCTCGAGGATTGCGCGCGTGCACAATGATGCGCTGCAGATTTCGATTGCGCATAGTGACCAGGCGAGAGCGAAGGTGTTTGCGCAGCGGGCGTATGAGGGGCGGGTTCTGTTGGAAGGGGAAGATAGTCCTGAGACGATGAGGTTAAAAGCCATAGCGGAGAAGCCGTATAGTCATGGCTTGTTTGAGTCGACGAAAGAGTGGAAGCAATCTGTCGAGGCGATACCGAGGGATTTGAGTGAAGCAGATTTCGACGATTGGTTATGGAGGCAGAAGGGGTGGAAGTCTTAGAGGAGGCGGGTCTAAAATCTTTTTTATTTTTTATTTTTTATTTTTCTTCTTTTTTACGTTATTGAATGAATCCATTGGGTTATTATGTATATATCATGATTGTTTATAGATTTTGCGCCCCTTTTTTAGACGGAAACAAAATTTACTTTGCTGTTTCTGGTAGTTACTGTAGAAAGTTTTTCTGGAAGGAAGGTGCCAAATCCGATTGATAAGATTGGCTTTGGATCAGATCACACTAGTCCCAAGTAATACTAGCTCTGTAAATGTGCTGAGTCAGCTTCTCTTTAGCGTTCAATTGCCTCCTCAAATATTCAACCTCATCACAGTCGACGCAGTATGAGCGCATTTGGCTGCTCAAACGATATGCAGATATCGACATGCTGTTATCAAATTGGGAAATGGGATCTACTATATCACATCCCTTCTGATCATGTGGATGAATGGAAGCTGAGTGCCTTTCTGCGAACAATTCCTAATTTCGCGCTCCAAGACAAACGTGGCTCAATATAGTGTTTTTCGATGAATCATTTTCCAATTCCTCTTGCTATTATCAAGTTTCCGGAGACTATACCTCTATCATACAGCTGGGATTGCGTGATAACTTCAAACAAATGGCTATCAAAAATGCCGCCAGATTCCCAGATTCAAAACTCTACATCCCCTCTCAGGGCAGGGCGTAGGTGATTTGGACCTCTCCTCCAACTCAACATCAGACGCCGCATCGTCTCGATGCCTCCATTTCCTATTCTCAAAGAATGCCACCGTTGTGTAATAAACAACTCCAACAAGCCCTGCAACCACCCCATATGCTACTATTCCCGCCCTAGTGTTATCCGCGAGCTGCACCAGGAGTCCCCCGTTGATCATTCCCAGAAGAATGAGGACCCGGCCATACCAAACGTGAAAACGAGTCCACAGCCCTGGTCGCTGCGTCCTCGTGAACTTGTGATGATTTACGAAGCCTATGAGCGGTTGCAGAAGTAGCAGAGCAATAATCGCCGTGCGGAGGATCGTGTGTGCCTTGGCATGAAGCTGTATGCACAGGAGTTTTATTTTGACCCCCAGAATCAGAAAAACAAACAGAAAAAACATGAGATTGGAAGGGGGATCTGTTTTTGTCTGTCATTAATAGATATATGTATACGGAATACATACCCTGTCTAATATTTTCCCCACACGGATCCCAATGGCAATCCGGCGATCGTGAGAACCTAGCCAATTAACTAACAAGCAGCGTGTATCCATACTCCCCATTTGATTTTGATCTTCTGTGTTCGCAAATAAGAGCCCCGAGTGGGAATATGATAACGAATGAAATGCTCATTACTAGACTGTGAGCTTTGGCGAATTGGGGCCCTAGATGCAGGTCCTGGAACATTACTACCCCCAGCGATGTCGATGCCATTAAATCATACCATTCGGTTGTATCCCGGGCCATACCGAGCCGGAAACGACTCTCTCTTTTCTTGTCATCCCTCGCCCTTTAGTTCGTCCGCAGTTGAGTTAGCTTTCTTGCACCCCTCGTCACATCAAATCGATTTTTGCTGGCAGGCATATTTAAACAACGTCGACAAGATAGAGAACGTGTTAAACGCACCTAACTCAGAAGAGATACCCGCAAAGGCCAAAAGTGGCAATACCAGCCTTGCCAATCGTCATTATGCGCTCGTATTTACGATCTACTTGTCTACCATCCTTAGCATGCCACACGAGGACGTCGAGAGTTGTTACAATGCGCCCAAGACTGAGGTTCTGAGAACCTATCGCGCTGTCGCAGAGCTCGCTCTAGCAAGAGCGAATTTTCTGAGGACCGGAAACATTTTGATACCCTCCAGGCTATCATGGTATTTTTGTCCATTGGCATATTCATGGATGAAACAAAGTTCGCGTGGGCATTAACGGCATTGGCTAGGCGACTAGTCTGCTCCATGTCAGCAGAGCTCTCACCATTCGCCAAAGAAGTACATAGACGTCTTTGGAAGCAACTTTGGTATCTCGATCGGAGGGCAGTCGAGGATCATGGGAGATTCCCAGTTCGTGCGAAGCGGTCGTGAACCCGGGACTTCTACTGAATATCAATGACTCCGATATTGATCCAAATATGGTAGAAGCTCCCCGTCAGCGCAACGGCTGGACAGAGATGTCATTCTACCTGATCCGCTTGGAAATTGCAAGAACACGCAACAAGCTCGACGCTGCAGCTTCTCAACCTCGGAAGAACGTAATCATAAAAGGGTGTTGGTCCAATATAAGATCTGGTTATTTGGCCCACTGAGATGATAGGCAACCTGTCCCCTAGCTTGCGAAGCATGTCGCCTACGTGCTAAACACAGAAATGTGGTTCAAATTTTACGGGCAGGAGTGTTTTACGGCAAGCTCATCGCCCCGGGCCCGGACCATCCGAGGCCAACTTTTCCTTCTTGCTATGGACACTTGATACTCCAAAACGCATTGAACGAGCTCCACACGCTGAGACCTGGAAATGGCTTCTCAAAGGATACCTACAGTTCTTGCCATTGGGGTTCCTTCTCACTGGATTGTGTCATCGAACGAGCCGCTGTGAACTAGTAGATCACGCTTGGAGTGACATCGAGGACGCTTTCAAGCGGTGGACAGATGCGGACAGGAATTCAAAAAAAAAAAAAAAAAAAATGGAGAGATCCTTTGCCGGTTGATGGATAGAGCTAGAGTTACCAAGGAGCAGACGATATCATGGCCTTCGACAATGGACACGTCGTTGCAGACAGGATATTGACCTTTCCGGCACAATGATACGACAGCTACAGCAATTGGACACTCTCATAACGAATCCGCCTCGTCATTGATACCTTCTTTTCTTGCATGTTGACTGTCTGGGATATGAGATGCCGTCTTCAAGGTCTATTGATACCATTCCTTTGGATATTGAAGGCTACCCCAAGTTCATACAGCAGGCCGACATGAACTATGGGATGGAGATATAGCTTAGTTTGGCCCTTTATTATAGCATTTGTCGTGTTTAACCTGGATCCACGTCCCCAATAACCCGAGGTTAATCCAACCCCTTCGCTTGTCACTCTTGTCGGTTCGCAGACAAGAACAAGTATTCGGAACCTAGGCTATGGTGAATATGAACTATGTGGAGAAGGGAAGCAAAAATTTGTTGATGTCTCCTGGCTCAACTTCCAAAGATGATGTCAACACCACATGTCTCCACTTTTTGACTGCATGTATGGAGTGTATCGATAGCTCTATCAATAATCTCAGAACCGCACACCACATGCTCCCCCATATGAACCCAAACCGGATGAAGCTTCTTGTCAATAAACTCCCAAGCGCTCCAAAACATAAGGACCATGTCCCCCCCTCAGCGGATAAGGCCCTTCTGCACGCTTACTGCATGAGATTGTTGACGGCCACCGTGTTTTGGAACCAGGCGCCGCCGGGGCTGAACGGGAGAGGTGGAGGGCGGCAGCTTTGTGGGAGGGGGGCGGAGAGTTTGTTGGTTTGTACAACACTGTACGTCCCGTGATAACAAGCCGTTTCCGTATTCATTTCCTTAACTGTCATGATGCATAAACTATTCTCTGCAGTAGGACAGCGCGCGCACATACACGTAGTTTTTCTTCATGTCGAGAAGAACAAAAAAAATGAAGTCTAGAAACTTCGTAGCTCCTAGGCAGCGTGTACGCAGCCCAGCATCAGCCAAAATGTCACTCGCTGATCCATGCGTGTCTGCTCTCATCCAAATTCAGATCTCGATTTCAAGGAATTATCAAACAAGTCCCTTTATAATTGACCGTTTCAAAGTTCTGGTATAACTAGTAAAAGAAAAACCTTTCCTCAAAATCAGAGTCCCTCATTCCCGCCTTTACTCTTTCACAGATATGTTTCAGAACCTCACACAGACTGCCTTCTTAAACCCATACACATCTCACCCCGTCCCTCCCTCTGGCCCCGTTCATCCCCGTTCACACCCCCCACTCCTTTGGCGACGAAGTCACCTTCCCGCCCCGCAACCCATAGCAAGCACCATCGCGACACGCACAGCCATCAATACTTTCAAAGCCACACACGCCCACCCCACCGCTTCCGGCGGGGCATATTTCGTCCTTGGTGAATTTGGCATGGGCAAGGGCGCAGACATCCGTGGCGCCACAGCAGTTGCCGTGCTTGACCATGACGCAGTCAGAATCGGTCATGCAGGCGTATCGGGCGTCTACTTTTCTGGCGCAGGTACCGTCACTAGGGGATTGAATTTTTTTGAAGCTGTGAGCTGATTGTGGATCGTGTTTGCTAAGAGAGGGAGGAGGGGTGGGTTTTGATTTTTTAAGAAAAGATGTACTGTACTTTGTATGTACAGTACATGTACTTTGCATACCTTCCGGGTACAGCGATGGCATTGCTGAGAGCAGCCAAAGACAGGAGGAGTAATAAGGCAGGCTGCATTATTTTTCGGGGAGTTTTGCGTCTGGGGAAATCGGGTAGATTAAGATTGGTAGGTCGGTATATATATTCCTCTCACGGCACCACAGTGTAATCACCTCCTCTCCTATCCTGTAGATGGAGGCTGGAATTAAAATGTGACAGGTCTTCTGGGAGTATTTATATGTTGTTGGCATGGATTAAGCAGGTTCGTAGCTTTCTTTGTTGGCAGATACGGATGCATCCCAACATAATAATATATCGCCGGCTCAGCGTAATCCCCACGGAATAACATTGCGGCTGACGCAGGGAGGGCTGAAGACGCAGGTTGCTATTCGCCCTCCTGAAGCCCCTACGACAGACCATTTTCTTGTTTCAGCGTTCTAGACTCTCTCACATATCGGCCCTAGGTACGGAGTACTGTAGGCAAAATATGGAGAGTTGGCAATCCACGTTAAGCCGCCCGTAACTCTATTCAATCATGGGTGGGTTAAAACTTAAACGAGATGGACCGATTCTGCTCATTCAGTTCCATTTTCCTAAAAAGAGTACAGAGTACTCCGTGGGCTATAACTGGTTACAAGTTCCGATTTGAGAATCCTGATGAGAATGTGTAACTAGGTAAATAAGCTGAATGGTGCGTTCCAGAATTTCAATTAACTAACTACCAGACAAGAGAACCCTAATCCTCACGAGGCTTCCAGCGGCCATCTGAAGATCTTCAAGATAGATATTCCCTACGTACCATTGTTCAAAACGGTTGAGAGTCCGTTGCGAGATGAATTGAGCCCTTCTTTCTTTTTTGTTGTTTTCTAAGAATATCTTAAAAGTAGGCGCCTGCCATAAAAACAGCCAGGCTAAGAAGCGGGGAATAAAAATATATAGTGTCAGACTATTATACTTAACTAGTAAAGATAATAAAAGGTAGGTAAGTGGACAAAGGACTGAATTTTCACACTGTATTGCATTGAACTATTATCCCCGTTTCCAGCAAGCTTTATTATTTCCTTTTCGAAAAAAATTTCTAGGGATTTGAAAGTTTTAGGGGGTTCCCACAGCTACAAGCAAGTTCAAGGGGGGAGGGATATGAATGAATAGGCACTGTAATACAGCATGTGAGGGGAATAACAGATACATAGATCAAACGAACGAGAATGACAAAGGAGAGATATCGTCTGCGCGTCCTCGTTTATTTGTTAATCTCCATTAACTATCACCAGGAATCTAGACAGTTCCTTCCTTGGGACTTTCCTCGTGCTGGAAGTCGGTCGCAAGCTTCTCCTCATCCTTGACACCGGTCTTCTCAAGCAGCGCTGCACGGTGGAAGTCAACCCGTGTTTTCCAGGCGGGGGTGCCGATGTACTTGATGCCATTGGGATCAGTGAAGATCAGCTCAACCTCCTCGAGAGTCTTACCCGCCGTCTCGGGGAACATGAAAAAGACATGGACGAACATGGCTGCGCAGAAAACGGCGAAGATAATATAGGTCTTCCACTGGATACTGACAAAGGAAGGCGGAACGAAGTAGCCGAGCGCAAAGTTAAAAGCCCAATTGGAGGAGGTGGAGAGGGCAACAGCCTTTCCACGCACGCGTAGGGGGAATAGTTCTGGTGGATAAATCCAGGAAACAGGGCCCCATGTTGGAGCGAATGAAGCGACAAACAGATAGGAGCATGCGATGACAGCCTTGCTTGGGGGTCCACTGATCAGCCAGGATTCGGCTTCAACGGCTCTGTCTGCTGGAGCAGGATACCCATAAGATGCAAGAAGTCCCGCGTTGGTAAAGAGCCAAACCATCATGAAGAAAGCGCCAACTAAGAGGGTGTTACGGCGACCCCAGCGGTCAACCCACAGGAGAGCGGGAATCGTCATTAGGACGTTGATCACGTATTGGATACTGCTCGAAACCATAAGGGTGTCCCCTGTGAGACCAGCCATTCCGAAGACATATCTAAGCAGGACACTTAGCTCATCAAATCCACCAGCAGTACTAAATAAAGCGAAAGTTGCAGCTATATAGGAGATCAACTCACGTGATATAATACATCATAACATTCATACCAGTCAACTGGCTCCAAATCTGGGTGAACACACCAACGTGAGTGCGGTTGATCATGTTCGGTTTGAGCAGCTCAAGATAAGTCACATCGGCATTTCGTCGTTCGAATTCGCACATCTCCTTGATCTCTTCGTATTCGCGTTGGACGAAGGGGGAGTTTGGGTCGCCTCTGCCGTGCACCAGGATCAACACAGCAAGGCAGTCCTCCCAGCGGTCCTTGCGAGCAAGCCAGCGTGGTGATTCAGGTAGAGGAATGAGGCCAAAGAAGAGCAAGACAGCTGGGATCATTTGCAGACCCCACGCGATCCGGAAACCAGCTGGCCCATCGACTTTGCTGCTTCCATAGGAGATGCTATATCCAGTTGTCAGTATTTTCGCGCATGGTAATCATAGGCGCGTAGAGCAGCACATGTAGATCACATACACTTGGTGGTATGTGGAGTGACATGAGACTTACTAGAACATAATCATAATCCCCCAAGTGATTGCCCATTGTTGCGCACCGATTAGACGGCCACGCTTGGAGGGAGGAGCCAGCTCTGCAATATAAACAGGGACCTGTGCGGAACAGATACCGACACTGAAGCCGTTGATGATGCGGCCAACAATCAACATACCAATATTCTGCGCTGCACAGGTGATGATAGAACCGATGATCCTGGTAGCAAGAAAAACTCTGGTTAGCTAACGATGGCCATACAGTTTTACACCCAAGGGCGTGTAAGTTAATTCGCGTCTAAATCGACGAGAAATATATATGCAAATAAGGAATGGTAGAAACGGGGACAATAAACAACACACCAGATAATTGCGCCAACCATGATGGACTTCTTGCGACCAAGGATATCAGACAAAAAGCCCGATACCAGCGCTCCCAGCCATGAGCCACCAGCCATGGAGGCCGTGATACCGCCTTGGACATCTGCCCTTGGGCCCTTGCATTTTGTCTCACCCGGTTCTGCCTGGTCGAAGTAGCAAAGGTAGTTTTGGGTGCCGATGATAGCAGACATGGACGAGATGTCGAAACCGAACAAGCCACCTCCAATCACCGCCACGGCGGAAATCAGGTAGATATTGCCAGCGAGAGAAGCCATGTTGTGTCGTGTTGTATTGTAATTTTCCTCCCCGTCTCTCGCTCTCTCTATCTCTCTCCCTGGAAAGGGATGATTTCTTCGGGTCTATTTCTTGTATATACCTCCCCCGAATCTGAGACGGCGATCGTGTTTCGAGTTGCAATCAATCGAGTGTCCGGGCACTTGAAGAAATATCGAACCACAGAAAGAAAAAAGAAAAGAAAAGAAAGCAGACCAAAGAGCTCGAACAAGCTCAGCTGAGAAGGGGGGGGGACAGCGGGTGTTTATATGACTGAATCAGTTCCAGCCGCAAACAAAAGGTGCGGGGGGCAACAGCAGCAAATGTGATCGCCGTGATGTGACACTCGCCAGCACAATACAAAGTATGTACACAAAAACAATGTACTGTGCTAACAAGGCATTCATGAGATAGACAGTACCTAGGCAAGGCATACTCTGGGACATGCATCGGTACATGTTCTGCCAGTCGATATCTCTCTGTCCTCCTGTACCGATTTACACATGGCGGGAGTCAAGTATCTACGCTGAGTAGTTACAGCGTACTCGCTCCTCTACCAAATCCCTATCCAAAACACCCAACCAGGGATCCTTTCCCTTCTTTTTCCTTGAGTTAAGCTAGGATGGATCGTCTAGCCTATCTTATTTGGATCGACATCCCCTTAGGCTACTTACAGGTTAGCATCCAGCTGTTTTCTGACCACCGTGACTAGCGAGTTAGCGACTCCGCCAACGCGAACTAACATTGGCCCACGCAGGATCAAATTCTCCCTCCTTGAGTCCTTGTGAGAAAGACCCTTGCGAGCTAGTTTTCCCCATGTTTTCTCGCATGTGCCAAAAGTATCTCGGAGATAAGCGCCAAAAGGGATTCTTCATGTGCTCGGGTGGCCAGTCTCCGGCTTCTCTTTTTAACTGCTGCCCCCGCCACATGTGGATGGCTACAACGTTGCTACAACGGTAACTTCTATCTTCGTTTGATTTTGGACTGTGGAGAAATGCTGAGTGCTGTGTGCTGTGTGCTGTGTGAATTGAATATGGTGTGTGTGTGGTTGTGTCTGCTGTATCTTGTTGCGACAACCTTCAGCCCATCCCGGAATTCTGGATGAAACAGCCAGGCTTTTTGAGGCTTTTCAACTTTCCTGACGTTGCTGCTCTGTGTTGCTTGTGGCTTAATTATCTTTATCCTCTTCCGTTTACTAACTGGCTGTTCTTGTAGATTAAATTTGACAGGCTGTCATACCTGAGGTGCCGAGGATAATAATCCGAATCACCAGTACTCACTCCTTTCTACATGGTTGAGGACGACGCTGTCTTGGTACATGTACCGATGGAAACTGCAGATTTTCTGGTCGGACCGCACAGGTTCGGTATCTTATTGGAGTGAACACAGCTGTGCCGAGTTTTCAAGGAAGACAGGATCAAGCCAGAGCCATGTTCGAATCGGATATTTCCCACACGTTGGATTTTCCAGCCAAGCGCCTAAAAATCCAAGCATCAGCTAGGGGTGCCCAAAACTGGCGCTAGCTACTAGTCACTTTGATAGTCGCCCGCCACTGGCGCCCACCCCCCAGAAGCGCCTCTAAAAAACTAAACTACACCCAAGGCAGCCCTAGAGCCAATCCTCTGCGCTAAGGTTCTAACTTCTCGGGCATGGAGAACTTCTCTCTTTAAACCAAAGCCAGCTACTACAGCCGAAATATTGTGCATCAGAGCTGGTAGTCCTTCAGAACATCCCGTAATAAGAACTCGTACGGCTGAACAGTTTACAGGGTTCACTTGGGCTAATTCGCCCCCGTAACTGGCGCTTCCAAAATCTTGCAGTGGAACCTTGGCCAGAATGGAGACAGACTGGAAGAAGCCGCCATAGTCGCCCTTATCCTCTACTGGAGATCTTCTTGTGGCTAATGATCCTTCCGGACCCTGCAGCCTGCAGGACTCCCAGCCTTATCTTGATGACAATTGATGAGGTGGGTATGGGATAGCATCCCGATATATGGCGGTAATGATAGAAAGATTGAAGCCGAGACCCGGGATTCTCTAAAGCAACAACCTAGTGACAAGAGGAGACCAAGGAGCCGAAGAAACGCGGCATGACATCTGCTTATGGACGCTGTGTACTTCGCGTTCCTTTCAGGCTGCCCCTCAGCAAAATGGCGTGTCCGGAATCAAGAACCCATCAGGCGGTTGAGGCCCACATGACAGGCAAGTAACCACCGTAAAGGATCTTTTTTTCGATTTCATCCTTGATATATTTAATCAACCATTTCTACAAACGACGTCCCTCAGCGTTTGAAGCACTAGCTCCCCTATTCACTAAACCCTTAATATGATGTTGACCTTTGGCGCGTCACCCTGACGCAGGAAAACCACTCACTGAGACCCTTTTATCTGGTTTTGATAGTCTGACTTGGCATCAGAAAATTTTCTCCAACCCCTGGGCAATTGCTTGATCCTCTTTGGCCCGTCGTCAATCGAGCGAGCTGGATCGGGATGACGGATGCTTAATAAACTAGCACTTAAGCTCCACATCATATCCAAATACAAAAAGGCATGCCAGAAAAAGCGCCGCCTTGGCCGATGCAGGGAAGGATGAGCTTCACCAACCACAGTGACAATCATGACAGAGTGGTCCCCTTCTGCTAATTAGGTGAACTTCAGTGACTGGGCTTTAACTACTTCAGTTTGCTTCGTGCGAAAAACACTCCCCAAATTTAACAGTTCCCTGTAGCAGTTTGAAGTAGTGCTACGGAGTACTTTTCATGGCATTCAGAATCAAACTATACACTATTCAAGCGATGTATGAAAATACCTGGTTATTTCAGGAAACCAGCCAAGAAAACATCCCGCTTGAACATGTTCCGTGAAGATTTTACAAAGGGCATGACATCACCTTCCCTCAGAGGTATTTCCCCCCTCACCAGTCACAAGCTAGTGCAGCAACCTCCTCTTCCGCAAGCCTCCCTGCGCTATTTTTAAACAAGATCAGCGATTGCAGCGAAAAATGTTACCAAAACCATCATAGTAATCATCATGAGACGAATGCAGCCACCCTGACTGGGAATCTCATACTTAATAGTTTCTATGACGCTGAGACACCAGTCCGCCGAGATAGATCTCCAAAAAGCTGGTAATTTGGCCCGATACCCCTGTCCCCCTGGCCCTCGTGGCATCGTTCAAAACCTGCCATGCACCCACAAAAAAAATACAAATCAAGATGAGGGAAACAGAAACATGGAAGGCAAAGCCTTGAGTCCGTTGTCATTTTGTCCGGCATATGTATGTACAGTACATACTTGTGCAGCGCAAAAATACATGAACACTTTTCACATGTAAGTTCAAAACCCGGTCTTCTGAACGAACCCATGGACCAGAACTGGCTGACAACCCGGTGCAGCATAGCTTCAGCGAGCTGTATGCCTCCGTACATAAAGGAATGAGCTAAAGGAAAGAGAACACCGGGCCATCCTGGCAAGATGACCATGTTAACCTCGACTAAGTCCTAAGGTCGCCGGGTCGAGACGAACGTGTTTGGAAATAAAACCAACAATAATGACCGTGACTGGACTGCGTTCATCGGCACTTATGGCCCCAAGTTGTTCCAATGTCTTTGGTTACCTTTTTTATTAGTCCTCTATCTCTAGCACCTTGCTCAGGATGCCGGATCCCCCGAATCCCTGTACTTTTCTTGTCAACGTGTGAAGAACTTTTGACCAAGAGCCAAATTATAATTATGGTGAGATTTGTTCATTATTCGGCTCGGGTTTCCCGATGGCCGCTGCTGCTGAGGGACCTTAAGAACTGATCGTATTCGTATTAACTACGTACGATTTGAGTTAGATCATCCTTCAACATGACATGTCTCATGTTCGGCAATCTGAGAGATCCTCACAGGGACGACTAACCAACCCCCCCCCCCTTTCTAACCCCCTTTTAGTTTTTCCCAATTGATTTCAAAAGATATAGACAAGACATGAACCGGTTTGCAGCGTCCTATTAAGATAACAATGATCTAACCTTCCCCACTACCTTCAACCCCATTCTTTTCCCAGCCCCCTTAATCACTCCTCGGTAAGAAAATACAGCTGAACCAGCTAAGCCGGCGCTGCGCTGCGCAGCCCCTCAAAAGGGTGATACGAGAGCTAAAAAATTGACAAATAAAAGTGTGAACGGGCGACGCATGCAATCATGCAATCATGCAATGATATTCTCGTGTCACTTCTGTGGAAATCTCGGTGAGGGAAGGTTGTTAGGGGGAACAGAGGTAAGTAGCACAAAAGGAGGAACAAGAAGATGATAACAGCTCCAGTGTGACTTGACCACAGTTTAGTGTGTTAGTTACGTCCTGTTCTATGGAGCCATGTAAATTATTTTAGGGGTAAGTTAGGGCCAGCGGAGAGGTTTGCTCATTAGAATTAAGGTGACCATCCACGACCAGGTAAGTTGGGAGGGATCCTTATATATCCGTTTTTGGTCGGATAAGTGGTGTATTCCATATACATTGCAAGGGATGTCCCTGCTCCTTTTCATTTTATATACTGTTCCTTTCCTTATTTTCCTTTTTATTCGCTGATTGACGAAGCGTCATATTATATGAGCGGAGGGGATATCTGCGCACAGTACATTTCACCGCGTCGATTCTGACTGCTTCTGCCGCAGAATTCCCTGAGCCATTTCTAAACTCGTCTTTTTTTTTCTCCAAATATCTATCCCCCATCCAGTCATCTCATTCATTCAGCCTCTTGAGCAAATACAAAGATACACCGAAATAAACAAATATAGGAGATAAAATAACCGGGAACGACTCATCATAGCCAATAGTTCAACAATAGCAAGTGCAACTATAGGGTTATAGTGGGTGGGATATAGGTTGCGGTGGTGAGGGTTGGCGGATGACGAATACGTCTGTCTCATGCGGAGAGTTTGACAAATTGAATTTACTTAACCTTCCCTGATGTTTGAGAAATAGGCCTCAGTTCAGGTCTACGATCTTGAGATTGCAAGTTCAAGTTCAAGTTCCAAGGGTTTAACATTTGCATCAGTCCGAACTCAAGACGGCACAGACGAGGTGCGAGGATCATCAGGGGCCAAGCAGATTGGGTTGCCAGAATCTTGCCCCTGTCACCCAACAACTTCCGCAGGCTCAGTTCTCTTTTCTCCATAGAGATGTGCAAGGCAATAGGGGCTACAGAAGCTGAGGCCGATTCGAAGATTTCCGGCAAGGAAGCCCCCCAAACCCCCCTCTCTGAATCTACTCCATGAACAAACTGCATTCGATTACATGCAGCAACAAGCGCGGGGGGGCGGGGGGGATGGGATTGAAAACAGGATGTACATGTACTGTACATCTGTGGCGGGTGGAGGGTTGATGTTGATGTTGAGGTTGAGGTTGATATGATAACCGTGCACGAGGTTCATAAGGTAAAGTGCCAATAGATCCAATGTTGTGTACATGTACATGTACCAACCACATCAGGAGAAGTTTTTGTATGGTTGACCTGAAGCCCCATACTATACATACAGTGGGGGGGGGAGCCAAGGCACAGACCTAACGACGGACCTCAACCAAGGCCTAAAGAAACAAGGTAGTGGTGATGGTGACGGGTGATCAAACTATGCATTTTAAACCAAGACAGTCTAGTGTCGTTGGCGCATACATGAGTGAGTAGTCGTCAGAAGGCTTGTTGTTTACCGAGATCGTGATGGTAAGTGGTAAATGGCAATAGGGGAAGGCATACAGATGAATGAATTGAATGAACAAATAAATAGATTATTCGTACTCCTGACCGAGCGAAAACTCAGAAGCCATAAGAAAGAAAGAAAGTCTGCGGATTAATATGGATGGTGTAGAAATGGGAAACAAGGGTGAAGCGATTCTAGGCTTCTAGTATTGAACTGCGGGTGGAAAAAAAGTTCTTTCTCTGCTCAGCAGACTTTTCAAGAAAGGAGAAAAGGTTGTAACGAAATAAACCGGAAGAGAGAGAGAAGGGACAATGAAAGGTTAAAAATGGCAACACAGAAAGGAATATTATAAAACTGATGGTTATAAAACTGATGGGAAAAGAAAATAAAAATATGGTGCTGAAAGGCAGCTGGAGAGAGGAAACCTGGAGAAGACCGAATGCCTGAATGGGTCAAAATATAAAAATAAAAATAAAATAACAAAAATAAAAACATAAAATAATAAAATAAAATAAAAGAGGAAAGAGAGAGAGAGAGAGAGAGAGAGAGAGAGAAGAGGAGAAGATAAGGCACCCGTCCTGATCATACAAGCTCCCACTCCGCGATACCACCAAATGCCATGCCCACCCTACCAACGCCACGAAGGAACTCCTCTCTACCAAGACCACGACTATCATGCATATCCGCAAAGCTCGTTACGCTGTAGATGTGCAGTTTCTGCCCTGGCGCACCCAACACTCGAGGATCGGGCACATCGACGTACCAAATGTCACCCGCGCCACCCGGGCCAGACCCACGGACATAGTGGAAGGGGATATACTCCTTTTCACTCCTGTCGTTGCCATTGGCGCATAAAACAAAGAGATACGGCGTGCGGATGTTACTGCGTGCAAGCGTCCAGTGTTCGCAGAGGAGGCCGAATTGGAATCGGATTGGGCCCGGTTGGTAGACGGAGAGCTTCCTCGATCGTGGCTGAAGTGACCGCTCGCCAATCCCGTGCTGTTGTTTTACACCGGTGTATAAGATTGGGGGTTCAACGCCGCTTGGACACGAGGGGTTGATGCTCATATATTCCTCCCAGGATATACTCGGACGGCCATCGTCTCGGTAGAAGTCTCTGGGGTTGGCTGGGAAATGCTTGTTGCCGAATTCATCGTTGGACATGGTGAACCACTCGGGCGTGAATTCCTTGTTGTATGGCTCGCCTTTACCGCGGACGTTCCCGGCACCCCAGCAGCTGTCGATCAGTTTCCACCGTCCATTATCAATTCGCACCGCGTTCCAGGCATGGTTGCCGTCGTACGGTGGAATTGGTGAACCTGGAGCAAGAGGAGTATAGCCGTACCCTTTGCCGTGGCCTGTGATTATGCGTGCCTCTAATCCGGCAAGCGTTGCCAGCCGTTCGAAGAGGGCAGCGTACCCTTCACAAACAGCAAGACCGGTGTTGAATGTACTATCCGGCGTTGAAGATTTCACATTACTATTAAAAAATGCATCAACATTATAATCGATGTTGTGGTGGAGCCAGGTGAATATGGCTCGAGCTTTATCTGTAAGAGACGGGAAGGGGGCTGTAAGTTGGTTAGCCAGCCAGGAAAGGTCGTGTGTGGGAAGAGATTGTCTGGGAAATCGAGCTGCATGAGAATCCGGTCCGGAGAAGTCGCGACATATACAAATAGCCGTTGACTCAGTATTGGGCGGAGAATGGGAGGAGGAAGGCATGCGTGGTTTAGTTGCCTGTATTTTGGACAGATCTGGACGGGACCCCACCGGAACTGGAGGTGGTGAGCCATTGGCTTGTTGTACATGGATATCGCCATTCGAAACTGGCTCGTGATTTATTGAGCTATTTTTAATGGTGGCGAAGGAGGATTCTCTGATCTTTTCAAGTGTCTTGGATGACGGGGCTGGCGGGGGAAGCTTGCGCTGGGGCAATTGGGGAGGATTATGCAAGTCCTTATGGGTAGATTTCCGGGGTGGGATTGCAGGCACATCATTGGCATTAGATGTATTTGAACGAAGAGGAAGTTTCTGTGTTAGAGGAGAGATGGAGCAGGATGATGTCTTACGGCCGCCACCGAGCACACCCAGAGATGGCCGAGATTTCAGCGTTTGATGCCCATTTGTATTCCCACTTCTCTTTGGAGGCAACGGCGGAAGTGTAGTTTCACCCCACGCTGGGGGGAGGTTGCGAGTTGTCGACTTTTCAGTAGAGGTTGAGTGGATAGAAGGCGATCTGCCATTCCCCGTCGAACTTGTCGTCGATCTGCCTGATATCGACGTGGTCGACAGCGAAGAATCCCCCGAGTTTCTGCGAAGATGCGTATTGGACAATTTGCGCTGGGGTAGAGCAGGCGATGGTTGACCCTGAGGTTTTCTCGTAGGGAGAGGGGGTGGCGATTTCTTAGGTTTAATTGGTTTAGTTGGCGGGGTAGGAGATGATAATGGCTTCTGGCCGGTCCTTGTAATGGATGGCGGAGGTAGTATTTCCTGCTCTCTGATCGGGATTGAGAATGAGGGGGAACGCAACTCGTTGTCGGGGTCTACGTATCTGCCGGTCATCGAGGGTCTTGGGCCCGGTAGATCTGGTTTTATCTCGAGGGGAGGAGAAGTAGCTGGTGCTCGTTCAACATGCGCCTGGTTCAAGGCCGCAATTCGCTCCTGGATTGTCGCCATGATGATATGAGGATATGAGGATATGATGATGTATAGAAATGCCACCAACCAGCAGCTGATAGCAAAGCGAAAGAACCACAACGATTGACGGCGGGAAACAGATATATTATCAATTTTGGAGGCCAGATGTCCGGTTCATCTGGGAATTGTCGGGGGAGAGGAAGCAACGGAGGAATACATGGGACTGACTACTCGGGAGTCTTTGGCTTTGGCCCAGAATAAAACGGGATGCGACGAGGCTGAGATGCGACGGAAGACGGGAAGGATGGAACGATCGTCTCACAAAGGGAACCAACAGCAAGAAGAAGAAGAAGAAGAAGAAGAAGAAGAAGAAGAAGAATGAGAAGAAGAAGAAGAAGAATGAGAATAGCAAATACACTGGCTCCCTCGCCCCCTTGCGATTTAAGCTGAGCCCTAACACACACCCCCCCGTGATGCGGCTCAACGGACAAGCAGCTTCACTTCTGAGGGTTTATTTTTAGACAGTGAAATAACTAAGTTAACTAACTAGTGAGTTCAATAACTAGCTATAGCTAAATAAGCTACTATGCTATGCTATGCATGTAACTTACCCTCAGCGTTCTCCTCTATGTAATAATAATGTGTCTAGGCCCGGCGATGCAGCAGATGGTGTCCGGGGGAAGAAATGTAAAAGCAAAGCCAAGTCTTTATTCGATAACTAAAATAGCAGGGGGAATAAAACAAGCTTTGGTTTGTTGAGGTTTCGAATTTCTGGAGTAGTTAGTTACGTGTTTCCTTTCCCTCCCACTCGCCCCTAAAGAGTGGTTATTCCGTACGAATCTATGATATAATCTCCCAGCTGAGAGGAGAGAATGAATAAAATATGAAATATTCCCGGCACCGTGAGAGCGATCGATGTCTCATCTAGCAACAAAATGAAAGATTGAACTTATATTAGTTATTTGATCTTGAACTCGTACTGATAAGTTACAACATAACCTGGTTCAGCGCAAACCGCCAGTTGCTCTAACTCCGTATATCTGCACAAACATAGCCCACTCATTCATTTACGCACAACCAGGAGGAAACAGGCCAGCAAAACAGGCATCAGAAAAGCTGGAAAGTTGGCAAACCATATTAATTAATCTATCCACCCATTCAGCCTTAGAAAGTTGCCGAAGCGAAAGAAATCAGCGCCCCCCCCGTCGATCTTGGAGCAAGTAGCGGCAACAAACACGAGAATCAATACTGACTGGGTTCAAGTTCAAGTAACAGCAGCCGGAAGTCATAACTACGTAAATAACGGGGTTTTTGGCCTAGCTTGTGTTTCAGGTTGAAACCGCCTTCATTCCTCCTCCTCATCCTCTCCTATCTGATTGAATCCGACATGTCGAGAACTGACTGGCTTTGGCCTTTTGGTAAAACTCACAAAAATTATCCTGCGCAATCGACAAAAAGAGATATGGAAGGCTGGTGTTGCTTTGGAACGGATATGTTAATTATTTTAATTATGCTCTGCAGCGCCTTTTTTTTTTTTTTTTTTTTTTTTTTTTTTTTTGCTTCTTCTTCGGTGAGTTATTTATGACGCCGATATATAATTCTCTTTTGCAGAGCGAGGCGGGCTTGTTAAAAGAAGAGGAAGAGAGACACAAATAAGGAGAAGGAAAGGGAAAAGGAAAAAGGAAAAGCTTGGTTGATATGAATAACACAAAAGACACAAAGGAAACTCTAGTAGTACGTAAGAGAGGGGTGTGGACGGGGCCGAGCCCTGCCAAAGCAGAAATAGCAAAATACAGATGAGAATTGAAGCGAAAGGTAAGGAGAAGCAGGTAGGAGCAAAGGAGATGAAAAGAAGGAAAGGAGGGGGAAACAGTCAGGAGGGAGGAAAAAGGAAATCGAAAATAATCAAAACAAATGCCTCAACGCATCCCAATGCCAAAAAAAAAGAGGAAAAGAAAAACGAGTAAAAGAAGGAAGCCGGGAACAAGGGATTCCCTCGCAGGCGCATAAAAAGCAGTGTTTCTACCACATCCACCCGATGTAGATAAGAAGCACACACACGAGGAGCATCGTGGGTCCTCTCTGCCTCCCATCCCTCCATCTCTCCTCCTCCTCCTTCCACCTATCCCACCACTTCAAAGTAGGAGAGGCAAAAAAATAAAACGAAGATTATAATCGTAACAAACCATGGCTTCATCCAGCGTACAAAAAATTTCTTCTCGTCACAAACTTCTAGCATCTTATCTGTTCAGCAGGCTTCACGCGTATCTTTCCACTTAGCCGACAGATTGATAAAGCAACAGCGGCTCTCCGATGTTCTCGATTTCGGGAATAGTGCATTTGAGGTCAAATGCCTTGCTCAGCACAATTTTGAAGATCTAGGGCACGAATTGTTAGATATGATGTTAACTCGAAATAAAATGGGAGAGAGACATATGCTAGCCATAATACCTTCTGGACATTTATGCTATGGCTCGTGCTGCTGAAAATCAAACTGGCTCTCATAGCCCTGGCAAAGCGTTTGGCCTGTGCACTCCTTGTCAGCCAGCTTATATACAGAAGAACAACAAACAATACCATAAAAAGAAAATAAAGGAAGAAAAATAATTCCGTCACTGACCTGTATCGATATTTCTTCCTGATCCTCCCGTGGGAAGTTAACGAAATGGTCATACTTTGTGCCGATGAGGAATGGGATCGCGGTTTTATTGAACCCGCGACCCTGGCGGTACCATTCCTTGATGGAATTCAAGGTGCTCTTTCGGGTCAGGTCAAACATGAATAATATAGCAACGGCATCGTTGCACACCAGAGGTAACATATTGACGAATTCACGCTGTCCACCCAGGTCCCAAATGGAAAATGTAATTTCAGTATTCCGAATCGAAATGGTCTTCTCCATAAAATTAACACCTGTTGTGCCAAACAGACGATAAATATCAGCAACTCATGTCATCCCCAGGAACGGAGCATCGTATATATTCCTTTTCTTACCAAGTGTTTGGATGTAGTCTTCATCCCAGCTTCCTTCAACGTATTTAACCATTAGGCTGGTTTTCCCGATCTGCGCATCTCCAACCATTCCAACTTTTATAACGACGCTATTCTTATTGGGAGTAGACTGTTGTTGCTGCGGCTGTCTCTGCTCCCGACTTTGGTCGTGGTAGGACTGCGAGTATCCGTATCGGTCACCTCCACCTGACAGCCCTGAGCTAGGTCGCGAACTCGGCTGGGAAGATTGGACAGTTTGGGCAGGCTGTTGAAAAGGCATGGTTGGAGAGTGATGCTGCTGGGGGGACTCGATATCTTGTGGTACGAACGTTTGGCTGGAAGTGGGGTAGTCGAGAGAGTTTGAGGAATGGTCGTCGGCTCGGTGACCGTTGCTGTAGTCATTGTTATTATTGTACGAGGGTGAGCTGGCTACTGCTTCTTCTGCGGCTGCTGGCATGTTCTGTTCTTGTTGGACGGTTTGTTCCGGGAATTGATCAGGAACCGGCTGAGGGGACAGCTCGGTGGTCTTGTCAGCAACAGGATCCTGAGCCGGAACTCGATTCGGTTCCTGTTCGACAGGGACCTCCTGCTCCTGCACACGCAATTTATCCACCTCCATCGGTAGGTTGTCCATTGTTCCCCAACGGCCAGTACCAAATATCAGTCTCAGTCAGAGCAATCTCAAAGAGCGTAAACGGTGAACGAGGCAGGGCTGGAATTGAATAAGCGATGAGCTTGAATCTCTAAAACTTCAAAGAAAATTGTCGAATATCTTCATGGAGTGCGATTGCAATTCCGCTGATCTAAGCCTGCATGAAGCAGTTGAGCAGGTCCGTCAGAGTTCCCGTCAAATGAGAGTACTAGTGGTTGCTGGGAGCTATATATACGAAATCCGGGGAGGTTAGTAGTTCGGATTGGAAGCTTGGAGACAAAGCTCGTGGGTCGTTGAGCCGACGGGTAATTAAACGCGACCAGGCCTGAGCCGAACAGTGCCAAAACGATCGAAAAGCGAAATAGAGATCCGTAGGCGGCCACAGCTGGAAATGACGGAAAATTTCTAACCAACGGGGGTCCCTCGCAAGTTCGCAACGAGCGATCAACGCAGCCAGGATGTCGTCAACAATGGCTGGAGATTCTCTCTCATACAAGGTTGGGGAGCGGGTTTGGGCTGTGTTCCCAGAACGGACTAGCGTGGCCCGCGTCCCCGCCCAAGAAAAAGTTTCTTATCAAATCAGAAAATCGACAGGAACAAAAAAATGTTTAAAATCTTCTAAGAAACAAGCTACACCTCCGCCAACAAACCCCACCAACAACGCCTTTTTTTATACCTAATAAATACTTAATCTCAAACTTGTGAACACCCGCAAAATGTCGAAACGCGGGGTGGATGCGACAGACGATCTGTCCGCGCCATTGAAAGCTGGCGAGCGCCCTGTGGCAGATGCCCCGCCTGATGAAGTGGGGGAATTCGAGGACGAGTTTGAGGATGAGTTCGAGAGTGAAGATGAGATCCTCGAGGCTGGCGTTGACGGGCGCCCAGATGCAGAAAGAGAAGCAGAGGAGCAAAGGGGTATGTGGCTGCCCATGAAGTAAAAAACGGCATTGCGGTGGGCAACTCCGTTTCGTCGCAATTGAAGCCCCCCCCCAACGGATCACAAATGTTTACTGAGGAATAAATCAAACCAGATGCCATGGATGTCGATAAGCAGACGTTTATACCGGGGCGAACAAAACTGGCTCCCGGGGAGACATTATCTCCAGACCCTACCACTTATGAAATGCTTCACACCCTCAGCACGCCGTGGCCGTGCCTCTCATTCGATATAATAAAAGATGGATTGGGTGATAACCGGAAAACATACCCGGCCACAGTATATGCTGTAGCTGGGACACAAGCAGACAGGCTTCGTTCGAAAGAGAACGAATTGATGGTTCTCAAATTGAGCGGGCTCAGCAGGATGGAGCGAGAAAACGACTCGGGCAGCGACGACGAGTCTGACGACGAATCTTCAGAGCCCATTCTCGAATCAAAATCCATTCCCCTGAGCCACACAACGAACAGAATCCGCGCCCATCAGACTCCCTCTCCCTCCGGAGACTACTCCAAACCACCGCAGACCATTACCGCATCGATGCTTGAGAATGCTCATGTTGTCATCCACGACGTCACACCTTATCTTTCCACATTTGATAACCCCGGCTCAATCATCCCTCCCTCTGCCTCAAAACCCCTATCTACTCTACGAATGCACAAATCGGAGGGTTACGGCGTAGACTGGTCCTCCCTCCACCCCCTAGGCAAACTCCTTACCGGTGATAATGACGGGTTAATATACGCCACAACTCGCACCGAGGGAGGCGGCTGGGTGACTGACACACGTCCGTTCATCGGACATACCTCCGCTGTCGAAGAGCTCCAATGGTCTCCAAACGAGCGCAACGTGTTCGCATCCGCCAGCAGCGATGGAAGCGTCAAGGTATGGGACGTCCGATCCAAGTCGCGCAAACCAGCCGTAGACGTCAAGATATCCAACACAGACGTGAACGTGATGAGTTGGTCGCGGCAGACGTTCCATCTCCTGGCCACGGGCGCCGACGATGGGCAGTGGGGGGTATGGGATCTGCGACATTGGAAGCCCAATACATCAGGCGGCGCCTCCCAGCTCAAACCGAAGGCTGTGGCGTCCTTTGACTTCCACAAGGAGCCTGTGACGAGTATAGAATGGCACCCGTCAGATGACAGTGTAATTGCGGTTTCGTCTGCGGATAATACGCTGACGCTGTGGGATCTTGCTGTCGAGCTCGATGATGAGGAAAGCCGCGATTCTGCTGGCCTTGCTGATGTCCCGCCTCAGCTACTCTTTGTGCATTACATGGAATCAGTGAAGGAACTGCATTGGCAGGCGCAAATGCCCGGGACCATTATGGCGACTGGGAGTGGTGGATTCGGGTAAGTGTCGGAATTTTCTGTTTTCATTTCCTTTTTATATTTTCAACTACATCCACTCCACTCCATTCCTATCCGTAAATATGATGCTAACCGGCCTTCGTGGAAACAGTGTATTCAAAACCATCAGTGTTTAGGTGATTTAGGCTTTGGGGAAAGGTTCTTGGGACATATATTGGCACCGGAAACTACACACAAAATGAAAATTGCATATATCATCGGGTCACACACAAAGTATAATCCATTGTTTATTTCCCGTAGATCTCTTTCTCCTTTTCCCCATTAAATGAGCCATTAATGAATAATGAATGAAACTTTATGATATATATTGATACACTTTAGGCCTGCCCCTATAACTACAATTTTCCATTGTCCAAAAGGGATATATATCCATGCTAGCTTATCCGTGCGGGACTGAACAACACCTTAAATCAACCAACCTAAAGGAAAAAAGATATACTGCTAACTATTCCTTTTCTATTTCCGATACAACCCGCAGAGACCGAAAAAGTAATTTCTACAAATAGGGTTAATGTATATATATATATATATATATATATGTGTGTGTGTGTGTGTGTGTGTGTGTGAATTGAGGATCGATCCCGGCAGAATCAAATGCCACAAATTGGGGAAGCTCTCACTCATTTAGCATCACTGCTAGGATACTAGCTCGGCCATAGATATCAAGAAATATATCCTAGTTATAGTTGAATTCATGCATTTGTCACAGTCCTTCATTCCGCTTTGCACTGACTGGTACATGCCTAAGAGTGATGTATACCAAAGGAGGTTAAGCATGACTTCACAACGGCTCTCCCCTTCTCCCCCATCAATGGTCATCGCGAAAAGGCCACGGTTATATAAGCAGCTTAAAAAAAGGGAATCCAGGCACAGCAAACAGATGAAGTCAGTTGTCGCTTTGCAAAGGAGAGGGAATGGATGGTGTGAGTATATATATTTCTTGATTCTCCAGGATCCAGTCATGGATTTTAGAATCCTTTCTTTAAACACCCCTTTGTTCACCCCGCGTGGGATCTCTAACATTAAAGAGAAAAGTATACTTATCGTATACTTATCGCATCGTTAGTTACCTCCCCCCTTCCACCCTCTATTCTACCCCTGAAGACGTGTCCAAGGGACAGGTGGATTTCTTGAACCATCGCTGTTCTATTCCTCTTTCAAAGGGATATAGAACCAGAAACGGAGTATCGAAGGAGTATTGAGTTGTCAAAGAGGACTAATACGACCGCATATTTCTCGAGAAGCAGGTTGAACTTGGAAGGTCACGCCTGTACCCTGTTTAGGAGAAAGGGAGAAACAATCCTTATAACTCCCTCCTTGGACAGGGCAAAGGTTAAAGAAATTGCGAAATAGCATTTCCGAATCCCGAAACGGGTCAGTTCTTCTTTTAGAAAATTGTAACAAGCAAGTGAGCCATTAACCAAAACGAATCAATGGAGCATGTACTCGTATAGAGATAGAGCAGCCTCTAAACCCCCCAAAAAAGGGATCTAGAAACAATGGTGCGCAACTCTCCATCTGCCGGTAACAATGATGCTTCGGACAACCATCACGACTTGATCCCCGGACCCCACGACAAATATACTGCCAATAACAAGGCTCCGCTAGCCAACGATACCAGGCCCCCCCCTCCCCAGATCGACCCAACAGCCCTCAAGGCGGAGGATATAAGCAACAGCACCGTATCCGCCTCTACGCAAGCCAGCAGCGCATCAGAGCCCGTGCTCCACCTCCGCGGCGGCGGGGCCATAGCGAGCGTCATTGTGCCGGATCCCTATCCAGATGATGACCAGCGTCCCTCTAGGGTTCTCTGGTACGTCTCAACCGGTACCGGGAGGAGACCAACATTTGGCGAAATCAGGCGAGCGCGGACTATGCAACGGAGTAACAGCGATGGTCGTAGCAGTTATGGAGGTCATGTGCCTGAAAGTGAGAATATGCCCCAATATGCGCCGCCGAAGGAAAGGGGGAGGGGCTTCTGCAAGACAATCGGGTATATTCTAACTTGTGGTCGTTGCTTTCAGAGACGTGGGCAGGAGCCTGAGTGGGAGCCTCCGGATGAACTGGTGCCGGCCTTCTACCCGCCTCGTCCTTAGGCGGTCCCCGATTCCTCCTGTGGTGCGGGTTCACAGTCTTCACAGTCGTGCACCGTCGGAGCCCAATTTTGAGCCGTTGCCTCCACATGTTCAGCTCTCTTGTGTTGGTCCTCTGATACGCATTTCATCTATCACTACCATCATTACTCTTCGTAGCAATGGGCCATTTCGCCATGTAGACGAGGATGATTCCCGAGGTAACCGTTGGAGATCCCAGACTTGAATTGTATGGCGATGTTGTTGTTCAGCGCCTTCATTCGCACTTATTTCCTTTTTTTTCCGCTTCCTCGTCCTCTTCGTCTTCTCTAGGTCAGGAGAGGAAAAATGTTTTTGTAGTTTGAGATATTGCAGCCTACCTAGTTGGTATCAACCCCACACAACAGATAGCAGAACATCAATAGATATGATTTGAACAGAGAGTCTAGTATTGGATTCTTGAGCCAGCAATTCAATCCAGCTCCCAAATTGTCCAGTTGATAAACGGAGACAGGACGCAAGCGCGCGCGTTGCCGCGAATAATGAGATGTAATGAGTGAAACGCATTTTGCACAACCGTTTCAGGAAATAATATATCAAAGCTCATCTCTATGGACTTGGTTGGTGGCTTGGGACAGGCACGTAACGTAACCTATATGAATAAAACTGGGGTGGGAGCTCCCAACTACCCTGGAACGGATAGCTTCCCTAAAAATATAGAAAGTTTGTTCTAACAGAAACAAACTGTTTTTAAAACTCTTTAGAAGCTGGTGGATGGGCTCTCAACGCTAGCTCCCTTGTTGTGGTCCGGTTTGGATTCGTAACTTGATCCCAGCCCCGTTCCTTATTGCGTTGTGGTCAGTGAGCGCATTACAAAACCTGCTGGATGAGAGAGAGAGAGAGAGAGAGGATCTCAACCCAGGGCGTATCAAACTCTCAAGTTCGATCCTCAAACAACTGAGAGATAGTAATAGTATGGGAATCGAAGCAGATTCTCCCCAAAGAAAGGACACACCGGGATTTGATCGGAATATAATTAGATAAATCCGGCGTTCCATCATCCTCCGCCTTCTGCTCCCATGCTGAAAAAGGAACCAACGCCGAGTTTCGTTGATGCGTTAATGCACGCTATCCGCTAGTTATCCCAGGATCATAGGAACGGGCGAAGATGGGTGTGTGTGTGGTGTGTGTGGTGTGTATGTATACTGTGTATACCAACATCTTGACCAGTAACAGAGTATGGAGCATAGAGAGGCGGAACTAAACCTGGAAGCTCGGACAAGGGTAACTAGCAGTCAGTCAGTGGCGTTCTTTTTTTCGTTCCTTGCTGTCATTTTGTTTGTTTGGTGGTTGGGGGTACATGGATGTATGTAGTTACAAAGTGTTCTTTATTGATATCGATGGAGGGGTAACTATGTAACTGATCAAGCTGAAGAAAAAAAGAATACATGTAAGATGTAGTTAAGCAACAATACTCTACTACATCGTAGGTTGTGATGTGATATGGATTATTAGGCATTCCACGGCCATCTATATACCTCCATAGCCTGCATGTTGGGGGTGCGGCCACCCAGAGCGGCCTTTTTTGAGCTCAAATGATAACTTTACATGCTCTGACAAGATCACATTCATCATCATCATCAATCTCAATGTTTTATACAAATTTCATTCAGTGATGATCATCATGATGATGTATTCACAATCTGTGAATACTCATTCTCATTTCAAGATCAATATGTCTCGCCTGGCTGGATGCGAAGAAGCGCCGTCGAAGAGTTTACCGAATTAATAGCCTTATGCACCACCTTAACTCTTGATCCTGCGATTTGATGACTAGGTCAGAGAGTACTTTGAGGTAAAAAAGAGTCTGTTCTGTGAGCAGTGTACTCCCCGTTAGATCCTGGACTCGCTGTCAAATCACCAATCCCTTTCGTCTATAATTTTTGAAATCTCACGGCGCCGATTTATTTACGCCAAGACTAATTACATCTTTACACAGTAGACATGTTTCTGGTGATCACCCGGAGTTCCTACGTATTTCATCGCCAGGGAGCATTTGTGCGCAGACGTGGGCGCTTAAGACAGGCATGTTCACAGCCCAACAGTGGTGATAATTTGACATGCCCAGAGTCCCGTTGAAGCACCTGAGCTATCACGTCAGTCAATCGGATATGTCTGCTGCTTCTGCTCCTCCTTGCATTGCGTCCCCTGCATGGGGTGAATTTCATCTTCGCGCGCCTCTGGGAGCCTGTCACAATGGACTGCTCGAGTAAATTTGCTTGCCCCCGACCTCCTGCTTGAGAAGAGCCGAACCCTTGGAGGCGAGATGTAAATCACATCCCCGGCTTTCTCAAATGGACCGCGTTGGAGGGTGCTCCGTCCAAGAGAACCTCGTTTTTCCGGCCAAGAGGGAATCGAGTGAACCGCGGCCTGATTTCTTCAAGGGCTTCGCGCTGTTTGGAGAACCGTCCAACTGAGATCCAGGAGAATATTTCCCAGCGCAGCCTATCTGCCCAGCCCCAATTTTCTGGTACAGAGAAGTTATGCATGGACGCGTATTCGAAGTAAACCGGATAGAAACCTGAGTAGTCCCAATCTAGTAGCCAAAGGCGGCGTCTGTCATCGAGAATCACGTTTCTTGGAGCGAGATCATGATATGTGAACACCAATGGAGTTTGATGTGATGGAAATTCTTTCTTGCTCTGTACGCCTGCTTTTCGTCGTGACAATGGAACAAAATTAAGACAAAAACGGATGAACGCTGGAATAGCTTCTGGACAAGCATGGCAAGGAAGCTGATAAAAATCCTCCAGCCAGAACGCCCGACGCATCCCAGTGGAGAGAGATCCGGCAGTGGAAGACGTCACCTCTCTCATCCGATGCACGAACCGGCGAAGCTGATATGCCAGACCCAGAGCTGTAAGCCAGCCAAGGTGCGTCCAGGCTTCCTCCAAAGTCTGTCCATGAATCCGCTCCAGGATGATGTAAAGATCGTTGTCCCTCTCGACCGTCCGTCTGATGCAAGGCACCCTGATCCCAAAGTCGACCTGCCCGCGCCATCGCCGCAAGCACGTTCACTTCTTTCCCCCGCGAGAAGTGTTTTGCTACTAGGTTTTGGGATAGTAGAAACACACTCCATGAGAGCTTGCATGATTCGACAATGTGGCTGACCAGCGTCGCAGTGTCGTACCGCGAAAGGCGCTTTTCATCGAACTCCGCACCCACCATCTTCACAGAATCTCTCTGCACCTCTCCCTCTTTCTCTCTGTGTGTGCTGAGGTATAGCTCCGAAAGCCGAGTTTCCACTTGGAAAGATGTTTAAACAGGCCTTGGGCAATGATGGCAAACAGCGCAGGTTCCCAAAAAAGAGAAGAAGGAAGGTATAGCAAGTAAATACGCAGCTCAAGGAGATGGCAGCATGGTGATGAGCCATCCTCTTCTTTAAATGAGTTCAGCTACTTATAAGTTAGATGTGAGCTTCAGCCAATCAGAGTGTAACTATAAGACCCTTCAGTCTAAGATCATTTTAATATCACTACGCTGTATTAACCACAAAATTAAAAACAAAATACAATAATAAAGTATCTGCGTTTCTGCATGATTGAGAAATTTCTCCACACCTTAGAAATAGGCGTATAGTACGGAGCCCCCCAGGTATAGAGCCCCCCAGGTATAGAGCCCCCCAGGTATAGAGTCCCCTAGGTATAGAGCCCCCCAGGTATAGAGCCCCCCAGGTATAGAGATCCCCTGGGTATACGGAGTATGCGCGGAGAGATGGCGAAGGCTGGTGTATATCTTTTAAAAATAAATAAATAAATAAATAAATATGAAAGAAAAGAAAAGAAAAGAAAAAGGGTTGGTTGATAAGCCCCCCCAACTCATGACTGCTTTTTGAGCAATGGTGGCTGAACCAGAATCTTCCTAACCCTAACTAAACCTTTAATTTAGCAGCCATGTATCGACGATTGTGATGGGATCCGTCCTTGTCTCCTTGATCCGTACGCTGCTATTATTAATATTGGAAAAGGGATAGTCGGTATGGACTGTACATACGTACTCTGTAGCTCTGTACGGAGTAGGTAGGTAGGCGAGTAAATAATAGCCAAGCAAGCATTCCTCCAGAATATTTCCTACCTGCCTGCCTACGGAGTAAGTACCTACACAACACTTTTCAGAAGCTCTAACCATCGATACAAGCTCTCTACCAACTCCCTACTTACTCCGTACAGTCCGTCCTTTATATTAGGCTCAAACAAACCTAACCATGCCCGTGCACGGCCGCCCCTGGCGCTGCACAGGAAAGGTTAAGCAACAAAGCAGAAAAAAAAAAAAAAAAAAAAAAAAAAGCAACGGGATGAAAGCAAAATCGTGCAAGGATAACCATGTCACCAGCCGTTCTCCCGCCTGCGCCGCTGCACACATCCATAGTAACTATGCAGCGGGAGTGACGGGCTGCCATGGATGCCACTGATGCTGCTTGGGGGGCCAGCCACTACACTACATACCTAGGCAAGCACGCTTGTATGTTATCGACTAACGCCGCTTTGTTGGCTGGGCATTGGCCGCTTGGTCTATCAATCGGTGGATTCATATTTGGGACCTGGCGCGGGGGGTTGGGCTTGGAGAGAATAATAAATAATAGGAACTGGATTTTCGGAAAAAATTGGGGAAAGGAAAGAGGAACATTTGAGCTGGAAAATGATCTGAAAGGAGTAACATAACTTTCTTCTGTAACTACGGGCAAGCAACAATTATCAGAAGGAAACTGTACAGAGTAGGTACAGTACCACGGACAATAGTTACAACTAACTACGCATAGTTATCATCGTTATCATCTGTCTAATGGACAATATTGGAAAACGATGTCTGGTTCAACTTCTTTTAGACAAAAGTTTTGATTAGCGCTAAGAATTTAAGCTGTAATACTGTTACCAGCATAAAATATTACCATTCCCTGTCTTAACTAGAGTTCTAGGCGGTAAATGCCTGAATAAACAGGGACACCTTAACTAATGCTAGCCTAAATTTCAGGGTGTTTGAAGAATGATCCGTGGGAAGCCGTAACTACTCTGTACTCTGTAACTACTCTGTACAGAGAGTGAAGAGTGGAAAAACCCATCCCAGCCAGAAATAACACTCGAACTTACCAAACCCAGAGCCAAAGGAAAATATGTAATATATGTTCTTTTCTCCCCAGAGAATCTGGATCTGGGCCAACTGCAAGGCTCTGCCAACTCAACTGCCTGTAGCTTCATGGTTTGTTTGTTCTAGCGAAATCCATTAGATCAGAGGCCCGGAAATATTTGGAACCTGGCCATTTTTAGCTCTCCAGTTTCTTTGGATTATCATGGAAAACCCTGAACTGGACGTTTGAAGGTGATGGGATGGGATGGATGGTGATGTAGACAGGGGTTCTAAGAATAGCACCTAGGTATGTACAGCGTACAGTACTTTCCACCTGCATTTTTGTTACAAAAGGATCAGGTTCCTCGTCCGTCTTGAATTCGTGCGCTTGTTGTATGTGCCTTTTTTTTTTTTTTTTTTTTTTCCGAATATTTTCCCTAGAAGAAAAGAAAATTAGTTACCCCATACCATACTCGCTTCTTCATTTTGACCTAGCGGCCTCTCCACTAGACTATGCAAGTTGGCGCTTCGTGTATGGTGTAGTTATGGGTATGGTACTGGTCCACGGACGGCCCTTCTAGAAAACGTTTTCTAGCGGTAACTTAAATATGGATAACGTTCGTCGTTACCAGACACGTTTGCCTCGGAGACCTCGGGAAGGTTGGATTTGGGGACAGAGGAATCGTCGTACTGTATGTTGGGAGATGCGAGTGTCCAAGTAACGGGCTGTCCCATCCAGAACCCCCGCGGATGCTAAGCAGCTTTGATAGAAATGTGGAATGCGATTAACTACAACAATAACTTATATAGACGCGGAGAGTCATTTCCATGTAATGTCCCAGCACATTCTGTTCTCCAAAAAACATGAAACAAACAAGTAAACGCTGAGCTCCTCTCTGTGGATAGTTACATGTCATGCATGCGTCTTCTTCACCCATCTCCGGTCCCAGGCGATCAGAGATTTCCCGCCTTGGCGCTTTCGTAAACGAGCTTACGCTGCTTGGCTTCAGGCAGAAGTCGATGATAATCACCAGCCACTGTACGGAGTACGGGGGTAGGGGCGGGAGCCATTCTTGGACATGCAAGGGTGGCGGATTCAGGGAAAGTGTTCAGGGAAAGTTTTCAGGAAAAAGCTCCCCTACACTTACTCACCTGCTCACATTCAATGATGATGTTGTCTCAAGGGCCTCCCTTAACCCAGGTGCTTTTTCAAGAGATACTTGGTTATTCCGTGGGTTAGTGTGGCTATGATAAGCTCGCTCTACATGCGACTCATTTGATATTTTCAAAGAAACATTGGAGCAAAAGAAGTCCCCCCTTCAATTCTAAAAATATTCGGGTTATTGCACCATCTGAGCATCTCGGCGTCTCAGCCTGCGGAGCGCGTCAATTGGACAACTGGACTACATACCGAGGGTTGGTTGGATCAAACGTTCTGCACACCAGGAAACCAGGAAACCAGGATGTATGCAATGATAGTACATCGCATGCATGATGATGTCGTTTGTTAACCAGATCGCGTCGCATGGTTGGATGGCCCATGTACGGAGTATATGTCGCCGAATCATCTTGACCAGAGCACACTGTGGCGGCGGCCGGAGACATTGATGTCCTCTTAGTACATAATCCATACACATGACCATCATTGGCGAACCAATTCTGGACATCGAAGGTGTACCCGTACAGTAAGTACATGTATGATGGGCTCCTGGGATATATATATTGACAAACAACAATGGTTCGAACAGAACCCTAACAAATCGTATCATGTTTTCCCTGTAGCCAAACTTGGCCATGAGTACGTTGCAGAATTCCTTGCTCGTGCTCTTCCTCTAATCAACAATAGGACCGCTTTCTGTACATTTGGCCAAGGGAATAGAAAGAAACTTCCACTCACCCTACTATATACAGTTCAACCAAGCAGCCCAATGATGCGTGTTCCTGACAGGAAATAAGGGAGACTCAGGCGGCTAGGGGGAAGCAGGTGGTGCCTTAACCTAGTCAACCCTGCATGATTCCATGACTCGCATGTAGTTTTCAATTGCGGCCAGTTTCATCCATCAGTTTGAGACTTCCCTGCATCTCAGGAAGGAACCTACACATAGATTGATTGGGCTTGAAATCCTGCAAAGCATTTCCATGCGCCCATGTTTGCTTCCTAGAGAGTCTTTTCGTTTGTCCATTCCGCGTTGGAAAAACATACAGAAGAGAATAATAGAACCAAGTACATACATCTTTTTTTTGCCGCTGACGCTCCTGAAACCAACCCAGGTTTGAAACTACCCAACCAGCGGACGAGAATAGAATATTGTTTGCATGTTGGCATCATGGCATGGCATCAGCAGAGGAGGCCTCGGCGGCAAGATGGGATTGGAGAGCAGCGCCACTGATGGCGACTGCAACAGGGGCGATTGATTGGCTCTCGCGCTTTGCTTGTGTCCATGTAGGGCTTTGGACTCCCGCATGCTCCTGCAACGAGGATATGCGCCTCCAGCCGCCGTCCAGGAGGGTGTGGATGTGCCTGAATCGGACTCATCTGGCGCTCTTTTGTTGGTAATTGGCGGCTGCGTTGTAAGTTATTGACAATCTTCTGCAAAGAATGAATAAAATATATGAGGCGAATAATGAAACAGACTTTTTGTAAAACATCGTTAATTTCTGGATCAAGTTCGCGTGGTAAGTTTGCTTTCTTGTTATCGATCGATCTGCTAGTTAACCAATCTCTCATCAACTGTGACGCTCTGTTGCGACAGAGGCGCCAAAAGAAGAAAGAAAACGCATCAGAAACAGGCCACGCGCAGTTAAACTAGCCCAGGATAGCTTTGTCCTGTCCCCACGCCTTTGCTCGGAGCAATGGCTCAAGTTGATACCTTGAGCGCCAGTGGGGCTTTCTTTCTACTATGCGTAGGTGATGATGATGATGATGATGAGGGATGCGCGTGCAATCCCATCCCTCCCTGGCCGGGCTGGGGAAGGTCCAAGCGCGGTCTCTGCGTTACGCAAGTTGTCAGCAAATAATAACTAATAATGCAAGCTATGCAGAGCAAATGGAATCACCAGCCACACACACATAACACACACACACACAGACACACACACACACACACACACACACACACACACATGAGTGAAAATATTTCATAAACGCTTTGACTTTGAGAGAGCCATCTCGGTTGCGTTCGTCCAAATGTGACGAAGAGGTTGTTGCCGAAAAGCTTCGACGGCGGGCGTTGGGTGTCATACGATTAGCTCGAGGCCCCAGGTCACTGCCATGGATGGGGTATTTTACAGTCCTGGTACTCCGTACAGAGTACCGAGTACCAGGGAGGAGAGTTCCCAAGAGTTCCCACCGGGCGTTGAAGTGACCTGCAGGTGGCCATTTTGGGAGAGGCCTGGGTCCAGGGTCGTTGGTAACTGGTACCGGAGTACGGAGTACAAGATGTTACTTGTCAGGAGGGTACGGCGGCAGTACAGTACGATACGCGGTGCCAGGCACCATGGTCTGAAATTATGTTCCCTTGAGTCGAGAAGGTTGGCCTCCCAGCAACTTTCTTTCCTGGTTCGCGGGAAATGTATATATTTCGATCCTGGAGGCTTGGAAAGCGTTGAGGATTTCCTTTCTTGCCCCTGGTTATTTATCACCATGCTTGAACATGCTTGATTGTGCGCAGGCGATAGCCGTGGGTTTCCTGCAGCTAGCTCCCTCTCTCTCTCCACGCCTGTGGAGACCAAGACACATTCCATCCCATCTCATGCAACAACGGACCAGAGAGCTCCTGTATTTAGTAGTTATTTTATTACAGACCGGCGGATTGGTGACTTGCCAAAACGGGGAGATTCGTACAGAGCGAAACTTTGAATGGAACGAGTAGCCCGTATTGGTGCAAGGTCTGCCCTTAGGTTCTACCTAGGTAACGTGATGCATTGTACAGTACATACATTACATCCATACTTATGCATAACAAAATCGGTTGGTCCTGCGCCGAGGTCTGTATTTATTTGGGTCTGGGGACGGACCAAGCACTTAATCTGCGTCAAAGGTCCAAGATGTTACTTGTATCGTAGGTTCTGTGGCGTAAAAAGACAAATCTTGTACTGTAATTTCTCAGGAAGTGGAGCCGATGAGAGCTAGTACCGTTTTGTGGGGTATGAGAATGTGTTTTCGGCGGTACTCGGTACGGTACATACCAGCGTATCCGTCGTACCTAATAGCTAGCCACACCCCCATAAGCCGCAGCCGCCCCAAAGCCCAAAGCCTCCCCCAGTTCCAATCTGGAGTTGCCGCCGAGTCCCTCTGACGTTGGACCGACCAACCACAACCTCACCTCATCTTCCTTCTTCTCTCTTCCAGCTGCGTTCGCATTTCTCAGAGCCTTCGTTCGAGAGCAAATCCTTTCTTATGGTGGTTTCGCTTCTCTGCTGGCTTCTTGAAACAGTTCTGGGCTCAAATTGTCGCCCGTGCTCAAACGACGAACTGCCAAACTGCCCTGGCTTCATGTGTTCGCTGGCGCAATTGGAAATCAGCTCCAACCTCCATACCCTCTCCTCTCCTTATCTTATCCAACTATCGTCGCTCATAATTGCCGCCCATCCTCCTGGTCCCTGCTTACCTGGCTTGTCCGTTTGCTGTTTCTCTTGCCACTATTATCCCTTAATGATCGCCAAGAGCAGCCCATTCCTAGATCTGAGCTGAGAAGTGGGAAGGACAACGGAAAAAACAGAAGGATACATTTGATTTTTTACCAGGGACACCAACGCTCCAAGACGCTGGTGGTGCAAGGGAGTGTTGTAAGAGTTGCCTGCAAAAGTCCCTCTCTGCTTTGGCCCGAACTTGTCATAGCTACGGAAGTATAAGGTTGGCCATTCCATCGGCCAACGGCCCCCTACCATCCACGAGGAATAAGCAGCGTTATTCCCAATCGATATACATGTTTGGAGGGATTGATTTGAACACTTGCTCGCCACAGATGCCCAGTGCGCCTCTGGTAATCCGTTCGCATCATAATACATTCGTATTTTTACCTTTCAATCCTTGAATAAAGCTACTTAGGCCCGTGCTGGTAAGCTTGCCATGTTCTATTCCTTTGCGGACACGGATAGCTTCCTTCATAATACAAGCTCTATTTTAATTACTGAAGGCGTACCACACTCTCAATTCCCAAGAGTCTCTTCGGAATTGATTTCTAAAGTCCTGGTGAACGCCGTTAACTAATCCCCTGTCTCTCGCAGTTTTATATTCTTATCCTGTTAATCGATATAGCCTTGCGCTCAAATTGGTGTTGATCACTGAGCTCCTCGTTCGAGCTATTAGCATAAAGGCTGTGAAATACCCCCCCTCCCCCTTACGGAACGGTAACCACTTACCCCCTACGTTCCTTGAACCTGGTCACGGCGGACCGGATAAGACAGAAAACGTCTCTTGGGGAGTTTTCAAGTTCAAGCACAATGTTGTCAGATGTCATGGCACGTCAAAACTCTGTCGATACTCAGCCTGGACAGGAGCTTGTTTCTATAAGTGAAGTCGCGCCTGCCACTACTGGTAAGCCGTAAATGAGCCGTTCGCTCGGTAATAATTGCTTAGCATATATAGCTACTGACCCATTTTGCAGCACCACCTCCATCAACATCCAGTACAGCTGTTGACAATGAGAAGCAGCAGACTGAAAATCCCGATATTCCTCCACCAAAAACCGACAAGCCTAGACCTCATGGTTGCACAACGTGCGGCAGAAACTTTGCCCGGCTAGAGCACTTAAAGCGTCATGAGCGGTCTCATACCAAAGAAAAGCCATTTGAATGCCCGGAATGTGCCAGGTGCTTTGCGCGAAGAGACCTCCTTTTGCGGCATCAACAGAAGCTCCATATGACAACCACGCCCTCATCCCGGCCTAAAAATGCGCGGCGAGAAAGCACCAGCGGTGTCGGGCCTGGAGCAACTCGGGTCCGCAAAAATTCCATTGCGAATAATGGAAACACCGGTAATAGTATGAGGCCGCGAGCGAATACCATCAGCCATCTTGATCGTTCGTCAATTGGGATTATAGGTGTTGGAAATCCAGCTGGTTCAAGGCCACCTTACCCTACTCACACCAGCCATCCGAGTTTAAGTTCGATACCTGGACTTCCAGAATACGGGTTCCGGGGTCTCCCTTCCGAGCAGCCAAATACCAATGGCTTGACAAAACTAGATACTGGCATTCCTATGGACTTGACTAATGGGCTTCGTACTGCACCCGTTTTTGGTAGCTTCAATGAGGTGAACTTTGGCGACATGATGTTAAATCAGGGGAGTAATACCATCAACCCCGCCCAGCTGCATTTCGGATCGCCTCATCCTTTTGGTGGTGACACTCCGACCTCGCCATTCCACCCAACGTTTGCGGGCATGCCAACATCACAGAGCCTGATCGACGATGACCTCAACCCGGAATGGCTGCATGGATTTGAGAGTACAATGACATTCGCCAATGCAAATGAGTCCGCGATTGATGGTTCGTCACCTTCGGCTATGAGCACAGGGAGCCAGAGTGGAATCAGCGAAGTTATGTTAGATGGATCGAACCAGGCTGTGACGAGCTCCTCGGGACCGTGGTCCAATCCTCTCCTTGTCCAAACCCAAACTCCGACAAATCAATTCAACATCGATTTTACGTCCCCTTTTGCAGACATGCAGCCTGATACTGTCTCACCTAAGTCCCTGCTTGCACAGCACCATTTTTCCGACCAGTCGTTCTCGACTCCCCCTCCGAGGGTTCAGCCTGGATTGTCTGGACCACCAAATAATATATTCCATCCCCCAATGGTTACTAACGGAGATATAGGGGATTCTTCCGGTACCGTTAGACTTAACAGCTTTGTACCAAATTCCGCGCCGTCGATATCCACGGAAACCATTACCGATTCCACTCGCCAAGCTCTCTTAGCCAGTCTACATCAGCCCTCTGGTATTACCCATCGTCGATTCTCCCAGTCATCTAGCACACAACTGACCAGCCCCGGCGCACTCCCCCATCAACACTCCTTTAGCAGTAATTCATATGTTCTCCCAAGCACGATCGACCTCCAACGTTACATTGCAGCATATGTGAACTATTTCCACCCCCACATGCCTTTCCTGCATATATCGACTTTGGATTTTGATGCTCCCGAATACGCTGGCAGCCTAAAGAATCCTAATGGACAAGTAAATTCTGGCACGTCTACTATTGCTGGTGGGGGTGGGTGTTTGATTCTCTCCATGGCAGCCATCGGTGCCTTGTACGAATTCGAAACCGCGACATCCAAGGAGCTTTTCGAGTCTGCGAAGAAAATGATTCAGGTATACCTTGAGGAGCGGAGAAAAGCAGATATGTCTGCGGCACTTAACCGATCAAGCTCCCCGCGCGACAATTCCGTTCAGAATACACCTCTGTGGCTAGTTCAGGCAATGCTGCTGAATGTCATATATGGACATAATAGCGGTGACAAAACCTCTGCTGACATTGCGAGTACACATTGTGCGGCTTTAGTTAGCTTAGCAAGAGCCGCAGAATTGATCCACCCCTTGCCAGCCGAAAACCTCCCTCCCGATCAACTTGGATATCCCATTGGAGGGAGTGATATGCATATGGATGGGATAAATTCTCAAGCGTGGCATGACCATAGAGAATGGATGCGGTGGAAAATAGTAGAGGAGCGAAAAAGAACACTTTATGCCATTTTTACTTTGTCCAGCCTTTTGGTTTCTGCTTACAACCATGCTCCAGCGCTGATGAATTCGGAAATTCGGCTCGATTTGCCTTGCGACGAACAACTTTGGGCTGCGGAATCCGCCCAAGCTTGGACGTCATTGGGTGGCACTACAGCTCATCATAGGGGAATACCGTTTTCTGTGGCACTGACAACACTTCTTACAGCTAGTCACCGAAGGCAATCGGGCTCCCCACCACAGTCGCATTTTGGCGCTGGCGCTGGCGCGCCCAGCGAAGATCTTCCTCAAAGTGATCTGAAACCGAGTACGTTTGGCTGTTTGGTACTGATACACGCCTTGCATAATTATATTTGGGAAACTCGACAGCGACACATTGGCCGCCCTTGGACGCCACAGGAGACGGAAGCAATGCATGCACACACTGAACCTGCTCTTCGGGCTTGGCAGTCGGCATGGAGTGCCAACCCTAGACATAGCCTTGAGCGGCCAAACCCGTATGGGTTGGGACCTCTATCGGCGGATAGCATACCTCTTTTGGATCTTGCATATGTTAGATTATTCGTTAACTTGGGTCGATCCAAGGAAGCATTCTGGCAAAGAGATTGGAACGGCATGGCGGACGAACTGGCAAGAGGAGCCGACATTATTCAGCATGCAGATGATCCTAGAGCTGACTATCCCTCCCCGAACCAACTTGAGGGAGCAAACCAAGGTGGCGGCAGGCGAGCTTCCATGGCTGAATACGGCGTGGCAGACTTAACGCTCACTGGCAACGCGAATCAAGAACGCAACATGCAGAACAATATTTCTCAGCAGCAAATGGCAGCATCAAGACGCGAACGTCATCTTCGAAAGGCAGCATTTTACGCTGCAGACTCGATATCCATGTCTGATAAGCTAGGAAATACCTATGCTGAGTTCACGTCGCGAGAGCTTCCTATCCAAAGCGCAATGTGTGCGTTTGACTGTGCTCAAGTTTTGGCTGAATGGGTAACCACAATTCAAGAACGAATTGGTCCATATCTAGGGATTTTGGGACAGGATGCGATGGATTTGACCCAGGTTCCTGGAATAATGCTCTTGGAAGACGAGGATTACAAGCTTATTCAAAAGATACAAGAAATACTCCACAATATTGAAGTGAAAATGAAAGATGCTTTGCATCATCCCGGTAATTCTGGAAATGAACCATCGAATTGTTTGCCCAGCTTGGTTGATGGCGGTTTTGGTACAAAGATCTTGTTCTCGACGGCGTATCTTCTGGATAGGGCAGCTGTTTGGCCAGGTGAGAATAACCACTAGGTTTCGTATGCGATGTCCTTGAATTTTTCTTTTGACTGATCAATTTATTTTCTGCGTTATATAGTTACAAAGTTAATGGCTCGGTCGCTCGAAGCCCAAGGGCTCCGGATGAGAGAGAGGGCGAGGAACTCAGTCCTTGCTGGATAATTAGGAGAAGAACATCAGGACCATGTACATGCCTGCTTCTCGCATATCGGCTCTGAGTTCCTGACTAAGGCCACCACGCGGATTGATCCCGGCCAATGAAACTATCCGCGTCGTCCCTCAGGACATTTCTGCATCTAATCACACGTTGGCGTGTGAACGCATCCCCGCCAGTCTGTACACGGGCAGTTTTGGCGCTTCACACATATCCGCCGCCCACCTGCTGCTGCTGCGGGGTGATTTCATATCTAAGATCCGATAAAAATTTCCTTTCACGCTCTGAAAAGTCTACCGGAGATACTCGATTTCGAACGCCCATAACATGAAAAAATCTCCTTTTTCTTTTTTTTTTTTCCCCGCCTTCCGGATTAACGATCACGAAATTTTCACAATTGTCATGTCAGCGGTACAGGGTTCGGTCTTATTCATCACATCACAAATGGACACAGTTTGGGATTCATATAAAAACAACACGATTTGATATATTACTTATTCCAAGAAAAAATAAGGCTGGGCTTTTTCATTTATTGTATTTTTCGGATGCGGGAACATTAAAAAAAGAAGAGAAGAAAAAGGGAAACAGGAAAAAAAGGAATCGAAAAAACACCGGGAAAGCAGGAGTTCATTTCCAATCACTTATGGGCGCCTTGCTTTGCATTGCATACATGCATACATACATACACACAACTTACATTTATACATCGGGATCCAGTTTCTGAAGATTTAGTGCTTGCTGGTGGGGGCTGGGTAAACTTTCTGTTCTTTTGTGGGTGTTTTCTTATTTCTTTCGTCTTTCCGCTTTACATGTGCTTTTAAAGTACCCCCAATGCGCGATTACATACTCTTGTCGATATATTACCCATGCTTCAGTTGCCTTTTTCTTTCTGACAATGTGGACCTGGCGAATCTATTTTTGATCTTCTTCTTTTTTATGCCCCACGCTCAAGTCTCCCCGCTGTTATATTGTTCGAATCTCGACACACACACACACACACACACACACACACACACGCACACACACACAGTCAGAATGAGTAATTTATGCATGCATGGTTTTTGTCTACAGGAGGACTCGGTGTTTTAATGTCACGAACTGATGATATACTTGTTGACTTCTTTTTATGTTTGGTTCTCTTTCTTTTATTCTCACCCTGTGATTTTTAATGCTGAATTAACTACCCCGCCCATTTACCGTTCTTGATTTTTATGCTAGAAAACCCCTTTTTTTAAGCTCAGGGTCCTTGGAACTCCACTTCTGGGATTCAATAATGGATGCAATGCTTGCATACATTATTCATCACTCCCACAATTCATTCATTTAATATCTCGTTCCCACTTTTACACTTGTTACCAGTGCTACTATGTTGAGTCGAACTGGTTGCCTTGGCGACTGCTATTGATTTGCCTTCTTCCTCTCCCCCTCTCTTTCATTTAGCTTTCTCCTTCAATCTTTTCTTTCATCTACATCTACAATTTGATTTCACATGAGCTCTGCTAGCTTCATACTTCTCCCCTCATTTACCTTCTGAATTTCCTTTTTTGTATCAGAGATTTCATCATGTCATCATGTTTATGTAGATACCCCCCTTTTTTCAAAACAGGTTCAGGAATTTCAAGTTAATACAGATCATGTTATGTAGGTAGTTTTTTTGAAGATTTGATCTTCTATCTAGTAAGCAATCGGAGATATTATGAGGTATTTGTGATTACTGTATATTCACTGATACTAGAGCTATCAATGAAAGATGGAGAATGACATGAAGAAAGTGAAATATAGAATGAGAATGTATGAGAAAAACTCTGGTAGACAATGTCTCACGCCGTTAGATGTTCAATTATAGAAACAAAGCTCAAAATTAAATCGCGCTTCCAACGTGCTGAGATATGTGAGGTATGTTATGAAATCCAATGACATGTGAAAAGGCAAAATATTTCCAAGAGAACAACAGCATGATAATACATATAAAAACTACAATATCTGAACGCACACAAGCCATGTGGAGATCATCATTTCATTGGCATTGAGTCAATAATGTTTTGGAGAAACCACACCTCTACATAAAGCAGGAGTTGTAATCTCCAACTCATTCCCAAGGTTTAATTTACCATTATCAACATACAAACACACATAAAGCCATCGAGTAACACCGCCGTTCCTTCCTTACAGCGAAGGACACGGTTCCGCAATGCCGCCTACTACACAATAATCCTCTCGAACGAATACTTCCCCACAGCTTTCGCCCTCAAATACCCGATCTCACGCTCAGTCCTTGCCACCACTTCACCTGTCTTCCGGATCTTAGTCCTGCTCACTTCCTCACCCGACGCAGATGTACCAACAACATCCTGTCCCGGACCCCCTCCAACTTCCACCCGCTTAAGCGACAGAGGAAGCATCTGGGTATCGCGATTTAGCGCCCCTTCAGCACCATCGATGTTATCAGTGTCATATATGAGAATTTCAGCGCCGTTGTGTCGCTCCTTGCGCTTCAGACGGCTGCCGCGCGGCAGGGCTGGGGCCGCTTGATCAACCTGATCTTCTTTCTTGTTCTTATTGCTATTACCGCTACCGGCCCTGTTACTGTTGGCACCAGCGGCAGCCGTTTCAGCATATCTGACAAATTCGCGAAGTATGCCCTTGAGATACGTTGCTTCTTCGACGCCGACCAGTGCAGCTGAGATTTCGGATTTCATATCTGCGATTAGGCTAGCTTCGCTGTCTGTTGCGCCTGCGAAGGTGGCGGCAGAAATCCAGCCGCTTGGTCCTATGGCGTCAATGCAGGCGGTCAGAAGGTTGACCAGGGTGGATAGGCTGAGGGTGGGAATCTTGGGGTCGGGCGGAAGGGGCGCCTCAGACTGTTCTATGAACCGCGAGGTGTAGCCGCCCGTAGCTAGGGAGTGGCGGAGGTGGTGGATTATCGAAAGGGTGTCGGAGTTGGAGAGGGCGGAGCGGATCGCTTGGGTTACTTTGTCGATGGGGTAGAAGTGTAGTTTTGTGAGGGTTAGATTTAGGCCAGTGGTGGCGTCCGTTATGATGGCGTCGATACCGCGATGGGCAGGGGAGCTTTTAATCTGGTTTTCAGTGGTCATTTCTTGGGAGCTGCTTTCTTTGGCTGGGTGAGCGGCTTCGGTAATGGTTCTTGGTAATTCCTCCTCTGGCCTGGGCCGATGAGAGCGCGCGAAGTCAAGGAGGACTTTTAGTGCATGAGCAAGTTCGGTTGGGTCAAGATTTATCGGGGTCCGTAACACCTGCAACAATAACTTGATAGAAATTCCAGGCTCAGTAAGAGCCCGTACTAGTGAACCGTTTGGAATTGGTGGCACCATCCGCGGGCGCATGGACTGACAAAGAGCGGTCCGAATGTTGTTTAGGCTGAGGTGATGAGAGTTTATAAGCCAACGGAAGGTTTTGGGTGGCATAAAAGACATGACTAGCTTCGAGGTCTTAGGATCTGTGTCGCTGATCCTTAAAGAAAATATCTTCCCGAGCAGGAAGGATATCTTTTCTGGATCCACAAACGCCGCCGCTGATGGTAGATGTTTGGGTTTGTCGTCTTCACCTGATACTGAGGGTTTGCAAACTGCATCTTTCATAAGTTTGTCAAAATTTGCAGTATCTTTGACTTCGGCTAGGGCGTCAAGCTGCTTCTTTATTTCAGCCCACCGAGCAGCTTCCTCCGGCTCGCAGAGTCCCACAGGCCGCATGTGATTTGCTGGCTTGGTGCCCGTCTTTAGTACGGCATCTGATGCCAATTGAATTCCTTTGCCAATTGCATTAATCAAAAGTCCATCACCGGACTGTTTCAGAGACCCGTCGTAGCGGTCAAGAGATGATGAAAGATCGAAACCAAGAAGTGTAGCTCCACGTGTCGCAATGGCGATTCCAAGCTTCGAAAAATAGGAGATAAACACTACAGGTGCCTTATCAGCATCTGATTTTGTGGCGATTACGGTAGAAATATCTTTTAAAGAAAGGTCCGCCTGAATTGATTGATATCGTGCGTTGTAAATCGCAACCGATGATTTGCCGGCACCAATAACAGACTGCGGCGATATCCGCATGATGGATGAGAAATTTTCGTTGGGAAAAACCATGTAGGACAATATTTCAGGTGAGTATTGAGATATATCGTAAATTATAAACCCGTTTGTAAAAGACAATGACAATCCGCTAGTACTGGGATGGAAGTTCCATTGGAGTGATTTGGGGTCGACTGGTGTCTGTTCCTCTTCCAAGTTCGGTAGACTAATAGTCATTAGGTGTCGTAATCGTTTTGCATGACTTATTGAGAAACCATCATCTGTAGCCTGGGTGGATAGAGAGAAAACAATCAGGTCGAAGTCGCTGGGGAGCAATTGCTCCTTGTGATGTGGCCGGGAAACAAGTATCAGCACTGAGGAAGTGCCCGATTCTGCTCCAATCTCATCACCTAATACCGTCGCTACGATATCCTGCCTTTTCTTGAATAGTGACTTGCGCGCGTCGTCGAAGGCCACAAGGAATCCGGTCTGGATTTCATGTGAAGCTGATTTGTCATCAGTGGTTGGCAGGATATTCCACTTCTGAGTCTTGAGGTCCGGCGAGAGTCTGCGGACTCGTCCATCTTTATGGACTACAAGGACGTCGAAGGGATCCTGTTGTTTCTCTGCCTCTGGGGCTGTCGGGATAATGCCAAGGAAAACAACAGGGCTCCGGGCATCTTCTAGCTTGAAAGAGGTGTTGGAAACGTTTAGCGCATTGTGAGCACCGGTAGTCGACTGATCCAGGAAACACTGCACTTGATTCTCTGGCTGTTCTATGGCACAATAAGTGTGCCTTCTCGCAACTGCATTTTGTTTCGGGCTCGACTTTTGGCGGACGGAGCAGGGTGGGCAGGAAAACGAAGACTGCGGTGGAACTGCATAGGAGGTGACCAGTTTTGGGAATTGAACCTGGTCCCAATAGATCAGCAAAGTATGGAAATGAATAGCAGGCAAAGGGATAAGGACCTTACATTGTAAATGTTCACGCTCTCCCCGTCAATAGCAGCTGCAACTTCATACCGCTTTCGTTTCTTAGAGCCTTCCACGCCGTAAACTTTCCCTAGTTGGCATTTACCAGCTGAAGCTCCCAGCGGCCGTGGCAATTGGGCTAGCACAAACGGCGCTTGTAGCTCCATATTGCGAAATGTAGCGTCCTTTTGACGGAAGCGCAACGGGGTATAGTATAGACCTTGAGACATGAACTTCGTCTGTCAAAAATATTGTAACTTTTTGGGCGGCTATCGGGGAAATAATCTTCCGAGATAGTTAACTAACTACGCCACACTAGCCGAATCCGGCAACGTCATCGGCCGGGCAGGACGCGTGATTTGGCGAGACGCGGCGAAGAAAGCGCGACAAAAAGACAATGAAGGGACTATTTTCAACTCCATCTGTTCAGATATGATAACTCTCATTGTAGGACGCTAGTTCCGGCTCGAACCTCTGTGAACTGGGTTATTTGGATTGTCTCTGGGTCTATACAAACTCCCCATTTATGGGAGGCTGTAGAATTCCCGACTTTACTCTTCGGGATCAGCTTCACAATGCGACGATTCTCTAAGGAATTGAATGGCTGCTATTGCTCTTGAAAGGGCCATGGGGCAGCATGTCCAACGGACCTTGCACCCGTTCTTTGGGAAAGGTTTGTGGAATTCTTTGTTACTTATGATAGTTTGTTAACCATCGCGAAAGGCCCAAACGATACCGACCCTTCATCGTCGTCTGAATCCCCGCCTTTACGACCCGTGGAACCTGAAGCTAGAACGGCAGTCAGGAAAGACGCTGTCAACATACCAATAGATCCTACGTCTGGTTCAGACAGTCCTGATCGGAGCTGTATGAGACGTTCGTCTCGTAGCAGCAGGAAGAGGGACGGGCGACTGCAGCTCCAGCTCACAAGTGCTGTACAGCACCGCGAACCTATCCTGAAAGACGAGGATGTCAATGCCAACCGGAAAAAGCGCCGAAAAACAGAGACTCCAGAACCTGCTGGGCGGGTGACAGAGGGACTAGTACGGCAACATTTGGTTCAGCACAATCCGGTCCCTTCGTTGGGTGAACAGCTCGAGTCCGCTGCCCAAGGCGACGTGAATGCGACAGAAAAATATTCTGTGGCTCGGGGAGTCGACTTGCCCGCAACGGGTACAGCTTCAGAGAAATCACAGAATCAACCTTCTTCCTCTTTATTAGAATCTTGCCAACCATGTGTAAAATCTGTCAATACAAGCCCGAAACCTGATGATCTTCCTGTCAAAACGTTAAGGTTAAACCCGAATGGCAAATTATTGAATTCTCCCTTTCGATCTGAAAGTGAATCCCGGAGTCTTGAAGAACGGAGCAAAAAGAGGAAGCCTACTTCTCAGAAACGAAGCAAAAAACAATCTGCGATCGTAACTTTAAGATATGGAGTCAATGAAGAGTCCCGTTCCTTGATAGGCCGACAAATAAACGAAATAATTGGTGGTCGGAAAAGGCATTCCTTATTAAGGGAAGCGGTCTCCATCCCTACACCTCAACAACCTTCGAAGCCTACGCATCCTTTTTTCCTTGGCAAGGCTGCTCAGAGGACGGAAGAGAAAGCTGAACAGAGTAAGGATTCATCAACGGATCACCTAGCATGCGCTCAAAAAGACAGAACATCCACTGCAAGCAAACTATCGGAACATAGCCCCCAAAATTCTCAACCCCCTTCGACCTTCTCTTCTGGGGGACCTGATAATTCGAAGACTCCAGCAGTGAGACCACGTTCGCATTTCCCAAAAATTCAAGATTCCATCGATCCGATTTGGCCACCTCGAGGGGCTATCCATGTACGTGGGCTTTCACCTAATGACGATAACAACAGTTCGTTTATAGATTTCGAAGAGAGAAAAGCAAAAGGCTTGGTCGCCTCAATATCAGAATATGAAAATATCCTTTGTGTTCAATCACGATTATTGCGGCATATTAATAAACGCGATGCAAAATCTGCAGTGTTAAGATGTCCTAACAAAAGAACATGCAGTCGTGACACCCTTTTGGAAATAGCTATGAATCGACTTGGTTTAACTGCGACACCCACGGATACGATCGGCGAACACTTTCCACATCAGCGAACCTCAATGCCGTACACATCTCACCCTGCAGTAGCTCAACTGCTATCTTCTGTACGATCCTCAATGACCCCCTTCGAACGAGGGGAATTCGATGACTCCCCATGGACGCAGAAGTATGCTCCTAGTGGAGCTGATTTCGTGCTGCAGTTGGGTACTGAGGCCTTGGTTCTAAAAAAGTGGCTACAAAGTCTCACCGTATCTACAGTAAATAGCGGCACTTCCCCCAGTGATGGGAAGCAGCCTAAACAGATTCCAGACGACGGTGCAAAACGGAAAAGGCGGAAAAGACCTAAAGATCTTGATGGTTTTATTGTTTCCAGTGATGATGAAGAGCCCCGAATGGATGAAATCGATAGCCCTAACGATGATGACGAACTGGCTGGCGGAGTGACTATATCTAACAAACGGACGGTCGTTAGATCGGATAATCCAATTGCACGCAGCAGCAGATCGGCCCCTGAAAAGCGTCCAGTACCTAATTTGATACTTATCAGCGGGCCTTCGGGTTGTGGCAAAACTGCTGCTGTTTATGGTGTTGCTAAAGAGCTTGGGTTTGAAATTTTCGAAATAAATGCTGGAAGTCGTAGGAGTGCAAGGGATGTTGTTGAACGTGTTGGAGATATGGCCCAAAACCATCTCGTTCAGCTCCTTGGACAGGTCGATGATAACTCACCTGCCGCGTCTTCGCTTAAGTCGTTGTTTTCCACGCCCAACACTGATACTGGAAAGCAAAGCACCATGCAAAACTTTTTTAAGCAGGATACGAAAAATTCAGGGCCGAGGGCAACGGACAAGGATGGTGCGCCTGCTCCGGACGGAAAAGCTCCGGTGCCGAAAACGCAACCGAGCCAGAAGCAGTCTCTTATACTCTTTGAGGAGGTGGACATCCTTTTCGAAGAAGACAAGCAATTCTGGAGCGGTGTTCTAACACTCATTAGCCAATCCAGGAGACCAATTATTATGACTTGCAATGATGAAAGCTTGCTCCCCCTGGAGCTGTTGAAACTCTATGCGATTCTTCGGTTTCGGCAGCCTCCTTTTGATCTTGCTGTTGACTACCTTCTCCTCCTTGCTGCCAACGAAGGGCATATTCTGGACCGTGAATGGATTTCCGAACTTTACACTGTCATGCGCGGGGATCTTCGGGCAACCATCATGCAGCTGAATTTTTGGTGCCAGATGGCTGTTGGGAGTAAGAAGTCAGGACTAGACTGGCTGACTTCGCCATCTGTTTGGCGCGGTGGCTACATACAACAGGCCAATCTTCCTAGAGTCGTGAGCACGGACACTTATGTCCATGGGATGGGTTTGGTCTGCCAGGATCTTGCGTGCGATGAAGATCCTTACGAACGAAGGAGTCAACTTATGTATGAGTGCTTATGCCAATGGCAAATGGGGCTTATGGACTGGCATGAATCGAAAATATGTCGGGGCAAGTTACGAGGTCACGATGGTCAGAGCCGCCTCGAAGCGCTGGCCCAGGAAAGTCGAGAGGCTGATATGAGGGCTAACCTCGATATTATTTGCCGGGGCTCTCCTGATGCGTTTAGCGATGTAAGTCCATGTTTTTTCGAAGATTAGCTACCACATGATTAATGCTAACTGCATCCACAGGATGTCCTTGACTTTTCCTGGCCCGATATGACTAGTAAACAGCGATCCACGTACACAGAAGGGCATCAATTGCTACAAACAGACCTACTGACCGACTATGCATGTCTATCAACAAAGATCGGCGTCTCAATGACCGTTCTATTGGACGACTTTTTCTACGACTCCTTGCCATCTTCCGACGAAAACACCATTATTCAACAGGCTCTAGAGAAATTCACTTCTCATAAACCTACATACCTAAAACAGTCCGATCTACGCGACACGTTTGAACCAGTAATGGGTAATCCCGATCCCTTTAATCCGCCACCTGGGCGTCAATCTTTTTCATTTGACAGCGGCACAGCACCCATTTCCGAAGATCTGGCACCGTATATCCGAGCAATTGTCGCTTTTGATTTACGGCTCGAACAACGCCGGTTAGCGCTTAGCGGTCCCATTTCTCTTGACTCAAAAAGCAACAAACGGGTCCGGACGACAAGGGCTAGTCGAGCGGCACTTGAAGGAGGTGATAAAGCAAGTGTACGCAAGGATAAATGGTTTACGGGGAAACTCGATGCTAAAAGTGTCCTTGCTACGGGATGTCCGGAATGGCAAGACGCACTCGGATGGGCGATTCATAGGGCCTCTGGGGGCCAAGTTCTGGGGGACAAGGAGGGAAACCGGTCTATGGATGAGCAGGGCGCTGGGAGCTCTAGTGAGGGAGGAATATAATTTATCCATATTTTTGAAATTGCTCTATGTGAAAGGATAGATTACGAGTTTAATGGCTCTTTTTTTCCTCTGTTAATAGAGGTTCTTGACACTTTCCCTTTTGAGTAGCAAACCCAAGCATTTTTTTTTGGAACTGGTCATACAAGAAGCAGAGTCAGGCAATGATGTAATTAGCACGTGACTAAAAGGTTTCTTCGTAGCAAAAGCAGGTAAGGTAGTTATTAAATAAGTTTGAAGTGTTTTATCGTGATAAATAATATAACTTCTTCTAGGACATAAGTCCCAATTTCAACGTCTTGTCGTAAATCGATCCTGAGTGGTGTGCTTGGTGCCAACCCCGTGATGTGGCTTATCTAGATGTCACTTAGCGCCGAGCAGCGAGTTCTCCACTCCGGCGACATCGCAGCACCCAACCCAGCCTCCGCCAGGCAACCTGATAAACACACCTTGAAGCTATCTCAACTCTTCCCTCACGATCGACCTGAGTGGTGAGCATTTGCAATTGCCGTGTTTCGCTACTCTAGCGTAGTAGCTCCATGATTCCAGTGTGATCTGAATAGGACCTAAATCACAACCCATACCCCCCTCCTCCCACCACGAACCCAGCTTCGTCTCCTTGCTCCACTCAACATGTCTCTCTTCGGTAGCTCTCCCGAAGACTCTCCCGTGACCAAGGCCAATTCCACATCCCGCTCCAAATCCTCCTTATTTTCAGACCAGCCGGGCCTGGGTGCAACTTCATCCTCTGCTCTATTCGCGGACGATCCCCACGGTGATTCCTCAGCATGGAACTCGCCAAACCCGAAAAGGGCAGCGCGCCATGAACTTGTCAAAATGCTATTGCCAGCTTCTGAGGTACCAGAAGGGTACATTGATGCATATGATGCAGTGTTGCATTCGGGAGATAAGCTTGGTGCTGGCATTTCAGTTGAGGGAGCAAGGAAGGTCCTGCGAGATACCGGTCTGAGCGCCGAGGAACAGGCGACAATTCTCAATATGGTGGTGCCTGGTGGCCGTGATTTGCCAAATGGGCTAGGGAGAGGTGAATTCAACGTTTTGTTGGCTTTGATAGGTTTGGCTCAGGAAGGTGAAGATCTCACTTTTGATACGATTGACGAAAGAAGGAAGAGTAAGTTGTCTTTTATTTTGCGCGTTTTCGTCTTGATTTCCCATAAATTGCGGGATTGCAAATTTAAAGTCATTTCTAATCAGTTTTCTCTACGAAATTTTAGGACTGCCCAGACCTAACATACCTTTTGTCGATCGGCTGAAGTCCCGCAACGGCACAGCGATAGCGCCACCCGAAAATGCAGTCCCTGTCCCGCACCAATCTCCACCGCGACGGATGACGCAGGGGTCTTTTGGGGACTCCGACCCATGGGGAAGTCCGGCACTACATCATGGTCATAACCATTCCATAGAGAATGGTATTGGAGCTAGCCAAGGAGTCAATGGGTTCGTCGCCTCTTCACATTCTGCTACAAGTGGTTTCGCTCACAGAATTTCAAGTGGATATAATGCCCAGGCCGATTCCGCCACTGAGGGTGATCGATCTGCTGGACAACCACCTAGCGATAATACTCCCGGGAGTGTCGCGTCTGGTTGGGGGGATAATTTCCCTAACCCAGCCGGTACCGGCTTTGGACCCGGCGGAAACGCCGGTCTTGGGGGCGGATTCGAACAATCAGGAGATGATCAAGGAAATAATAATTCTAATAATACATCTAGGACCATTGGCGGTGGCAGAATCACCTCCCACGGTGTAGAAGAAGTGATCACGATCAACATGCTACCCGAAAAAGAGGGCATGTTCTTTTTCCAGCACAGAAACTACGAAGTCAAATCCTCACGTCGAGGAAGCTCTGTAATCCGGAGATATAGTGATTTTGTATGGTTAGTGGACTGTCTACAAAAACGGTATCCGTTCCGGCAGATACCACTTCTCCCTCCAAAGAGGGTCGCAGGTACGTTGGAAGCTTGATATCAAGCTTAAAAAATACTCACAAATGCGTCTTTCAAGTCAATGGCACTCACCTCGCAGCGGATTCAAACTCCTTTCTCGACAAACGACGAAAGGGTTTAGTACGATTCGCAAATTCGCTTGTTCGCCATCCGGTTTTGAACCAGGAGCAACTGGTGGTGATGTTCCTTACCGTTCCCACAGTACGTAGAGAAAAATACAGACATTCTAACCCGAGATATTTTGCAGTTAAATAATGCTAAACCCAACTACTAGGAGTTGTCCGTCTGGCGAAAACAAGCTACTATTTCCGTTCAGGAGGAATTTACCGGCAAACCACTACCTCCGGATCTCGAAGACTCACTCCCTCCGACTTTGAATGAGACTTTTGACAGGGTTCGTTCAGGCATCAAGCGTTCAGCTGACATTTATATCAACCTTTGTAATCTACTTGACCGTCTTGCGAAACGCAACCAAGGCCTTGCCGCAGACCAATTCCGATTTGCCAGAGCCCTGGGCGCTCTAACCGATTGCACATCAGATATGTATGCTGTCGACACGAACGACGTGCCGCTGTTGAACAACGGCATAAACTCTACAGCCAAACACCTTGTCGCGAGCCAGGGATTGCTGGATGATGAAGCCCGGGCGTGGAATGATGGTGTCCTGGAAGACTTCAAGATCCAGCGAGATTGTCTCGTGGCTATGCGCGAACTCTTTGATCGGAGGGACCGCTATGCCAAGGACAACATTCCACAACTCGAGCGGCGGATTGAGAGCAATGAGAGGAAATTGCAAGATTTGCGGACTAAGCCCGAGGGGACTGTTAAGCCTGGAGAGGTGGAGAAAGTTGAAGATGCGATTATCAAGGTAAGAAAAGAAACGGCCTGCTTCGTACTTGGCATACACTCTCACGCTACGACACGTGAAATGAAAATAAACTATAAACCAGTTTTGTGTCATCACTCAACTAATATGAAATTTTCTCTGTCGTTCTCTGCAGGACAAGGAGTCTATCGTCCAACAACATGCGAGAGGTGTGTTCATCAAGGAATGCATCCGCGACGAGTTGCTCTATTTCCAAATGAGCCAGTATCATATCAGCCGGCTGCATCAGGACTGGAGCCAGGAGAGAGTGAAGTATGCAGAGCTGCAGGCCGATAACTGGCGTGCTCTATGCGAGGAAGTTGAGGCGATGCCTACTACAGAATAGAGGGTTGGATTGATTGTGGATATGGCAACGAACAAGCAACCCGGTTGCGTTTCGAGGATGTTGGTCGAAAGGTGTGGATGTGAATATGATAAATGGAAAAGGTTTAACTTTCCTGTCGAACGTGTTATTTATTTGAACTCTTCCCGTCTTCGTTTTCATCTTCACCTTGCCTCTCTCCCCGACGATATTCTTACTTTTTTTCACTTATCCCAAATTCCCCTGTTCGCATAGTCTGATTTTGATGACATCAAGTGGGTGTTTTTCTGTATCCAATCCCTATTTCCAATATTTCTCTTTGATGATGAAGCCCTTTTATGATTGCTTGGATAGCCGGTTAATTTCTTGGTATTTACCACTTCTACTAGTTCTGAGTCTGCCTTCGCTGGTGTCAAGTTTTGAGATTCAATTTCCCTCTTTTGAGCTCCCATTCTTTTTATACCCATTCTACCCAACCGACCCATTTCCTCCAATGTGTCACAAATTCGTCCGCACGCTCTTTCTTTCGTGCTGTATATAAGATGATTTTAACTCTGTATATCGAGAAGTTGGTTAGCTATAACCATTTCACTCCCTCCTATTCCAATTGGAAATATATTTCGTCATTTTCCGAAGTCCAGTTCGCCTGTCGATTGATAGCGTATTTATCAGGGAATTGGCTAGGCTCTGTGGCTGCCCTGTACACATTTATACAGTTATTTGATTGATACGAATCTTTACACTTTGTCCTAAAACACCTCACAAACCAAGTCTTGCATCATCATATCTAGCAGATAAGCCGCCCAAGAAAATGAAATCAAGCAATTGCCAAGCTCAACGCAGTGGGACTAGAACCCACATGAGCGGGCTGCAGCCAAGAGACTTCCAAGCCGTCGATCTGTGACGGAGGGTCTTTGCATACAGATTTCCAAACGTCGTGATATCGGAACGTGGAAGAGAGTGTTCATAGACAACGATGTCGCTGAGACGTCAAAGACAGTGTAGTTAGTGAAATAGATATATCCAACTTCTTCTCTCTCTCATTGGCTGATTATTCATCAGCGGCGATAATCCTTGGCATCAAGCCATCGCCATCGTCTGCTTCCAGGGCCGAAGGAGAACATCTCCACTACCACCACCAGCACCACCAGCTCTCGGACTCGGGTCTGCTAATCTGATCTAACTGGGAAGCTGCCTGTATCTCCAATTAATCTAATTGATCTCTCCAATCTATGCAAGGGATAGAGAGATAAGCGCTGACAAAAACCGCGCGCTAGAAGGATCTATGAGAAGAGGATAGGCTCGTCATGACACAGATGAGCAACAAACCAAGGCACAGACGTTCCCCGTGCACTAAAAACCATCGCGAGGGGGGCTCTTAGTACAGTACATAGCTCCTCTATTCTCCAGCGCCACTACACATCTTACTGGCTCCCTGAATACCGCCAGCGTCCCTTGTTTCATGCCGTCGGTTGAAGCTTCTCCGCTCCCTCCGCCGTCGGGAAAAAAAAAGAAAAATATTCACTCCTTTTCCTTCTCCTCCTTCATAAACATTTCGCAAGGTAAATAAATACCTTTGCGCGGCATGGAAACAGAGTGGAATTGGAAACCGCTCTCTAAACATTTCTTTTTAAACGGTATCTGAACTTACTGACTGGCTGCTCCGCAGAGTGTCCTAGATTTCGCATTTTATCGTTTCACCGCGTACGTCCTCGTGACAGCGCCACCGACAAAGCGAAACTCAAACTGTCGTTTTCGTTGTATGAGTTTACGGCGATTAATTTGCTAGAGGAGGACTATGCCCAGCAGTGGCTTGTTGAAGATTGATTGAGGCGGGAATTTCTTTGGTGAAAAATATTGCGGGAAGAGTTGGTACACCGCCACGAGATCCCGTGCTGGCTTTTGCTCTGGTTGGTTGCGTTCGTTTGAGGCGTTACGGCTGTAAAGGGAAAGAAAAGAAAAAGAAAAGAAGAAGAGGAAGAAAATATTTGAAGTTCCCAGGAAGCCCAGCGAGGAAAAAAGAGAAAAATTGGGTGCTTATGGTTCCCGCTTGCACTTGAACATTGCCAATTCCTCTCCTCTCTCTCTACTCCATTGGCCGCGGATATTAAGCTTCAAGGAAAAACCAGGACCTCCTCTTCACGCTCCATCATTGTCCGTGTCGAGTATAAGAGGGTTATGCAATCATGGCGTGGGAGCATCTTTCCATCGATAAGCCGCACGTGGCCTACATGATCCTAGGCGGGTTTACGAGCTTGTTTATGCTGTGTTCACTATTCGTCAAGGAAAAACTATATATTGGCGAAGCGACAGTGGCAACATTATGCGGTGTCATATTCGGTCCTCACGCTGCCGACCTCTTCGACCCGATATCATGGGGGAATGTAGATAAGATCACACTAGAATGTTCGCGCATTGTTCTTGTCGTCCAGTGCTTTGCCGTCGGTGTCGAACTGCCCAAGTCGTATATGGAAAGGCATTGGAGGTCGGTCGTCTTGCTTTTACTTCCCGTCATGACCTGGGGATGGCTCATAACGAGCCTTTTCATATGGTGGATGGTACCACCCTTGTCATGGCTGGAAAGTTTGGCCTGCGCTGCATGTGTTACTGCCACCGATCCCGTCCTAGCTTCGTCAGTTGTCGGGAAGGGAAAATTCGCAAAACGTGTGCCCAAACATCTTCGAGATTTACTCTCTGCAGAGTCAGGCTGTAACGACGGCATGGCTTTCCCGTTCATCTACCTTGCTATCTATCTTATTCGGTACCGGCCAGATTCGAAGCAGGTGGCCTATCATTGGATCTGCTTCACTCTCCTCTACGAATGCATTTTCGGAGCCATTTTCGGTTTTGTGATTGGATACATCGGACGTCACGCTATCAAATTCGCCGAACGGAAGAGTCTCATCGATCGAGAGAGTTTTCTTGTGTTCTATTTTGTATTAGCCCTGTTCTGTGCAGGTGCAGGCAGTCTATTGGGTATGGACGATTTGCTTATCGGTTTCTCTGCTGGCGTGGGATTCAGTAACGATGGATGGTTTACAGAAAAGACGGAAGAATCCCACGTTTCCAACGTTATCGATCTACTGCTCAACTTGGCGTATTTCGTCTATTTTGGGGCAATTATACCATGGCAGCAGTTCAATGCGCCCGAAATTGGGCTGGTGCCGTGGAGGTTGGTTATAATTGCGATTTTCGTGATATTTTTCAGGCGACTACCCATCATGTTAATGTTGAAACCTTTTATACCGGATATCAAATCATGGCGAGAGGCGATGTTTGCAGGCCATTTTGGTCCAATTGGTGTTGGGGCTATTTTCGCTGCTATCCTCACCAGGGCCGAGTTGGAAAATGGAACAACCCAGCCTCTTGCAGTCCTGCCAAAGCCTGGCGAGCACAACTACGTGATTGTCACTGTTATTTGGCCGATTACGACGTTCTTGGTGATTTCATCCATCATTGTGCACGGATCTTCGATTGCTGTCTTCACCCTCGGAAAGCATATCAATACCTTGACCATCACGATGTCCTACACTCAAACCAACGATGATGGACCGTCGTGGATGAACCGACTTCCTCGCATCCAAACGCAATCAAAAGCGTCCCTGTCGTTACGCAAAGAATCAATGGAGTCGGACGCGAACGGGAGACTTCCTGAATTCCCGCCTGGTACTCTTCCCCCTATTGGGTTTCCAGGAAATCTACTACGACGCCAGAGAGAAGATGCCGAGAGCGAACCAAATAGTCGCGCATCTAGTCGCAGGCCTTCGAGAAGACGGAAAAGAATCGCCGGTGGACCGATTAGTCAATCTGCAATTATGCCACGGAGGAGGGTGGAGGAAGCGGCTGTTTCTATACAAGGTGAAATCACAAAGGAGAACAAGCCTCCCTTGGAACCACCCGAGCCGGCAACCCAGGAACCTAATATGGAAGTTTACCGTGAAAGCGACAAGATAATCGTTGAAGACGAGGAAGGTAATGCTATGGATACTTCCAACTTCAGTCAAATGAGCCCTAAGGACCAGGAACACTTCCTTCAGGATCATAATGAGCTTCGCCAAAATCGAATCGGGGAGCTTCCAACATCCAAGGCTCAAGAAGAAGAAAAATCCGACAGTGAATCCGCAGGCACTGCCGTTGGCGAGAAAGCGGGACATACTCGTGAACAAATTAGAGCACGCCTCCCTTCATGGATCCGTGGAGGACGGGGAAGAGAGAAAGAATCTAAGGACACCCCATCCAATAAAAAACCGGACCAGGGACGTCGTCGACCGGCAAAGGCATATCAATTTGGAAGCACGGTCATTGTCGAAGATGAAGATGGCGAAGTGATCAAGAAATTTACCATTCCTCCTGATGAGATGCGTTCGAAGGACGTCGAGGAGGCTGGCCCTAGTAGTTCTGCGGAGGCTAACCCTCCATCTTCCATCGAGCTTGAGCCTATACGCCGAAAGCTATCCCGCGTAGGAAACTGGATTGGCCTTGGAGACCAGAAAGAAGGAGGCGAATCTTCCTCTAAGAAAACGCAACAAGTCGAAGGTGAATCGTCCGACGACGAACGACTGCGATTCACCGTAACAAGGCCAGACCTGATGACAAGGCCCGACATGGGGCGCAGAATGAGCAAGCAAGATTTTATCAAACAGATTCGCACGTTGGACCCCAAAACCCGTACGGAACTGCTTCACCACTCCTCCACCCCGGAACAGGTGAAAGCCGCCCTCCAAAAGGAGCCTGCTCGCCCATCTTACCGTCAACATCAATCAGCACAATCACAATCACACCTATTCCCGCAACCCACCCACGACTTCCAATCTCCTGGAGTAACAGGACAAGAACCACAGCAGGACGACATCACCACCACCATCACACGATTCTCCGACCGCACGACCACGAACGCCAGAACCCGTCGACGGGACCTCATAGCCACTTCCAGCGATGCAAGTGAACCGAGCAGCTCCACGTCCGCATCCTCCACCGGCAACCGTGGCGATTCCGAAGACGACGGTACCGAGCGCATCCCACCCTCCCAACTCCGCCAACTAGCCGGCATACCCCTTCCCTCCCCGCCCACACCCTCCCAACTAGCCATACACGACAGCGCCGAAACGCCTGCTGAGCGCAAGCGCCGGCTAGCAGCGTTGGGCGAATTGGCTAATGACGATGACGATGACGAGGTCGATGATGGCTGGGATGGCACGGAATCCCCCGGAGGAACTCGTGGGCGCGGACGACAGAAATGTCAGCCTGTGGCCATCACCCACGAGCCTGATAGTGAGGATGATGGCGAACCGCGGGCTGTGAAGGGGAACGTGCAGTTTGCGGATGGGACGAGACCCGCGAGGAAAAGAGGTGCGGCGGGGGAGGTGGTTATCGCTCCGTCAAGAGCGTATGGAGCTAGTACGCGGTCTACTGCTCGCGATGGGGACGAGGGAGAGGGTAATGGTGGTGGCGGAAATTCTGATACTGGAGGTTTGAGTGAGAGGAGTGGGAATGGGAATGGAGGGAGAGGACACACTCCAAGAGTGTCGTGGGGTGGGGAGAGGGGCAGGCATTTGTAGACAAAGGCTTGGTCGGGGTGGGGGATGAAGCCGGGAAAGATATGTTCTGAGTACAAATTAAATGGTTTGGTTGGCTATGATTTGATGAGCACTGCCTACTTTTTTTGTCTTTGTCTTATGTTAGATACCTGATGCTCTTTGTCATTTTCTTCATTAGAGTTGTACGGCTAGTTTTTTGCTATGACTTTTATGATATTTTTTCCCCTTATCTGTCTCTATTTGGTTTCGTCTCCTTTTGCGATTCAGCTTTTAATTTTTACTATCAAGCGACGTTTTGTGCAGAAATTGTATGCACTCGTTTTCCTTTTGACCTTTTCTTATGCTAAATTTATTATTCCCGTGGCCTTTAGTCGTTACGTGTGATGATGATGATGGTATATGATGGGTTGTGTATGTCAATAATATATGTGTCTGTACATGCATTGTAATTTAAGCCTATAATATCTACTTGAAAATAAAGTTTATCTTCCCGTAACCTTAAAGCTTAATTTAGGAAGCTCACCCACCCACAGCTTGGTTCCCTCATGCGTTTTCCCACCCTTCTTCCATATGCAAAATGTTTCCAGGGAATACTCCCTTTTCCCCCGAATTTAAACTTCAATTACTCCCTCCCTCACCCCGCCCAACGTTTCCTTTTCATGTAATCTGTATATATACTAGTAAGTTAGTGGTTTTTAACCGCCAAAATACACCGCCCACTTACTCTCCCCGCTAACCACATCCAAGAACTGCTCTCCAATGATCTGCTCGGTCCGCTGCGACGGATGCGAATAGTCAAACCACATGAATGACTCTGGGTTTCCTAACCCCTGGCACTCGGACATGTCGAGGTTGCAGTGGTAGTTATATCCGGTTACGTTGGCTAGGGCAGCCAGGTACTCATATGGATGGTTGTAGAGGTGCGTCATCTGAGGAAAGGGGAGGAAACACGAACGGCAAGAAATTGTCAACAAAACAGTTTGCCCAGCAAATAAAAAAGAAAGAAGAAGAATAAGGGAGCCGAAAAAAAAAAAACCCCAAAACTCTCCAAACCATTAACATCCATAAGCGCAAACCCTGCCCCCGCATACCTCCCAGCAACCAACACCTCATACCCCGTCCGATGCCTCAACACCCCATTCACCATCGCCACCTGCTGCCACATCCGATAACTAACCCGTGTAATATTCCCCAGCTTGTCCGGCCACGCCCAGGTCTCGCCCACCCCGCCGCGCTCCGGCGTCTCAGACAGCGGCGTCAGCTGCATCGGCGGAATGTTCATGAGCACAAAAGAGAGCGTGCCCCGCGCATACACCCCGTCGAGCCCGGCGTATATGAAGTCCATGGAGTCTGCGATTGTCCTGTTGGGCTCCTGCATGTCGGTGAGGAAGCCGTGGTTGGCGAGATCGTTTGTGCCGATCCAGATTGCGTAGACGGCGTCGTCTGCGGCGAGGGATGGGGGTGTCTGGGGAGCTGGAGTCGGCTATTTAGGAGGGAATTTCATATTCGAGAAAGGAGGGGATGAGGGTGTCTAGGAGGAGGGGGGTTATTTTTTGGGAGCAGCCAGCGTAGTTGGAGACGGTTGGGCCGGCGTGTGTGGTGGAGGGGGATGGGGAGGAGGAGGAAGCATGGCTTGGGTTGGCGATGTAGTGCAGCCAGTTGTAGCCGCCGGTTGGCGTGTCAGGGCTTTTCGTTTTAATATTTGAAGTTTGAATTTTATATTTATTTTTTGTGTAATAGACTTATTTATATTAAGTACTGTTGCTAGAGTTGCCGAGCTGAGAAGAGGGATGCACATCAAAAAAATTGCTTGCATCTGGCTCTACCCACCCGACTGGGGTAAAGATTTCATTGTTGTTGAGGACCGGTAAGACTATCGCCGAAAGATATGAGGGTTTTAAAGTGCTTGAGATCTTAAGGATTATTCCTATGGTGAGGAGGGTTGGAGTAAGAGTAAACCTAGTGGCAAAGGGCGAGAACAATAGTAGGCAGCAGCTTCCAGTTCGTCGGCATGATAAACATATAGATAGATAGATCTCTGTAGAAGCTTACTGAGTGGGAGGAATGGGTTAAAATTATATCCTACAGCTTGATCCTCAAGAGGATTCTGGTAGCTTATATAGTTTTATGGAGTGAAACCTGACAGAAACTCATGCGGTTGAGAAATAGTATCACGATATTCATCCGCAGTGAAATGACAGAAGCATTTCCATTTTTGATCCCACAAGCAGGTTGGAAAAAAAAACCCGACCTAGACGCAGGCTAATTACCAAGATGCAGATCTAGACGGGCTTCTACGGAGAAACAGGCAGTGCGGTCTCAAAAAGGGATGCGGGACAAGAGTCCACGAAGCAACTAAAGGCACTTATGAACAGCCACTGTTAGCGATGTAACCGTTAGAACCTCTAACGCAAGAAAATGCGGGTGACTAAATATATATAATAGCAGGCATGTAGCTTCAAAGTACTGCTTTCATAATACATATAGCGACAAATCAAAACCAAACCAAATCTCCGTTCGGCGCCAAAAGGAAATTCAACACATGTGGGGTGAGAAGAAGAGAGAAAAGAACACAGAAGGGTACCTTTGGTAGATGCAAATAAAAGACTAGCTTAAAGCTGAAATCGATGGAGGGAGTTAAGAGGTACAGCAAAGGTGTTTGAAACGGCGAAGAATTTGTAAAACCAAGAACAACAAAGAAATTTCAAACGTTAGGTAGGCTCGAAGCCGTCGTGGACAGAAGAAGAGGGACACGCCCCTGAGAAGGGAAGGCATAGAAACGTTCCAGAAACTCCCGTTTTTATCATCGTCATCAGCCTGATCTGCAGCGGAATGCGAGACATGGAAACCATAAAAGACCTTCAAAGAAAAGAATATCCAAGGCAAGTAAAAGTGGTGGCAATGGAGGGTTAGAAAAGAAATGAAAATTGGGGTCAATCAGGCATGACAGTCAAAACCAAAACTAAACACCAAAGCTATGAATGATGATTATAATGTGGAAGTCAGTAAACGTTGCCGATATGTCAGATTTTTCTTCCTGCGAGAATGATCAACCCGTAAAACGCCTGGTGGCAATGAGAAGCGAAAAATCGAAAGCCAAATACGAAGTAGAAAAGTAATATAGACACGTCAAAGGTATCAAAACAATATGATGTGGCCATCTGACATTAGAAGGGAAATAAACACGAAACCCGCCAACTCGCAGAAGATTGTAAACAAGGACGAGAAGATAAAAAAAAAAAAAAAATTTAAAATGAGAAAAGATTTAAACGTGTGCATTTCAGGCAGTTAAAGAACACCGCCTGGGAGCTGTATTGAACTTGTGTGGTTGGATCTTCCAATGCCCGCGCTTGCTAGGCCAGCCCCGCCGGTTCCACCATCGAAACCCGCACTGCCAGGCATGATGCCAATCCCTCCAGCACCAGCAGTACCTGGCGGACCTTGATATCCACTAACCATCTGCCCATCTACTAATTGCGCTTGCTTTCGAAGCATAAACATGGGCTTTCGTCCTTCCTTCTCTAGTTGTTTGAATAGAATTAATGGTCGTTCCTCGAGGCCAAGACATCGTTCCTGATCACCAAAGACAATGTATAATGCATAAAGCCTCCAATCTTCGTTGATATTGTATTTTTTAAGGGCAGCTGGGAGAACCTTGTGGCAGGGATCGTCCATGGATACTCGGAAGGATTTGAATATTTCCACGCTAGGGGCAGGGGATTCGCCTGGATTTCGTGAAACAGGTTGGTTACCCGTAGCAAAGCTTTGAGGGTCTTGTCGGCTCGGTTGTCCAGAGGGGGTGGGGCCAATGGATCGGTCAGGCCGTTGTTGAGTTTCATCGGAGTGCTCGTGAATTCCGCGATTTGAAGTGTTTGACGTTTCCCTAGCATATGACCGGGAGGCTAATGTTTGCTGCGGGTAGAAGCTGCCTGGAGAGGTAGGGGAGGGCATTCCCTTTGGAGAAGGTTGACCTCCATTCATTGAAGCAGTTAAATGTGATGAAGCCGCCATGGCAGCAGCTGACGGATCTAATGAGTTATCATTGACTGTCCTTCCCTCAGGTATATATTGAGGGATGTGGGTAGGAGAATTGTTTTTGGGAGTTGACCCTCCTGCAAATAATTTCTTAGACAATGTCCTGGTAAGGCTATTTCCGGTTTTCTCAGGTTGCTGTGTGATAACAGGAGTTGCTGTGGGTTGATCATGATAATATTCCGAGTTCATAGTGGTGCCGGAGTATGTTGAATTCGGTTGATAAGGCAAGGGCTGTGATCTGTCTTTGGCGATTTTAACAACTGGCAATAATTCCTCACGAAGCTTGCGATAGTCATCTGCCAGTTTCCGGAGTTCCGCTTCTGCAGCTATGATCCTCTCATCTCGCAGTCTAATCGATTGAATAATACGAGATATATCGTCCTGAGTCGCGGCTTCAGCTCCATTACTCTGCTCCGCAGCTATAGACAAACTACATGTTAGACACTATCTTCCTGCTCGTATAACCAGGGTAAGGGGCTTTAGGGCTTCGAAAACGTACACAGAGGGACGTAATGATCCGCATCCAATGGTATTCCTTGCTTAACTTTGGTCTCATAAACACTCTTAAGAATCGTTAATCGATGACCAACACTCGAGATCCCCATTTCCTTCAACTCCTCGTGTTTTAAAGCGATGAGAGCTTCGCCAACTATCTCGTTTTCTGCAAGAAACACACAGACGCAAGCTGTTAGTAAGGCTAGTCTACTTTGTTTTTGTCCCACGGGAAACGTATTCCCAAAGTTCCTATGCATACCTAGAAACGCATCACAGTACTGGCTTAGACCTAGCGACGCCGCAAAGTCCGCGCACTCCTCAGCAGTCCATTCCGTAATGATTGTTCTGGGTGAACTTCTATCATCAATTGTATTGCCAAAAGTTGTTGGCGTATGTTCTGCAGACGGAAGCTCTGAGTCTGTGGGAGATGCTTCAGAGTCTTCTATATGCGGGGAGGTGACCACACTTCGTTCATATTCATCATCAGCGTCCGAGTCTGCGTGATATGGAGGCTGGAAGGCCATTTTTGAAGAGCAATCAAGTGTGACGCTGAGTTATGGAAGGATGACAGTGGTGGATGAAGACGATGATGGCTAAGAAGAGTGTCCGGGGCCAAGTAAGCCCGCCACCCCTCAAGAAGCGCGAAAGGGAAGCGTATCAAATAGATGTGCTCTTGTTCTCGAAACACACAGGATGATCGAAGGTCCTGCGACGCTTGCAATGAACAAAGCGACAGGGTTCGATTGGCTCGAGACAAAGACTAGACGACGAGGTGGCGGTGTTCTTAATCTGGAAGCTTTGGAGTTCGGGCGAGAGCTTTGTTGATATGGGACGATGGAGACAAAGACGAAGCCTGATGCGGGGAAATTCGACGACAGAGATAGCAAATGAAAGGCTCAAGGTATAAGCGGGTCAAAAAGGAAGAGTCCGGGATAGGTCTAGATGTGAGTAGATGAATATACAGCCAGGATTGGTTGGACGAAGTTGGGGGGAGGGGGGTGTAAGATGTTAAGTTAAAACGACGGGAATCGAATACTACTATACAACACGGCGGGCAGGTAGATATTGGGGGGAACTGTCGACAGGGGAGTAAATACTGCTGCAGAGACGGGGGCGATGTATTGATGGGAGGGAACAACGGAGAGATACAGTCAACACGGCGGAAGACAAACAGCGAGCAAGAATAATTGCGTCAGAGATGTCGTTGGCGTTCGTTGCTATATTTATAGAAGTCGTTCGTTGCCCGCGGATGGAGATACCATAGCGAGGACTTGGACTGCGCTGGGGGATGGATCGGATTGGGAAGGAACGGGACGCCAAGACACCACATTCACGTGATTCAGACTACCATCGACTTCCACGTGACTTGGTCTGGGCTTTTGAAATCTCGGCTGCACTAGTCCTAAAAGGGGACACTGTCCCCTGGCAACCGTCCCAATGCGGAATAGTGTCTCCGATTTACATGACTGGTTGGCTTGGCAAAATATGCACTAGTCTGAAATAATATTAGTGGAAGATTTCCTGAAATTTCGCTGAATCCAACCTTACCTAATAGCCTCAGTCACCTGACCGCCACGCCCTATCTGCCAAGAACTCGTTGTGGCAGGAAAGAGGAAAAAGAGAATAAACTAATTTGATGCTAATGATATAAATGCCTGCGAATATTCAAAGCACAACATCTGCTTGGGGAACAATATCTTATAGAACGCAGATTCCAAAACGAACTGTTTCTCCATACTGGGCCCATTAGCCGCCCTATGATCTGCAACACCGCCCAGGCCCCAGGTATGTAAGTACCCCTCCAGGGCTTCAGAACCACCAGTTATACAGGGGTTCCTTGGCTTTCAGTCCTGGGGCCCCTGGGCTATGCTCGACATGTACCGTCCAGACTCCAACAGGACTTTCACATATGTGTCGCGAGTTAGGAATAATCTCAACTAGAACCGCGCCCATGATGTATGTATGTTCGAACCTATCCGCTTCGAATCGCAAACTCTCTCCCGCCAATTCTAAAGTCCAGCTCCAGGAAGAAGAACTAGAGGGAGAAATAACTCGACGGAGAGAGGCAGCTCTATTCGTTGCCAGGGGGGGAGCTCCAGAGGCTAAATCCCTACCGGCTGATGTTAAGGAAAAAAAAAAAAAAAAGTAGAACAGAGTCTGTCCAATGGATCTCTCTCCTCTCTCGGCTTTCTTCCTGTGTTGCATCGTTCGATCCACTGCACTGCTTTTGCTCCTGTTCCTCCTGTCTTACTTCGGAACATTGCCTTTCTTGGTAGTAGCCCTGCCCCGAAAGAAGCTCGTTGGAACTTTTCCCCTCGGACCACTATCGTGCTAGAGGGAGGGTGTCAGCCTGATAATGCCCCTGAGGCGGGTAGCCTTGCTTGACCAAGGTATTTAAAGAGCTTGCTAGACCCATCTGTGCCTCTTTATTTTATGTTCCTTGGCGGGTTAGAAAGGATCAATTGGTAGAATGAAACTCCTGAACATGGCTCTCATAGTGTAGACAACCCCTTTAATCCCATGGCATCAGGAAATAGAATAGGATGTCTACCTTACTTACTCCAAGTGCGTAGCGGAGGAGACAGCATGACTAAGCACAGCTGCGGCCCTGGCGCCAAGAAATGACGTCCCGGGAAAGTCGATTTTGGATTTCCGCCGCCCAATCTCCGCCTGGCCTCCGCCCGCTGCGCTTCTCCCGGGAACTTCGCTGGCTTCAATTCTCCCGCGGTGGAATGATATCATTTGTCCGCTCCTCTCTGTCTTGTGCCTTGTTTATCTGCCATTTCCTCACACCATGACTTTGTATGCTATGCAATGTTCCTCTTGATTAAGCTGGCAAAAAAGATAAAGAGCGCCAAAACTCGAAACCTAGCAGCTACTAGCCTAGACCTCCCCATCTGGCCAGCCCTTTTTCCTTTCCGCCATCATACAATTTGCGACGACGGGAGTTACTATCTACAATACTTTTGGGTGGTAAAATATTTTGTCTCCCTCTAATCATTTATTGTGTACTAGATTGCCCTACAGCTTTCTAACACAAGGTGTTTTTTGCTCAAAAACAGGCTGCTCGTTTTTCCGGTCCCTAAAGACCCCCGGCGCAACTCGTCCAATAATTTAAGACCGCAATAGACGGGCGCCGGCCTCCCGTCTTCGATAGTATTTTTATAGGAGTTGGATTGGGAGCATACATCTTTACCCGCCAAAAGTTGGCCAATCCTCGAGCCCTTTCCTGTTAACGGCGTTTCTACACCATCCGCGTTACCGCCGGCTTATTTCCTCCCCCACACGAACTTATACGAATGCCAACACCCCCAACTCACCCAAACATATATACACATACGTATATACAACTCACATAATGTCCACCACAACCCTCTCCACAACGGCACCATCAACCTCAAACCAACAACCCGCCTCCCCCCCAGAATCCACCGACCCCACCACTGTCCTCCTCACCTACCTCTCTTCCCCGTCCTCCACAACCACCGTCCTCGACGACCTCCACGCCTCCCTCCTCAGCTCCCTCCAGCGTTGCGGCTGGACAGAACAGGTGCGCGGGCTCGCACTTGACCTTCTCCGCGGCGGACACTGTGACCGCTTCGAAGAAGTCGTCGACACTGTCGTTGCGCTTGCGACGGGTGGTGATGATGTGACACCGTCGTCGTTAGCGATAGCGAGGGGCCGGAAACGGAAGAGGAGGTCACAGATGATGATGCGGGCAAGATTGAAGAGGGCGAAGATTGAGGAGGGGGATGGTGGTGTGATTCAAGAGAATGGAGAGGTTGGGAAGGGGCCTGGGCATGGGCAGAGTGACGACGATGCTGACGCTGACGCGGATGCTGATGGTGCCGATTATGGTGATGGTGGTAATACTGAGGAGGACTATTCTGGAAACGGAACTTTGGATGAGTTTCCGGATATTCGCATCCCGCAGGCGGCTGTTGCGGAGGGTGTTAAGATGCTACATGAAGCTCTAGAAGGGGTGTTTGTGGTGGAAGGAGGTGGGGCAGCGGAGTCAACTTGTTCGAATATCACCACCACCGGTGAAACTGACAGTAACAAGGGCCAGCACCACCACCACCAGCAGCAGCAGGATAACCACAAAAATAAATCAGGACCAACATCGATAACGAATGGTGTTGCTAACACCAATGGCGTCGCCACACTCCCGAAAAAGCCGCCCGTTTCCTTATCATCCTCATCCTCGCTATCTTCCTTAAAAACAACCAGCACCACCAGCAGCAGCAGCACTAGTAGCAAGAGTACTACTAAACTCAAGTCTGCGGCCAAGGGAAAACTGCAGGAAAATGGGGATGGAAGAGCGGCGAAGAAGACGAAGAAAGGGTGAGAGATATAAAGATTCTCGGGGCAGAATCGCTCGCCTTGGTGGGGAAGCAATATTCCCTCTACATACCTAGGTACTTGAACAACACCCAACAACATCTCCTCCTCTCCCTCTTTTGTATTCCCCCAATACTTGCTCCTCTAGCCTTATTATCCTTACCTCCTTACCATACCCTACCTACTCCAACCGCTCGTGCATATCCCGCTTTAAAAATCCATGCACCTCAGCTTGGAACGGAACGGAGCTAAACATCGGATGAAAAGGAAATGGCTTTACTCTCAAGAAACAATACATCCCCATGTCCTAGCCATCCTCTCCCTCCAAGCCCGGTCCCCGTCTTGTTTTTCTTCCTATTCCGTTTTTCCCTCTCTATCCATTTTATAGACGACACTTTTGTCATGCCATACACACGAAACACAGTCAGATATATCTTTATCTATGGTGCATTCTCCGTTATACCGTCTCGAATACATTCCTGTATATTATATTATATTCGTTTCTTCATCGCTAACTACTGCCTTCTCTTTTCTTTCCCATCTGTTTTGCGCTCATCATTTTCATCATGATGGTTCATCAATGTCATAAGTAAGAATGTTGCTATTTAAAGGAGGCAGTAGGATCGGATCCCTTTCCATTTCATTTCACTTTTTTTTTTTATTTTATTTTTTTTTGGAGGCACATATATTATTCCCTACGATTTCCCATTTATCATTCTCCTACCTACCCTTCCTTGCATCCGTTCCCTGGATTCAAGTACACTATTACTGAACATTTCATTATGATTCCTCTTTTCTTCTCTTTCTCACGGCTTATTTTATTTGGTTGTTTTTTTTTTTATTCATTTCAATTTCATTCATCACCATATTCCTTTCTTCCCTCTCTTGTATCATACATACATAGCCTTAGGGCGCGCCGTATTTCTAATTAACTCTCTTAATTCCGCGATGCTCTTCCCCTCCCCCCTTCACGACACACAACTACTATCCCAAAACAAAAGAAAACCGTCAAAACGAGGGGGAAAAGAAAAGAAAAGAAAAACCTAAATAGATTTCTTTCATCTGCAAGTCTACAAAATCACCTACGATATTTACATCCCCTCCCAAGCGCCCTTCCCCCCGCCCCCCGATCAACTCCACCTTGTTCTGTTATTATATTTACATATCCGCGCATATAACGTCTAATGCCATCCATAGCCCGCTATCCATCGCACAGCAGAAAAACCAGCAGAAGAAAATATGTAAATATGCATGGGTGAGAGATTTCGCTACAGATGGGAAGAATGCCAATGAGCATTAATTATTATACCAATTTCAAAAGCTATGCGCAGTAGTTAGAATTTTTGGAATGTTTTAAACAAAACGAATGTAAAGGATAACACTAACGTAGAACTACAGATAGAAAAAATAGAAAAATAGAAAAAAATAAGCCAATAATTGATTTAATTCATTTCATTTCATTTCATGTCATCCCACCCATTCACCCATTCACCCATCCATCCATCCATCATCCATCCATCCATCACGCATCACTTTATCTTTAAATTTAACAAAGTGTTCAACAAAACAAAAGAAACAATTTAAAAAGTAAAAGAATACTAAACTATGATGTCCCACGATAATATTCTTTTTGTTGCTGTAGCAAAGAACAGAAAATAGGCCACAAAAGGAAACAAAGAAACTGTCAAATATGGGGATCGGTGAGTACACAAACGTAATTTAGAGAGGGGCGTAAGAGCAAGCAGGCAAGCCAAGTCTAACTAACTGACAACAAAAAAGGGAAACAAGAAAAACGAAAGAAAACCAGACTCAATCCCTTTCTTTCCCTATTGAGTTAGTCATAGAGGCTGTCATCGTTGCCCGCATCGCCAAACCCGCTCTGACCACCTGCTGCAGACTCCGCTTCCTCCGCACTCGGGAAACGGAAGAAGTTGCTTCCGCTGGAGTTCTTCATGCTCTGCGCAAACGCCTCATACCGCCGAATCTCCACGTCACTTACAGATCGTCGCGCCATCTGCATAGCCTCCTCGAAGTGCGCGCGGGTAAGTTCTGGAACGGGGTCATCGGCATCAATGTCCTCATCCATCTTCACGTCTTCACCAGCTGCCTCACGCTCCTTGGTTCGTTCGATATCGATCGCGATGGACTGCTTGATAGCCAGCTTGACGGCGCGCTGGGTGACGAAGCCCAAGTCGGCGCCGGAGAAGCCGTGAGTTTTGCTAGCGATGAACTTGAGGTCGACGTCAGCAGCGACTGGGGTCTTGCGGAGTTGGGCCTTGAGGATGTCAATGCGCTCTTCCTCGTTGGGGAGGGGGACGTAGACTAATGTGTCGAGACGGCCTGGGCGGCAGAGGGCGTTGTCGAGCTGCTCAGGACGGTTAGTTGCGCCGATGACGAAGACGTTCTTCTTCGAAGTCATGCCGTCCATTTCTGTACCGAGGTGTTAGTATGATAAATATTTCTAAGGTATAATACTGGAGTAGGGAATAAGAACATACCTGTCAAAAGCTGATTGACAACGCGGTCAGAAGCACCACCAGCATCACCAACAGATCCACCTCGAGACTTGGCAATAGAATCCAACTCATCCAAGAAGACAACGCAGGGGGCGGCAGCGCGGGCTTTGTCGAAGATGTCACGGATGTTGCTCTCAGACTCACCGAACCACATACTCAACAGTTCGGGGCCCTTGACAGAGATGAAATTGGCCGCACACTCGTTGGCAACAGCTTTCGCAAGCAATGTCTTACCAGTTCCAGGAGGACCATAGAACAAAACACCCTTGGATGGTGAAAGACCGAACTTGAGGAATTTTTCTGGATGGTCGACGGGGTATTGGACGCTCTCGATGAGTTCGCGCTTGACCTCGTGCAGACCTCCGATATCTTCCCAGCGGACGTTGGGGACTTCGACAACAGCAACTTCGCGAAGAGCGGATGGGTTGGAGACACCAAGGGCAAAGCGGAAGTTTTCCATGGTTACTCCTAGTGAGTCCAGAACCTCTGCGTCGATGGTATCTTCGTCCAGATCAATAAGATCCATCTTCTCACGAATCTGTTGCATGGCCGCTTCTGAGCAAAGAGATGCGATATCTGAGCCGACATAACCATGGGTTTCTGCAGCAATAGACTCCAAATCCACGTCATCACCGAGCTTCATGTTCTTGGTGTGAATCTGGAGAATCTCAAGACGGCCAGTGGGGTCCGGGATGCCAATATCAACCTCACGATCGAAACGACCGAAACGACGCAGAGCGGGATCTACGGAGTTGGGGCGGTTGGTAGCAGCCATGACAACGACATTCGAGCGCGCCTTCATGCCATCCATCAAAGTGAGTAGCTGTGAGACAACACGACGCTCGACCTCTCCGTTGGTCTTGTCACGCTTTGGTGCAATGGAATCGATTTCATCAATGAAGATAATTGCGGGAGAGTTCTTTTCAGCTTCTTCGAATGCTTTTCGCAGGTTCGATTCCGATTCACCAGCCATCTTGGACATGATTTCGGGACCATTGATGAGGAAGAAGAAAGCACCAGTTTCGTTGGCGACAGCACGAGCCATCAGGGTCTTACCCGTACCAGGTGGACCAAACATGAGAATACCACGAGGGGGTTTGATTCCGATAGATTTGAAGAGTTGAGGGTGGCGGAGAGGCAGCTCAACCAACTCACGGATCTGAGCCATTTGTTTCCGGCAGCCCCCAATATCGTCGTAGCCAACGTCGTTCAGACTACCCTCCTCGTCCTCACGCTGGATGGGCTCACCCTCGCAGTGGATGACTGTGTCTTGGGCCACAATGCCGTACTCCGGCGGATCCACTTCGACGACCTTGAATTCTACCTGACGCATACTAGCTCTTACAGTGAAAAGGTCACCTTGTCGAACAGGTCGATAGGCTTCGCGGAAATATGGAGCAAGGAAAACGTCGAAGAGGGAACCGGTTAGGCCTTCAACGGTATCTGCAATGGGCAAGACGGCAATCCGTTTGGCCTGTTATATTCATGATCAGTTTTCGTATCCGGTAAAAGTAGCACTCTAGGTTAGGTTGGGTTAGTTGAACATACGTATTTGATATCCGGGCATGGGTGGACGGTGATGACATCGCCGTGCTTAACCCGTAGGTTATGTCTGACGACACGGTTTATGCGAGCGCTCCCATCATCCAGATCGTCATCAGCCAAGACAATCAGGACAGTATCTCTTCGCATTTTGCCCTTGACTAGCACAGTGTCGCCACGGAACAGCTGGAGCGTCTCCATGGTGTTGTTGGAAAGGGCAATGATGGAGTTGTCATCGTTAACAGCATCAGTGACACTGTTGGTAACAACAAAATCAGCACGATGATCCTTTTTCCGGCTGTTCGTTCTAGAGATACTCACATTAAGGTGTTTGGCTTCTTTTTCTTTTTCAGAATGGCTGTAGCTGTGTCAAGCTCCTGGAGGGGGGACCGGTTAGCGCCACCAGCACGTAGCAGCCAGGTTGGTAAGAGATCGAAGACAGGCTTACCTCATGTTTTTCAGCACCTGAAGGATCGCTGGATGTGAATATTAGCATTTATGGCACTCGTAGAGGAGGTGGAAGCAGGCAATATGAGAGATAGGGCCTGGTAGCAGATGAGGTACTCACGTCAGGTTGACCTTGTGGTGTTTAGCGTGATCCGGCTCTGCAGACATGTTGGAACGATAGAAAATAAAGAACGCGGATGAAAGAAGGCTAGTGGAAAGAAGATTACGGGAGAGAGTAGGTAGATAATAACGGAGAAGAGATAGGAGGTTGCTGTGAAGAGGTATCTATATGCTGTTCTGGGGGGTGTTGGAGAGGAAGAGGGTGGTGGTTGACGAGGAGCAGATGATGAGAAGAGATGAGCGAGGTGAAGTAATGGCGGCTGGAGCTATGAGGAACTCGGAAGAAAGATACGACGATCCAGGCACCCGCACGGACAACACCAAGTCAGAAAGGCAACAGAACAACAACACGCACACAGGCAGGTCTATTTGTTTTGTGGAATATTATATGAGAAATCCGGAGCTGAGGTCAACGACAAAATGGTGGCCAGAACGGAAGAACAGAAAAACAGACAGAAGAAGCCGGCGGAAGACAACTGAGATATTGCGTGTTGTCCTGTTGACTTGGGGAGCTTGGTGGCAGGCTGCTTAGTCATGGTTGCCTCTGGAAAAATCCAGCGCCAGCCAATCAGATGCCGGCGTGGGAGTGGAAGCTGCTGGAACGCGCTAGAGCCAACGGGAAGTCACATGATAGCATTACAAATCCAGTCGTCGCATTATATACCTAGGTACTGTCGGCCCTTCTACCAGCAGTGCGCTGTAGCCTACATATACATTAATTTTATTTCATTATTTATAATAAAATCTTATATTTATTTCATTTATATGTGGTGTGCACATGGGTGTGTGGAACAAGTGAATATATTCATGTCTGATTTTTCTAAGATGGGGGGGGCGTACGCCCTCTGTTCTATACAAATAATAAAGGCGCAACCGAACGCGCCCTAACATGCAAGGAGCGATCGCGGGGCTACAATAGGAAAAGAAGATAATAGGGCCCTAAGTGTGGGAGGAAGAAGGAAGGAATGGGGCAGGGGGTGGAGCGGAAGGTTGGAGGGCGAAGCGGAGAATTAGAGGTGGAAGCCAAGGCCTAAAAACTATTTTCTGTGTTTTATTTTATTTTATAGTTAATTTGAAAGATTTTGATGATATTTTTTTTCTTTTAAACCCCTGGATCCATGGGGGCTCTCTCCATTGTAGAAGGCAGAAGAGGTTCTCTTGCAAATCTAAAAGGTAAAAAGGATTCTCTTGCAATGGTGATATCGCGGGGCTCTCTCCATCTAGGAGGCAAAGGGCTTTCTCCATTACAGGAGGCAAAAGGGGTTCTCTCTCATGAAGCGCGATGTCCGGATCCCATTGCAGTGGTCTGGTTATCCAGTGTTTCTTCGTGATGAGCTGGTGACAGGCATTTGAAGAAGAAGTTCATAATGAAAGAAGTAGTTATTTTGAACAGATTATTTTTGCATGATATAATGCTTTGTAGAAGTGCAAAAGGGCCTCAATGGTTATGTTATGTAAGGACTGGGAGTCCCTTCGAGGTTATGGAACGATTGAGGATTGAAGATAATGGGAACATAAAGGAGGATATAACTCCGGTGGTTCCCACAACTTTGCCCGCTGCTCTGCTACATCTAGCTCTGCAGTCTCATGGTGAGGTTTTGGGTCTCACATTTTACAAGAGAAATCCTGAGGATTAAAAGTTCTCAGACAGATGTTATAGTCTCATATATCTATAATTGAATAATAATGACAAGTCTTTTTTAACTAATATTTATCTATGCCGAAGCTCAGTTATAAATGAATATTATAAACAGAATTACTCTGCTTTTTTATTGATTTTTCAAGTAGATTGATTATCTGTTTAATTATCATCTACTCATTATAAATATCACGATTTTCAATTCTTATCAAAGAAAGCAGTTTGACTATCAGAGTATATTTTAAATCTCTTTATTTTTCATTTCAATTAACTTAAAAGCTTTCAAAATTGTCAGTATTTGGTACGTGGCGGATAAGACCACGGAGTCGGCACGTTGAGGGTTGATTATATAAGGGGAGCTCGTTCGGGTGCTTTAGGCCTTGTCTACTCCGTAGTTACAAGGAGTGAGTAGAGTAGGCCCTAGAATGCCAAGGCCAGCAGCCAGCAGGTTATATGGAACTTCCTCTGAGGTTTCCCCCCCCCCCCCCCCACTCAGTGGCTTCCCACTCGGGATGCCAATCCTATTCAATCGGGGGTCCCACAATGCCCACAGCGGCGCCGTGGTGATGTCTTGCGGATCATTGATATTGTCTGCAAATAATGAAAGAGGGATCCCCCCTCCCGGCCGATGCCGTGGAGTGGAGTGTGATGTCATAGGGATTGCGAGGATAACCGATCGAACCGATCCGTGGAGGTTTCCTTGGCACGGCCGCTCGGGGGCCCGGGGCCCGTGGCAGTATTAAATTAATACGCTGCGTATAACTATATACTATCATCCATCCTAGGGACGTGTTCGGTTGCCCGTGTAGGCAAGCAAGCTCTTATAAAAGAGCTGTATTCAAGCTTCCTACATGAAAAAGGCGTTGTGTTCAGTCTTGTCATCCTTATATCCCCCCCCCCCTTTTTTTTTTCTCCACTTACATTTATAATGTATTTTAGACTTCAACGGTGTAATTAGATCAATAATAGACAGGCAACTGAACACACTCTGAAGTAAGTTAAGGGGTGTGTAAGGTGATGTACGCCGCCAGGTCAATGGACATGGTATTATCTCATGGAAAGTTGTAGTAGTGGGGCAAGCTAGTTGGATTCCTTGCTTAAATATTACGCTGGCTGTATGCCCAGGTGCTAATAAGAACCAGATACTCTGTGAAGAGTTTATATTTGAGATTTCTGTGACAACCTGGCGCGCTCTGCTGTGGCGTTTGAGCCCAACTGTGGTGCCCGGTATAGCAACTAACCGTGCCAAGCACAACTACCAACCTGTGAGTGAGTGCGCGGTGGTAGTGTAGTGTAAAGAAAATATCACCATGAAGAAAAAGGTATCTTTTGTAAGAGTTCACCATACCAAGGTACTTATTGAAAAGTATGAATATCTTCAGCAATTCAACTTGAATGATCATATTCTAAAGTAAGTCTAATAATATTCATTACTTTACGAAAATTATAAATTTTCTTAGACTGGCCAGCGGGACCATGAATTTGGTCTCATACATTTCTTGGCGTGAATCCCGCCAAGAAGTCAAAAGCTCAGAATATGACGATGAGTCGATGACTGAGTAAAACGAGAAAGTGGTTCTTATTTAGTTTTATACATTTCTTGGCATATATTCCTATTTCTAGAAACTTGTTTTAAAAGTAATTTAAAGCAATAAAAAAATAAAAATAAAAAAGAAGAGAAATTGAAGACATGCTATGATCTCATTTGGCAAATGAGACTCTGACTGGATAAAATGGAAACTGAGATTATATGAAACCTTTTCAATCAACAGAATGAAGTGGGAATTCAAGTACATACATACCTTCTAATAGGCTTTTATATGAGAATCACATACAAGATACCTCTTTTCATTTTCATTTTTTTTTTTGTTATAGTGATAAATTGTTTATACTGTAATATCATAATATCAAGTTTACTCCAGATTCATGAAATTTGGACAGTGAATCAGAGGTTTTTGATGCTGAATTATCTGCAATAATGAAAGCTTTCAAATTGATTGAGATGAAATCTTATAAAAGAGCTGATCTAAAAGAGATATGAATATTTTCAGACAGTCAAGCTGCACTGAAAAGACTTAAAAATAGTCAGATTTATAATGATCAAATGAATCTTGAAATGATTTCGAATGGGAGGTAAGTGAAAGTGAGTGTAGATGGCACGGTTATAACTTTTAACACCAACTTGCAAACAACCTGTGGACTAAGATTCACGGTTATATATCCAAGATCGACAACATAGTTCTTGATTTGAAGTTGTTTTTATGATATAGTCATAACTTCTAAATCATGTTCCCGAATCCTCTCTCTCCAGCGGATATCTGCTGATGAGAGAGCTAATGATTTGATATGTTTCTCCAATTTTATATCTGTCTTCTACGGCACGGAGTCGGGGCATAGATACCCTCAAGAACGATGTTTCAATATGACTCTCGTATAAATTCACCGCATTGCGTCAGGGTTTCCCCCAACGCTGCAAACTTTACTTCCGGAGCTATGAGGATGGCGGAGAAACGCAAACGCATATGACGGCTCAGGGGTGAAGGTATGGAGTTGCTCTGCGCAGTCCTTCGCACGGGGAACGCATCCCGGATCATTGTGATGGAATGCATGATTCTGTCACGATGTATCATTTGTTGTTTGCTTCATACCAACTGCAGCTGGAAGGACTCGGTTGAACTAGAAGGAAAAGGAAGAAAAAGACAAACTCGAAGAGGAAAACGGGCTAAGCCTTCGACGATGAAGGATGTGTTATCATCGTCGTCGGTTTTCTCTACGATTTCTTTTTCTTCTAATTGCTTCCTTCACCCGCACGACTTTCCCCTATCTATTCATGTTTCTATTAGCATATATATAACGGATTAATCCTCAAGGATCCTTCACGGGAGATTGAACATGAACTACCTCTGCCCAGATGTCATCTTTCTTTTCGCCAACTCCCCACAAGAAAACCCATGGCATCACCAGATGAAGAAAATGATTACACCATAGAGGAAGTTATCGCCCATCTTCCACGCCCAATATCCCATCCAGATACCACCCCCTGCCCACCCTCCTACCTACGGGCCATAGCCAACAGGTTCACCCCCAAAAAGCTCTCCCGTAGCCTTCAAAATGGGCCCCCGATCTTTCTCATCGGACCCGCCATGATCCCCAACGTGCTAAAGCACATCATCTCCGCTCACCCAGCCCTCGACGTAGCTCAAGACATGGCCGCAGCAACCCTACACGCCCACACCCTCTATTGTGTGCGGCCCCTCTCAAACTCAACAGCAGCAGCAGCCCCTGATATGCCGTACATCGTACCCGTGCAGCGCTGCTGCGCTGGAACCCTCACCCCCACCCCCAGCCCCACCGGCACCCTAACCACCGTCACCGGCCTGGCAGTCTTCAACCTAACAGACCTCCAACGCGCCTATCTGCGCCAATTCGAGTCGGCGCCCTTTAAACGGCTGGTCCCTGTGTGCATCACCATCTGTCTCTCGACTGGTAAGTGCGTGACTATCGATGCGGGCGCCTTTGTCGAGGTCATCAGAACGACGGAGGAGGCCGGGGCGTATGTACCTGCAACCACAACAATAACTCCCGCTACCGCTACCGCTACCGCTACCGCTACTGCTACTACGCCTTTTAATTGGCTTCTGACTAAGGCGATGCAGCAATACCGTTGCGAGACATGGGACGTTGCAGCCTTCACCGCGTCTGCGCTGTATAAGCAGGTAAGTAGGGCATTTGAGGTGTGGGATGCAGAGAATGGGGCCGCGGTTGGGGATGGGGTTGGGCAAGAGGAGAGAGGAGATGAGTATGGATATGATGACGCTGAGCTTGACTTTGGCTTTGACTACTTGTATGAGTACGATGAGGGCGAGGAGGGAGGAGGAGAGGTACTTATCGTTTCTGATGGAGAAGGAGAAGAAGAAGAAGAAGAAGAAGAAGAAGAAGTGGATAGTGAGTGGGAGCGGGACGAGGTGGAGGAGGTGGATGGGGATGAGATTGAGATTGAAGGCGGCATTGAGGGGGAGGGGAGGGGATGGGGGAATGCGACTGGGGTTGGGGCTGGGGTTGGTGGTATGCGCGTGGGTATGGGAGTCGGTGTGGGTAGGTGTCAAGCGGAGGAGTCTATGTGGGAGAAATGGATGACAGGGTTTCGGAGGTGTTTTGGGGATTTGTGAGAATGGGAGGTGGAGTGATTCGTTTATTTTATATAGATAGGGTGGTCGGTGGTGCCGCCATTGACCTTTTGGCAGGGTAGGTGTGGTGGGTATGCATTCCTATCTTAAAATCTCTAGGAACTTTTAGCATTGAACATTCAATGTAAATATTATCACATTCCCTATATCAAAAATAGGGAACCTCTTTTTCGACAAGAGAAATGGAAACAGAAAAAAAAAAAAAAACCAAGCTCTCGTACGGATAGTTAGTCGCGGCGGTATCTTGTTATGCTCCGCATGTGAGTCCCGCGCGAGGGGCCCGCTCTTCGCCGAGTCCGTTCTTCATTCAATTGAATTTCCGATGGATGGATGTTGTAAATGAGAAGTAGCATGATGTTGACGATATCTATCTTGGTGAGGAGCAACAACTTCTAGATATTCATCGTCTGCTCTGGCTTGCAGGCTGGAGCTCTCGCTTGGTGTTAGGGTGATGGGAAAAGGGAGGTTGAGGAGTTCTTTTTGGTAAATGTGCAGGAGGAAGAGAAAGATGGATCCCTGGGACATGGTGGAGGAAGAATGAAATGAATGCCTACCTGTGCATAGTGAAAGTATGAATATGTATCAGTTTCATACTGGGAATGAGAAAAGCGGATAGCATCTGAATAGAAAATGGGTAGGTTGAGTGACGGTTTAGTGAAATTCCCTGTGTACAAAATAAATCTAAAGAATTAAGTATTAAGTTAAGCCAATACCAAATCATAAAAACTCCTAACACTCCTGAGAAGATGCATTTGCGTCGCCTCTAAATGTTATTATTACACGGAGATGCCAGACAGGAAATGGAAAATCATCCGTTTCGGTCCAGAAAAAAAAAAAAAAAAAAAAACAATTGAAAATAATTAAAAATAAAAAGGTAAGGAATCGAAAGACCAGTGACCTACTGTTCCTACCTAAAAAGACAACTCTATTATTTACCTTGAACCGACATACCATTGAAAATAAATTAGGACAGCCAACTGCAGTTTTTTAAATGAAAGCAGACGATACATTTGTAACGCCCTGTCACTCCAATTCATGTATATGAGGCGGAGGCGATGGTGGCGTTACCATGATGAAATTGCTGTCAGCCGCCTGTCTAGCAGCAGTAGCAGCAGCAGCAGTAGCAGCAGCGTATGCTTTTGCTCTCGCGGGCTGCAACTCCGCCGAGTCTAGCTCTACGGGTTGCGTTGAAGCCAACCCCTGGTCAAACGGGTGGCACCCCACTTGAATCGGTGAGACGGGGCTATGTGGATAGTACGTAAGTAGTGGGGAGGTAGGATAATGAACGGGTCCGCCGCCAAAGTATCCCAGTGACGGACTGGTGTCGATAGCTGTTGCCGGGCGGACAGGGGGGAAGGCGGGGCTGGGGTGGTAGGCGGCTGTAGGAGTAGTTGCGCCGGCCACACTCATGGATGGCTGTGGACATACGGGGCTGGGACATAACGACAGGCACGGGGCAGACGTGTGTGAGCCATCGGCGGACGAACAAATTTGGTTTAGATAGAGCGAATGTTGTTGTTGTGGCGAAGGGAGAGGCGAGTACAACGTATCGGAGTTCCCCTTTAGCAGGTCTGCTTTCATGATCAGCCGTTCAACCAGCACCGCATGTGCTTCCTTCAGCGTCTTCTTGACGAAGCTAGCTGCGAAGATATTGCAGCGCATATCGACGTCTTCTCTGAGAAATAGCCCTTCACGCGGTACGTTTGTTAGACCCAATTCCACAGGCTCGCGCGGTTCCCCTGGCATGTTGCCACAAACAGCCCATCGATTCCGTATATCTAGGCCCGTGGGCGCATAGATGTGTGTTTGCAGGCCGCGTGGTAGATCATGGAAGCAAGCTTTGTAGGTGACGTTGCCTCTTATTATGCCGCCGGGTAGGTAGTGGATTTTGTCGGTCAATTGATACCAGGTGCAATGGAACTCGTCGGGAGGGGCGTTAGGGGGTGCTTTGCAGCGTCCATGTCTGATCACAAGGGGGTTCAGCTCTATCATCTCATTGTGGGCGTGTAGGGTTTCGATGACGATATTTCGCGGGATATGGGGAGGGAGAGGTGTGACTGTCGTGAAGATAATCCGCTTGAACATGGTTTTCTTCTTCCGCCTTCTCATTCGATATGATTTCTTGTTACGAAAGATATGGTGCAATAGGCATAACTTTTTTTTCAATCGGGGGGGTACACAAACAGAGAGAGAAAAGGGAAAGAAAAGAAAAGAAAAGAGAAGGAAAAAGAAAAAAAAGAAAAGAATAAGAATAAGGAGGAAAAAAGAAAAAGGCTGAAAAAATCGCGTGTAGGTATCAAGGGCCGGTCCCTTTGCCCTATATACGTATCTAACTGAGTTGTGTGGCCGGGGGGGGGAAAGGTGATTCAGAGCCAGGTGAGGTGCTAACTTCGAGAGAAAAGTGAAGTTGGGAGGCGAAAAAGAGAAAGAAATAAGAAAATTGTTTTCAAAACGCTCCAGGTAACAAAATCCGCCGCAGCCAGCAAACGGGTTAAGGGAAGGTTCAAGTGTACCAGAATTCTGGGTTCTGCCATGGAGAGCCAGCCGCAACATAAAATATTATTTTTTTCATTTCCCTTCTATATGGGCCCCACTCGGGAGTCTTTGACCTGAGTAGACGAACCCATAGTATAGTTATAGCATAACAGCTGCAGATAGTAAGAGCCCCTCTTTGTGTGTGGCCCTTGGTCTGATGCTCGTAGAGCTTCTTCTCATAATTTGCACACCAACTCGGACAAGCCTGGCGTTGTGCACTTCAAGGTGTGGGAGAACTCAGCTCGAGGCGCGTAACTAGCTAGCTCCTATACCTGTCAGCCGCGCTATGGGACACAGCAACCGCTGGCTGAGCCGCGCGCGCCTAAATGCGGAGAGTCTGAGGGCCATCCCCCAAACATCCACGTATGAAACTTCTCTCGTCTACTCGGGACTACTATGCAGTACGTCTTTTCAAAAAAAAAAGAAAAAGATACCGAAACTACAGCGGATCACAACATCATCATCCTCTTCCTTTACTATACCACTTCCGGTATCTGGTTGTTCCACGTCACGGGCCGCGGGGCTCGCCGAAAGGAACCGCCCTCGGCGCCGACAGAAAGTCGATGGCGAGCCCAACGCACCGCAGGCTCAAGGGAAGGAACATAGTTTCGCCGGTGTCCCTGGAGGACTGATTCCATGGAGGCTGGACTCTTAAGCCCAGGAGTGGAATTATACAGAAAGCACACTTTTTGCAATGTTTTGCGGCCCAGACTGGTCCACCCGTTTGGCTCCAAGGAGCTTGGTCATTTGGCACTTGGCTTGGAACCCGTTGACGCGGCTGGAAACTCCGCTGACACCATGACAAGAACAGCTAAAAGAGTTAGAAACCCTTTGAGAAAATTTCCTAGCCTTTCTCGCTTTCGTTCATTATTCGGGCAAGTTCCTGCGCAGCCTGGCTTTGCAGGCTTGGCCGCATCATAGATAAGGATGGGAATGGGTTTCGTTGGAATCTTCCACCAAAGAAAGGACGTCTCGCTTTCTCCCTTTTTTTTTTTCTATTTTTTTTTTTCTTTTCTTTTTCTTTTCTTTTTTTTCCGTTTTTCTTTTTCTTTTTCTTTTAACTTTTTTTTTCTGCCTCGCAGACACAGCCACTCGTTTTCAAGGTTCCTGAGCAAGGAAAGAAAAGGGAAAAGGGCCAAACCTCGCACGATTTCTTGCTCGAAAGGCATTCTCTTCCTCCCAAAACGCCGAATAATGGCGTGTTGACGGGACCAATTGAACTGGCCAGAAGATGGTAGAAGAAAACAGAGTCCATTGAGATATCAATTATCAAAAATGAAGAGCATGGAGATAAAACACAGAACAGAAGAATAAAAGTCGCCTTGACCAGTCTTTCAACACCACTTCAACATCAACTCAAATCACCCCGGCAGTCGCATTCCACATATCATACACCCCCCAAGCACACGCAGTCATACTCAGCACCCCAACCATCTTTTCCGGAACCCCCACTCCATCCTCAAAGCTCCAATGCACACACAACGGCAACCAAGCCAGGCTATTCACAATACTCTTTTTCCACCCCCTCACCTCCATTTCCCTTTCCCTCTCCGCTTCCCCGATCTTTTTCCCATCCTCACTGACGAACCCCTTCCTCCTATCCCACGCCAATACGTACTCCCTCCACACCCTGACAAACTCCAACAGCACATGCCCCAACCACGCCCGCGTACTCCAAACCCACCACCTCCCCAAGGACCCCCACCGCTCCACCGCTCGCCGACTCACCACCCCTTTCCCGGCCAGATGCGCCACGTTCTCCAGCACCTGATACGCCACGTTGACAGCTACCTGTGCGTAAGCGACTGTGCGGAGGAGCGGGTCGGCGGGGGGGTTTCTAAGGGTTGCAGACCCCCATGACCAGAGTGAGAGGAGGCCCAGGAGGCGGAGAGTTGTGCGGGTTTCGGACATTAGGGCGGAGAGGGCGAGGAGGGGTGGTGTTTGTTGTTGTTGTGGTGGTGGTGGTGGTGGCTTTGCGACGCCGGCGCCGGGGTTTGCTGGGAGTAAGATGGAGCGTAGCCGCGCGAAGGTGGAGCGGAGGGGCGGAGAGAGGAGGAAGTAGTGGATGATTTGCGAGTTATATTGGACCATGGCGAGGAGGCGTTCCTGGCCGTATGCGGTGGAGATGAACCTGTTACCCATTTGGTTTTCAGGGGTAGTAAGTTTGGGTGTGTTCCCTCTAGTACTGTATTTTTTTTCCCCTGGCTCTCTCCGCAGGAAAGGAACTACTATGTAAAAATTCAGCAATGTGGAAAAACGTACTGGTCCAATCGCCTGATCATCACATCCGACCTGGCAAGGGCACTCTTGGTACCTGCGCAATGGCATTTCGATTTCGGCAGCGGGCTGCTCCGGGCGCTACTGGGGTTATCGTTGGGCTGCGATTCTGCTTCCGGTGGAGGAGCAGGAGAAGCCTGTGCCGCTGCGGGAGGCGCCTTGGCGTCCTCGGGCTGTGTAGTAGTTGTTTCTGATAACTCCCCCATCTTCTCTCTCGAGGTCTTTCACTAGTAGATATGTAGTATGATGAGCAGGTGAAGCGTAGCCGCAGCGACTCGAACTTCTCCGGCGGACGAGGCTATCCCACACAAGGATTAAATTATCGGAGGACATAGTGATCACCCAGCCGTTCTGTGCCGAGGTGTAATATCACGTGATTTATCCATAATCCCTGCAAATATATAATATATTTTTATTACATGGCTCATTAAATGAGCTAGCTACTCTACTAACATTCAAATTTTGGCTGGAGGGTGGGATTTAATTAAGAGAGATGATTCGTACTAACTATATTATTACCACAACTTGCAAAGTCATACATGGTTAAAAAGCTGACGGAAAAAAACCACACATAAAGATTGCCGACGATCCACCCCGGAGTCACATTCCCGATGCCCCTGTTAACTCCATGTTGATATCAAGAGAAAAGGAAAAAAAAAAAAAAAAAAAAAAGGTTGTAATTCAAATATACCCCTGCGCCATCCCATGATGTAAACCTTGCTTAAACACGTGCAATAATCATATCCTCCTCCCTATCTGCCGGATCCGTCAGCCTGTCAATGATAGGAACAAACCCAAGCTCGCTCATATCTGCACCAGTGTTATCAGCAATCCCACCATTTACATGGTGTCGTACAGACGAGTCATACTTGGCTCTTCGAAGAAACTCAGGCCGCGCGGTTCTGGCCTGCTGGGGTTGTGGTCGTGTATTCTCCGAAACCCTACGGTGCTGTTTCTGGAGTTCCATTCCCGTACGTCGTCCCCAATCATCCCCACCAGTATCGGAGGGGCTATCTATAGAAGAGATACATAGCTCCTGCTGCCCATGGTGGTGGTGAGGGGGTTCGTGGCGGTGATGATTTTTCATCCTGCCTCCCGTCGCCCTTTTTGCATGATTCCTATGCAAACGCAACAGCTCTCTTAAACTTTTTTTCTGCCTGGGTGCTTTGTTGATGAAGTTACTATCAACAACATCTGGTGGTGTGATTTCATCTTTTTCCACATCTGCGCCGCGGGTATCATTATCACTGTTTTCAACCGCACCAGCGTCACACATAGCGTTGTTAGCATCTGCCGGACACCCGTCCCCTCCGACCTGCTCGTCTGAAATATCAAAGCTTGATGAGCCGTCTGGCGTTGGTACCTTGCGGGACTCCCTGGCCATACTGGCGGCATCTATTCTGATAGCAATAGCCGCAAGAATCTCCAACAGTCTATCGTTCGTCATGTAGTCATCCCTGCAGATCCGATCGAGACACTGCCAGCTCCGCTCCGTAGCTGTCGGCATGCAACCTGGGCAAACGCGCAGACGACACGCGGGGATCGTGATATGGCCAAGGGCACTGTGACAAGCTGGAAGCAAGATGCTAAAGGGTACTTTCACGTAGGAATTTGCTGTCGCGGACTCGGAGTGTTCTGGGTCTTCGGTAGATGAACATGATCGGGTTTCGGGGTTGATAGGATCGCGCATCACGCGATTATCCGTGTTGAGAGTCTCTAGGACGGCTGCTCGCTGGCTCCTGATCAATTCCACCTGTTCAGGCGTGTAGTGTCCGTTCTTGATAGCGTTCTCGATCCAGTCGTTCAACTGCACCACGTCTCCTGCCTTGAGGCTGGTGGAGATAGCAGTAGCACTCGGTTGGTGGTTTTCTTGGGGCGGGTATCCATCTCTTGCATCCAGTCTATCCTCATCCTCTGTACAGGCATATACCCAGCCCAGATCTGGTCCTCTCTTGCACATCTGGCATGTTGCAAAGCGGTCATAGCTGCTAAATTCACGTGTAAAGCTGGAGTGGGTGCAATGCGTTCGACGACTGTGCAGGGTTGTGGATGTTGTTGTTGTTGTCCTGCTGTGGGAGGAGGGTTTTGTTGCAGGACCTTGGGAACCCATATCTTCTTTTCTTCTTATTATTTGTTGTGTTACTACAACGAACAACTAACTGATCCCGAATCTGGTCGAGAGAGAGAATGTATCCAGCCCGGGCATTTGACAAATTCAAATGTTACCACAGACGAAGGGGTGATGGGAAGGTTATTTTGTTGAATGAACGTGTTGCCCAGAGACCATAGACTCTGTATCTATTTTGCGCCCAACCCGTTTTGGGGACTTCGCCGGAGTTTCCCCCCCCCCCTCTCTCTCTCTTTTTTTTTTGCGAGAGAATGTTCAGAAGTTGCAGGGTGGAAACGAGCGACGTAAACGAACGGAGAAAAGGAGTGTTTCTAGGGAACACTTGTACCCATGGACAACGCGTGCATGTACGGTGGCGGATGCATTCGCGTGGTGTTGCTGAAGCAGGAAAATATTATCTCAGGGCAGATGTTTTTCTCTCTCTCTGTTGTCGGGTGAGGCTCAACAACAGCAGGAAGGTCTCTTCTTCTTCTTCTTCTTCTTCTTCTTTTGTCTCCTGTTTTTGTCGCACACACGCGCAACCACAACCATGCCCTAGGAAACGAACAGCAGATAAGTCCTACGGAGTATCGATTTTGACTAGAGACGGAGAAAGGGTGCTTTTACATCCACAGCATCCCACGGAGAGCAAAAAGAAAAGAAAAGAACAGAAATAGCCAAATATGTACGGTACGTATCATACTCAAAGAGAGGGCGCTGTTTTATTGGCAAAGTGCCGAGATCTTTTGCATTGCATTTAACTAGCCCTAGGTTCATGCATGGTTAAGAATAGCAAATGCAATCGAAGCTCTGTTGAAAGCCTATCAAACTGTTTTCTTTGTTACCTGCTTCCGGGTATATACAGATCAACAGTAACCTGTTCAAAGCCATTGAGCGAAGCCTGAGGGGCAGATTCCTATTGAAATGGCACAAGTATGATTAATTATTGAGGCAGGTATGTATGGTGGTATACAATATTGAAGAAATATAGATGTCTCCATACTACAGTCGGTGCTAGAGAACAGGGATAGAATCTTGAGACAAACAAAATACTCTGATTTGAAACTGTGGTTGTAGTGGGAAGTATTAATTCTTTGATTTATTATACGGGTTTCAGCCAGGGATAGTCTGTGAGGAGGGTACTAGGTTTCCAGATGGCCCGGCTGAACAGCGATATTCTCCCGAAACTTAGCTTGCTCCATCAGCTCAATAGAATAGCAGGTGGAAGAGAGCTAGCTTGATTGCAGATTATGCCCAGGTGGAAGACTTCTATAAGAAGATATACAAGGTTACATACACCACAACGTCACCCCCATCTTGCCGGGACATTCCACTACTTGCTATGACTACACTATTCCCCTGCACCCTCACGACGTAAATGACTCTTTGTTGTATGCTAACTCCTCATTAAACCAAGGGTCATTTAGAACTTCTCTTGCAGATGCTCTTGCCGACGGCTCAAAATACAACAATCTTCCAATAATCTCTCCCAGCTTCGCTATATCCTCTCTTGTAAGGTCGGCACTCTTTGTGTCATCAAAGTATACTTCTTCCAACCAGTCCTGCAAGTTGGGCCCGGCGTCTTCTACGGCCATACCGTTTCGCATTTTCATCATATCCCAGATTCCCCGCCACCTTTCAGGTAGATCGTCACTTGCCATCTCTCGCATTTGGGCCACAAGAATCGTGGGCGTTGTCATGAAGGTATCGAAGGGCGGTTGGCCTGTGAAAAGTTCAAAGAGCTCCCATACCCCGCCCGGTTACTACCTGTCAGTTCACCTGTTGCGTATAATTTACATAGTCTTGGAGGAGTGCCTCTACCCACCATGCAGCCCATGCTCCACAAGTCAACCCGATAATCAATACAATCCTGAAATATAACTTCAGGTGCCCGAACGGATAAAGGGGTATGAAGTGTCTGAGGAACCGTAGTAGGTAAAAATGATTCTCCAAAGTCAACTATCTTGACTATAGGAGTTGAATTCCACAGACGCGTCAGATGTAGGCTAGGCCTGACGATATACTCGGGCACACCAGGTTCTAGTTCTTTCCCATCGCGCCTTTCCACACAGCCAACCTCTGGTTCTCCTAACATCTCTACGAACTTCTCTTCGGGTAAATTCGTCGTGTCAGGTATCGTGAAGGCCAGATTGCGGGTATGCAGATCTATGTCAGGTGAGAATTGTCCGTCATATTCTTCATTAGACGGACCTACCTCCATGTCCAATATTCTGTTGATGCAAACCATCCAACCCAATCAGACATTGCTTTGCAATAACCTTGGCAACCTTTCCAGGGAGCCTCCCGCTGGGGAAGTGCGCAGTGATTGTGTCTGGGATATTAGGCCCCAGAGGCTCATAAACCAAGCATTGATGGGACCCATTCGGGCCTTTTAGGCTAAAGTCATCCAGCATTCGCATCACATATTTCAGACATGGGTGCAGTGTTGACAACTGCTTCATAATTTGGAGCTCTCTTGTCTCTGCATCATGATCCCTCTCAGCCACAGAAATCTTGATGGCAACATAGGTTTCGTCTCTACAAATACGCTTCCTGCGTTAGCCGGTACTCTGCAACTCAATCAAATTGGGACAACCTTTGATCTCTAGCTGCCCAAACAGTCGAGAAGCCTCCCCATCCAAATTTATGCAGCACCTTATACCTTCCGGCTTTCAGACATTCTCCCAATATGACCGGGTGGTAACCGCCTGGTTGATAGCGACGAAGTGGCTCCGCGTCCACCGATGAAATGTAGTGAAGGGCTGGCTGATCTTTGCCTGGATGAGTACCAGTAATAGACATGGACTTGGAGATAATGCAAAAGTGTGAGATGTTCCTCAATGGCACTGTGCGCCTCGATATTATCCAAGTAGTTGTCATTAGATTCCACTGAAGTTGCCCATGCTGCTTGTTTTCGACAATAACTGTGAAGCTGCTGTATATTGTGCTAGGTGGTGTTGCGCACAGCCATAGACAGCGTACTGGACCTCATACCTGAACAATAACAGCCGATAATATGATCTAAATACGCGCCTATTGCTCTTTAGTAGTAGGTCATTGGTTCCGGCAAAGTAAATTAGTGCATGGAAAACAAAACTTTGGAATTCTCGAAAGCTTCCAAGGTTAAGAGTAGACATATCACGTGATTTAAGAACTTGGAGTGAGGCATAGCAAATGATTGGTCAACCTCAATGAAAGCGCCCTTGATTGCATTTATCATCTAGAAGTTCAGTCTGCCCAGGAGGTGGGGATGTGGTAGCAAATCGACAGTGGACAATAACATAAATCTGTATACTGGAAGACCACCTTATAGAATCCCGAGGTTCGTCGAAGTAACTACTCCGTAGAAGTTCCTAGAGTTGAAGGAGCCGGGGCTGACTAAGGACGTTGTTGATGCAACCTCGGCACGGGCAATCGCCAATCATAAACAAACAAGCCGGCGCCAGATCTTCCAGCCTCCTCTGCGTCGCTTTCCCCACGATTCCAGCTGCAAGCAAGCCTGCAAGTTGCCCGTCATTCTTTACAGTCTTCGCAGAGTTCTTCTCAATCTCACGTTGTGTTAATCCGTATTCTCCGGCTCCCTTTTGATCCAGTCTGCTTCTTCAAGTCGTTTGAGGTTGTCCATACCCTCAGTTCTAGGCCAATCTAGTATCTCTCCTCTCCTGAACGAAGACGTACTGTCACCGCAAATATGTCTGTCAAATTTGACAATGTGATCTCTCATGCGAAGGAGAAGGTGAAGGATAAAGTCAAGGATGACTTGCACAGAGTTGGAGACAGGTTGACAGGAGGGAAGTCGACGACTGGATACCTGGCGGTATGTCCCGAGTCTTCAACAGGTTGCATCCATTACAGCCTCAATACGTTGGTACTGACCCTGATGCGGCGCACATTTTCGCTGCTACCCACTTCTAGGCATACCTGAAGCAGCTTCAATCCAATCCGCTGCGCACCAAAATGCTTACCTCCGGTACTCTATTTGCGCTTCAAGAATTCCTGGCCTCGTGGATCGCGCATGACCGGAGCAAGCATGGCCACTATCTAAACTCCAGAATACCAAAAATGGCATTGTACGGCTCGCTCATCAGCGCCCCACTGGGCCATATCCTTATCAGCATCCTCCAAAGGCTGTTCGCCGGCCGCACCAGCTTGAAAGCTAAGATCCTGCAGATTCTCGTCAGCAACCTGATCGTACGTTAAAAAGAAACATTCTTTCTCCCGAGTCAAAACCATCCACCCCTTGACATCCGTCGCCTAACTCCCGTGCGTGATGTAAACAGATCTCTCCAATCCAAAACTCCGTCTACCTCGCCTCTATGGCGATCATCGCCGGTGCGCGAACATTCCACCAAGTAAAGGCCACCGTGAAGTCGGGTTTCATGCCCGTCATGAAGGTCAGCTGGGTTACCTCCCCGCTGTCCCTGGCGTTTGCCCAGAAATTCCTCCCAGAACATACCTGGGTCCCCTTCTTCAATGTCATCGGCTTCATCATTGGTACATATATCAATGCCCATACCAAGAAGAAGAGATTGGAGGCATTGAGACGTAAGGTACGTTGATAAAACATACTTTCCGTTTGAGTAGCGGCATTTGCTGTCCCAGTCCCTTCCCAACCTATTTTACACCTGCTAACTACTTACAACTTCTGTTTCCTGTTTTGTCTTACCTGTAGCATTACGGTTCTGGTAAAAGTGTATCAGGCCGGTCTGAGGATTACCCACCTCGCTCATGATTAATTAAATCAAGAATTGAACTTCAGCTGCTGCCGCTACCGCAGCGGAAAGAGAACAAAATAGATCTCTCCATCTATATCTCTATTTAGGTCCTCGTGGAACATTTCCCATTTATAACTTTTTGTTCCGTTTTCATTTCCACCACTCTCGATGCTGAAGTCTATGAACCGTAGTCCCGCAGGGATTGTGGAGGATGTTTCTATTTTTTCTTTTGTTCTTTCTTTTTTATGCCTTTTCCTCTACCATTTATGTTTAGTTTGAACGATTAGGTCGACCCCAGATACTGGTACTCGTGAGCATGTTTTATCTTATATTGTTTTCTCTCAGAGAGGAAAGAGCATGGAGAGTCCCCCCCCCCAAAACCACCCATCCCCCCAAAGTTAATGAAATGATATATACCAAATGATTTATTCTTTAAATTTCAGCCAGTATAATGTTTCCCTATACGCGTGCACATATGCTTTTTTTTCCTGCGAAGAATATCTTGTCCGATCTACTCATTTATTTATTCCCTTCTTGTCACGGGCGTTATCTTTTTGTTTTCATCTCGAGGTTTTACACGCCCTGTCTCCGCTTGGGAAGACTGTAACCTATCCATCGCCCTTGTGTTGGTTAGGATTCTATTTTCGTTTGCAATGGATTTCCCGCAATTATTTTCTATGGTACTTCCACCAGCCTTTTGGGATGCTTCGAGAGATAGTTTTGACAATGGCAATATCGAGAGCTCCGCTCTGCCCTCTTTGCTTTTTCTTCCACAGATTAGTGTTACCTCCCTATTGTTTTCCTCTTTCGGGCTCTTTTTTTTTTTTTTTTTTTTTTTTTTTTTTTTTTTTTTTTGGCCCTGTTCTTGCCCAGTCCGCCGCTTTTGTTCTCTCCTGCACTGTTTGTTTCTGTATCCTTACCAGCGGGTAGCATCGAATTTAAAGGGGGCGAAGGATAGAAGGAAGAAAATAAAATCCATATCATTTATCTAAAATAGTTTAATGAAACGACGAGACCCTCTCTACTCAAGCATCGATGCCTGATTAGTGTACAAAACATCCACGACATTCCCGAGTTTCTCCAATGTCTCCAGCGCAGCATCATACCCCTGATCCCTCTCCGCCTCGTCAAAGACAATCAAACAGCCCGCCCCTTGGTCCAGCACGCCGATAATCACCTTATCCAGGATCATCTGCGACAGCTTCCTCTCCACCTGCTGCGTATCCAGCCCAACCATCTTTGCAATATGATCAATTTCAACCCGGCTAAAGGGCTCGATGACTTTGATCAGATTCTGCTCCAACATCGCATCATACAAGCGGCGGAGGTGGTTGCGGATAAACACGTCGCTGCCGAGTTCATATCGGTAGTCATTTAGCGCCTTCTCATACTCTTCCAGCGAGCGGTTGGAGTGTGCGCGCGCGACGGCCTTCATGGCTTCAAGGTTTGTCCCAGCGTATCGGAGCGCCTGCTTGGAGGCGAGTAGCGAATTGACGTCGTGGACGGCGTTGAGCATGATTTTGCATAGCAGCATGTATTGGAGGGCTGAGGTGGCTTTGCTGGCTTCGTCTTGCGAATGGTAGCCTTCCAGCGCCTCGATGAAGTAGGAGAAGGCGGTGGTGAAGTCTTTGTCTTCCGCGTGGAGCATACCGCTTTGCATGTCTAGACCTGCCTGTAGGAGTGGCGGTGTGTAGACAGACGCTGCTGATGTCCTGGCTGAGGTCAATGCCGCGCGGGCCTTTGGCTGGTTGCCTAGAGCGTGGTAGACGCGGGACTCTAACAGCTGCACTTCCACGAGCACGAGTTTATCGTCGAGACGTTTGAGTTCGCGGAGGAGGGAATTGATTAAGGTGAGGGCATCGTAGTAGGATTGCTTTTGCATATATATTGTCACAAGCCGTGTCTCTAGGTTCTGACGGAGGAATGACCGCCGTTCTGATACTGCCCACTCTATACATGACTTGATGACAAGGATCTGAATGTCAAGGGTGTTGGGAATAGCAGCGAAGAAATCGAGGAGTTGCCGGACTAGAAAATATACGTCAACGGAATAATTCACGCATAATATAGCTTCCTCTTCCCCCCATACCTCTGTAAGCTACGTACCTAGTTTCGCTGACTTCGCTTTGGCAAAGGATGAGAACGCTGATCGGCTCGTTTTAAGCAGCTCTGCAAGTTCTGTTGGTTTGTTCTGGTCGCAATACAGTTCCCCCAACCCCACGAGCGCAGCTTCATAATCGCGCAAAGAAGCTTCGGTGGATCCCACGCCCTTCGACAGGATATTCTGGTAGAGCGATTCTGCTCTGGTCGGATCTGTCTTGACGAGGCTCTTGGCTTCTATCAAAAGGCCTGCGTCATCAGGACCGGCAGCCATATTGGATGAAAATATGCCGTGGATTGTAGAGAGACGAAGGTTTAATAGGGGGGTATATTGCCGCTAAGCAGAGAGAGGGCTGAAGCTGCAAAGGGTCTAGGGATGTTACTGGGTACTGCGGAGTTTCCAGGTTGCGATGTTGATGCGAGGTGAAGCTCAGGGTCGATAGCTGGTGTACGCATCGGGCGTTATATGGCGCTGCTTTAGGACGGGCAAGTTCGGATTATGTCAGCCCCGCAGTGTCGTCGGCCCGACGTTGTACCGGAGAGCTCTAAAAAGATTTCAGGAATCAGTTTTATTTGATGGCGGATCAACGCAAGCAAATACCTGGCCCGTAGCACATTATGGTAAGCAAAAAGAAAAGAAAAGGAATGGATATTGTTTATTCATATATAATATATACTAATTCTGTGTCAGAAAATAAAAGCACTTTCTAGATCCGCTGCGGCGTTGCAGGAGCCAGGCTCAAATACCTCTAAGCTCCCTCGAAATCTCGATCCCGCACAGCATCCCTTCGAGAGAGCTCGGGAGTATACAAGGGCCCTCAATGCCACAAAGCTTGAACGCATGTTCGCCGCGCCCTTTGTGGCACAATTAGGCAATGGACATGTGGATGGTGTATATTGCTTAGCGAAAGACCCAGTGTCGCTTGAACGTTTCGCCAGCGGAAGTGGTGATGGAGTTGTCAAGGTCTGGGATCTGGCGACGCGGGATGAGATATGGCATGCTCCGGCACACGAGAACATCGTCAAGGGCATGTGTTGGACGTCAGATAGTAAACTACTCTCATGCGCAGCCGACAAAACAATCAAACTATTCGATCCCTACGGTTCTGCATCTGAGACCCCTCCGCTCGCAACGTATTTTGGGCAATCTGCATTCACCGGTGTTTCTCACCACGAAACCCACCCCTCATTTGCCGCATCCTCGTCCGTAATTTCCATATACGATTTATCCCGTCCATCCTCCACACCCTCTCAAACCCTCCACTGGCCCACGAGCACTGACACAATCACCGCCCTCGCCTTTAACCGGACGGAAACGTCCATTCTCGGCTCCACGGCCACTGACCGATCGATCATACTGTATGATCTCCGCACCTCATCTCCAGTTACGAAAATGATTCTCAAGCTTGCGTCAAATGCGATATCCTGGAACCCGATGGAAGCTTTTAACTTTGCCGTTGCCAATGAGGACCATAACATATATATATTCGATATGAGGAAGATGGACCGCGCGTTGAACGTGCTGAAAGACCATGTTGCAGCTGTCATGGATGTTGAGTTTAGTCCGACGGGAGAAGGCTTAGTTAGTGCCTCATATGACCGCACTGTGCGATTGTGGGATCGGAGCAAGGGCCACTCGAGGGATATTTATCACACCAAACGAATGCAAAGGTGAGCTATTCATCAACCACATGAAGCTTATCTTATCAACACTGACGTATCATAATAGGGTATTCTCCGCAAAATTCACACCAGATAACAAATACATTCTTTCTGGCTCAGACGACGGCAACGTTCGTCTCTGGCGCGCCGAGGCATCTTCGCGAAGCGGCATTAAGAGTGCGCGGGAGAGACAAAAACTCGCGTATGATGAGGCACTTAAGCAGCGGTATGCGCATATGCCAGAGATTCGCCGCATTAAGCGTCACCGCCACCTACCCAAGGCTATTAAAAAGGCCGGGGAGATCAAGGCCGAGGAGATTGCTGCTATTAAGAGAAGAGAAGAAAATCTACGCAAGCATACTAAGAAGAAAGGCACAATGCCGAGGCGTAGTGAAAGAGAAAAGATGATTTTGGCTAGGGAGCAGTAAACCGTACGGGGTTCTCGCACTGGCGCAAGGGACTTGGGCGTTTGGTGTTTGGTTCGTTAGTTTCTTTCTTTCTTGTTTATTTTTTTTCCTCGGCGCGCCAATAACCAGGTTACGTTCAACGAAATGACTCTGTGGACACGAAGATTAATTATTTGAATGAGCGATGGCCACTAGCACGATGTGGTAGGGCAGGATTACGGATAGAAAGAACTGAAACGAGTCGATTGTTCTCCATCTATGGAAACGATTGAAAGTCTATCAGCTGAAATTAAAACCTGCTCACCAGGAGCGGACTGACATTATTATCGTTACTTTATCCCGCGAACACTACATATGCATGTACGCATGATATATATATATATATATATATAGAAGCTCCTTTCCTCGGGGGGGCATGCCAGCACACACCCATGCAGAACCTATTTCACATCCCTATCGCCACTTTCTATCCTTCCACCTCCCTCCCCTCCTCCTCCTTCGCCAACGGAATTGACATGGACGAAGTGACAGCCTTCCTGCCAACTGCCCTATCAATCCCACTCATATACCTCGCCAGCCGTTGAATGGCTACAGGTAATATCGCATACCAACTAACCAGCGTCGCATAAGCCGGTAGCCTAATAACCCCACCGTTCCCACTATCAACTGCCGCGACAATGTCCCGTGCAACCTGCACAGGTTCCAAGACAGGCGCAAAGAAATTATTCGGAGTCTGCACGTCGTCAAAGAGTGGCGTGGCCATCTGGCCCGTCTCGACTAGAAGCATTTTTACCCGCTCATTGTCGCCTGAGGTGCGCAGCTCGGCCTCAACGGTTTTGTGCACGGCGCCAATGGCTGCCTTCGTGGCTGAGTAGTCTGAGAGGCCGGCCGGGGTAAGGTAGCTGCACACGGAACTTAGAGTGACGATTGTACCGCCGGTGGGAGAAGTCAGCATTCCCGGGAGGAATTGCTGAAGGGTATTGAAGCAGGAGAAAAGGTTTGCGTGGATGGTTCTTGAGATGTCGGCGGGGGAGAGGGATGTTATCGACATGCCGTTGATGGGGGCAGCAATGCAGTTTATGAGAATCGTCGGGGTTCCAAGCTAGTAGTTTTCAATTTAAAATTAGCATTAATCCCAGTATATTTAAAACAAATGGATACATCGCAATCCCTTCAGTAGCACACAATTGAACAAGAGCCCCAAAACACCCCCGTTGAACGTCAACGTAGCAGACATGGGAGAACATACCTCTTTTTCAATCACTTGCCGAACCCTCTTCACCTCCGCCAAATTACCCACATCACACTTGAAATACCTAACGCTATGCACCTCCTCCCACTCTTCCATTCCTCGCTCTTCGCCCTCCCCTTTCCCTTCCCCTTGACCCTCCGCTCCAAGATCCCGCACATCCAACACCGCCACATCCACCCCCCGCATCCCATATATCTCCGCAACCAACAGGCCTAACCCACTCGCACCTCCCGCCACAACCACAACCTCATCCTCCAACGACACCTCCCTCGGCAACCCATAAGCAACTCGCTTGTTCACGATATTCAACAACAGCGCGAATGAAAGGAGCGCGGCATAGGCTGTTGTGACGATGAAGGAAGTGTGGGAGTATGGGGTCGCTTGGGCGCGGAGGCAGAGGGGGATGAGCCAGGCTATGAAAGGGTGGAAGATCGTTCTGTGCAGGACGCGGAGGATGAGGTCGAGATTTAGGGCATCGATCCAGCGAGGGTTTGGGCGGGAAGTGGTCGTTGAGCGAAGGGGTGTGGAGGAAGGCGACGGCGAGGAGGATTTGGAGCGGCGCCGGTTCATGGTTTTGATAGGTGACGCAGTTTGAGTCAATGTGAATTGAGGTTCTGATTAAGGTCGCGAATGGGATTTTGTTAATCCTTGAATTGGCGATGGAGGAGTAGGTCGCATAGGGGACTTCAGGGTTTGAGATGAGTGAAGCAAATAATTAATTGAGCGCTCTGGACAGGGGTGCCGTTTAGAGATCCTTTCGAATTATTTGTTTACACGAAAGAAAAAGACACGGATTGTAAGTATAGGTAGACTTTTCCCGGGCGTTACGAAGATGGAATGAATGATTATTCTGACGCTCGCCGGGTTTCAGAGTGACGTGACATCACTAGCAGCAGCACTATTCCCCGATTCCCACGTACAGCACCATTCGGACATTTTTAATTTATCTAGCATATCTGTAATCCATGGAGTTACACCACGGTATTTTTATAATATGTTGAGGGTCGTCGGACGAAAACTACGTGCGTTTGGAATTATTCGCCTCAGTGTAAGGGTTTTATATACTGACTGGCCGTGGATTTCGTAGCAACAGAACATTATAGTATACCAAAGAGACTCAAAGCAAGTAAAGCTAAAACTGAAAGGCAGCTAACAGTGGAATCTTTCTGAGCCCGAGTGGGATTCATGCAATGGAGCCCTGCTCGCGATGGATGGAAGGCCACTGAATATACCAAGCTAGATCATAATATCTCGGGAGAGCGAAAACCAGACCCTCTCCCTTATATTGGCAATATATCACTGTATTTGCCTGCAATTGGAATTGTGGTTCTTCCTGTTACGGCGACGCCACTGCAGAGTCAACATCACAGCTCAATATCTACATGAGAAGAATAAAAGTGAAGGCGGAGGGGTAGCGAGAGGCGGTGGCGGAAATCGAATGGGAGGAGAATTTGTTGGAACTCTCGTATCTCCAACAGGCTTGCAGAGTCTCCATCTGAGTAAAAGATCCCAATATTCTTGTTTCAAAGTGTCGAAATCTATAAAAGGACTGAGAGCCATGTGCGAATACTTCCCATCAAAGTGGACTTGGATGATGCGGACATTGCGACCCCAGTAACTGAAGATAGTTATCTATTCCTGATGGTTAGTTCCGAGTCTCTTATGAGGGATTTGAGGGCGCATGATGATGAATGGTTCGGAAAAGAGTAAACAGACCGGAAATATCTCTTCATGCTCAAAGATGCTTAGACGTACCCTCCACTGCATCACGTTGACAGCACTAATAATTTCGCCGCGAATTACGGTATTGTCTCTGTTTTCATCCGGATTGCAATCATGAGCAACAGAAATCATCGCACGGGGATAATATTTCTTTTCAGGATCCGTGACAAGAAGACCTCGCATCCTCCAGAAGTGTGGCTCCACTCCCATAACGCCCGTCGGCGTGTAAATACGACCAAAGTGACTACAGCGTTCTGATAGGAACATATAAAATGGGTAAATGGTAAATCACAAGGTCGTACTGGAACCTAACGAAAAACCCGTGGCTGTCAGCCACAAAATCTCCACTCTCAGGCGTTCTCTTATCAGGTGCAATTTCCTCTGTAAGATGACACGACCAAATCGTTCTCCAAGGCACTTCCGGCATCCTATGGGCCCCATATACTATAATCCCAAGGCTCCAGCTTATATTCAGGTTGGACGAGGTTTTGGTAGGACTCGAGTGGTTATGGAGTAAAAAATTGTTGCTGGCCAGCCACCGCGTTTTCCTGAGCGAGGAGATCTAGACGCGTGATTTTCACCCGAAAATTCTTCAGATCCTCGGGATCTAAGATGACACTTTTGAATTCAGTCATTAGAATGAGAACTCGATTTCTGAGACGGAAGGCATTACGCCTCTTGCGAGTCATCGACTCAGAATTGTCGTCTATACTCATGTTGCGTTGAATGGAAAAACATATCGAATAGGACTTGAGCGGTTGAAAATCAAAATAAGACTCTAAGACAAGAACTAAGAGAATGCTGAATTTATAATCATCGGTGCCAGGAGTTTTTGCTTTGGCACCCTGAAGCCCAATCGAGCCTGAAACTGAAACCAGTCTCTGAGATGTTCTGTCTTGCTGCGATGGTACGTGCGCTGAGTACAATGAGTAGACATCAGCGAAACAAGCTTTGTCAGCTCCGGCTGGTGGAGCCTCGGCCCGGGCCAAGCTGCGCCGGGGCCCACTTCCAAGCGCGAATTACGCTGTAGACGCCGGGTGTTGGCGGCCTAACCGGAAGTGGATTGGCGTTCAACGTCAAAGTCAACATCATTCATCTATTTTTCTCTGATCACTCTCAGCAAACCTCCATGTTATCTAACTACACTAAAAGCTGAAACACACACAAATCCCTGGGCACCTCGGAATTTCCTTTGAGTGGTTATATAATTGTTGCTTTTTTGGCTTGAGAAGCAGTACTACTCTTGCATATGAACTCCATTCATTTTCAGTTAATGCAGAACTACTGGTACTTGATGCCTAACTAGTGCTGCAGAGGAAACATCCTCAGTTATTGAAAGGAGATTTCTTTTGTTGTCAGCAGGGATTCACCATATGTTGGATGATCTCTTTGGAATCTGCTCTAAAAAGGCCTAGTCAGTTTCGGCTAACTAGACAGTTGGCTGCTCTTCAGTTCAAGAAGTTATCTTTCAGCTTTGCTTGTTAGGGCTTGAGTATTCTGATACCTAATGAAAGGATCGTAACAGGAGCCTTTATTAGCTGTTATGTACGACTCTTGCCACTGCAATCTGTGGCTTTACATTGGTCGGGTTAAATATGAATCTCCTCTTTCTTTCAAGCAGAGCGGATGCTGGAGGATATCTAGATGTGTCTGGTGTGCGGATAACAAAGGACGTCTCCTTGTCGGCATTCTTGCTCACTGCACGTTTCTCATGCACGCCATGACCTTTGAAGACAAATTCCATCGGGGTATATCCCTGGTCGTTTCAGTTGCACGTGTTGTTGAATTAATAACATAAAACTTATCACCTCAGAGTTTCAAGTCTTCTAATAACACGACATAGCGGTGGTTTACAGGGCCAGGTTGGGATCAGTCATCACCAGGCTCAGGGGGTTGACCGAATACTTTTTGGACTTGTCTCCTTCGGCTACTGTGATTACTTTGGCATAGGTTATATACTACAGGTGATTCCGGTTCCCCCTTTTCAGAAGAGGCAGCAAAAATATCCTTGATTGGATGACATATTCTATATATTTTCTTACACTGCAAACAACATGCCTATTCGTCTTGACTCTTTCTGAGTGCATTTCCGGATTGCTCTACACCAACCCCGCCTCGCCTCGAAAATGGAATTAATTCCAGATAACTTCAGTTCGTGGGTAGCCGAAGCGAGAAAGAACAACGCCCTCCATTTGAAGGACAGTGGCTGGAAGTCTGCTTCAAAATTTGACCGGCCGAGTTATCTCTCACTCAGAACTGTCTGGAAAACCAAATACCAGTCAAATTTTAGTCCCAAAAATTGGGGCATCACCCAGACTACTCGTGCGCGCAAACTACTTGAGAATATATCTGGTTGGCCACTCTACTTAGATCATGTTGGTAAAAAGACAAACGCGCAATTCCCTATTCCGCAACTGATGTCATTTTCTCTCGTCTTTTATTATCACGATTGGATTATCCATCATCCATGGGAGGGCAAATGCATCCATCTCGGAAGCCCTCTCCACTCCGGTCTCATCACGGACAAGATCCCACTCGGCTCAAAAGACAGATAAACGTGACATCCCTTCAACTCTTTTACAGAAGGACACCAGACGTGAAGGTGATTGCTCTGTCTCTGTCTTAGAGCAAGAACTACGTAGACTTGACATTCAGCGAGAACAGGAGACAACGCCCGAGCCTCCCATCGATCGCATGTCACCCACCTCACCGATCTCATCTGAATTAGCCAATGGCCTTTATCCTCCAGTGATAGATGAACAGATTGTCAACACCGCTTTGATAATATTTTTGAATGCCATCTCAATTGAATGCTATGGTATGGAAGCTGAATGGCCTTTGCACCGGAAATCATTCAAATTTGGCCAACACTTCGAGGCCGAAACAGATGGCCATCTTTCCATTTTTGATAAAAAGGGATCACTGTCAAGGGCGATAGTGGAGGTGAAACCAACCCCAAATTATATATCAAGAGACTGCAGAGATGGCGGCATGGATTTTTGAGGAGCCAGACAAAGAAAACAAAGACATCTACGGTATGTATATTCCCGCTGACATTCGCTAATGTTTACTGAACGAAAATCCTATTTAGTCGCGTCCTAGTGTCTCAGGACCATATGGAAATTTACCTTACAATCGCAGAGTATGACAATGGCTATGTGAAATATCTTCGCGGGGAGAATGATGAGAAGGATGAGATATCCCTGATGAAGATGAATCAGTTCGGGCCATGGCTATTGAAGTGTCAAGACCATGTGAAGCAATTTGCAGAGATCTTTTTTTTTTTTTTTTTTTTTTTTTTTTTTTTTTTCCCTTACCTTCTATTCTATATCATCATCACACCCCCATGCTATGTATGCTTCGTCAAAAGCTTGAAACATTTGACCAAAACAACACAGTTCTTGCTAGTCTCTAAATAATTCAGCTGCATGCGCTAGCAAAGCACTCCTGAGATGTTAATATTAAATCAAGAATCACTATACTCTCTTGCTTGCTTCACTTTTCTCTATTTACTAACTTTTCATCTATCATATATTCTTCAATTCTATCCTATCCCCCATCCCATCCCATGGGATGATCAGTTAGGGCTATTTCCAAAGTTCCAAGTCACAGCACGGAGAAAGAAAGAGTTCGGAGCCCTTGCAACATAACTTTGTACTGTAAAACGAATGCCAGCCAGCATTAAAGGAGACAGGAGACTTCGTAAGAGAGGTCAATGTTATTTTTATTTTTTTATTTTTTCAATTGAAAAGGGATGTGGACCATTAATAAATAAGCAAGAAAAAAATATGACACAGAGAGAAGAAGAAAATCAGAATTTCATTACTTACATATGTAGATGATCACTTCACGCGCCTAAAAGCTCTCACTGATGAAACCTCTTGCTCTGCTCTGCTGTTCAACAATGCCTTACTATATTAGATATATATGTACAGTACATATATATATAGAAACCAGCAATAGTACACGTAAAATTTGTTAGATCATATAAATAAATATACTACGTTTGATGGGAGCAGATTACATACATTACTGATAGGTAGCTAATACGGGAGAAAGAGAGAAGGAAAAAGAAGACTTCAAATCTCAGAGCTACAGTGCACCTCTTCACATTAAATTCATTTATTCTTGAAAGAGAGATAGAAAGGAAAGGAGAAGAATTCAATAGAGATGCCATAACTATTCTTGAAGGTTTGTCGCGGACGGGAGAGGGGTTATGGGGGAGGTAATGAAAATAGAAATCGCACTGCCTCAAAATATCCCCATGTGTTCATTGACTTAACCAAATGCCAAATCATCACCAACCGAAACCCAAGCCCAGAGCAATGGAGTAAAAAAAATTAATTAATAAGACAAAAACAGAAAGGAAAATTGAAAAATGAGAAATGGTAAGAGATATTCGGCCAATCTCAGATCCTACCCGTTGCACCACTCCCTCCCCCCATCGTCATCTTCCCAAAATCCTTTGGCACCTCCCACCCATGCATCCGGCACGCGCGTATATACGCATCCATAGCCTCTCCAACGCCATAATCCCTCACAGTCCCCTTACTCACAGTCTGCCCGCCCGCCAGACGCGCTGGGTGCGGTTCCGTGCTCGAAATTGCCATGCGCACCTGCAACAGCACGCTCTCGATGCTCGACACAGCTGACCAGCCTGAATTAGTGAGCAGTTCCATGCACAACGCGCCGCCGGCAGTGACGTGGCCGCCGCCTCCGGCGAAGAAGCTGAGGAAGCGTGGGCGGATAACGCGCACGAAGGGTGGGGAGATGGGATAGTCGCTTGGGAAGCGGAGCTCGAGCACGACGGATTTGAGACCTGCGTTTTGGAGGTCCGTGGCTAGTGGGAGGGATGGGTCGAAGGAGTGTAGTTCGACGATCCATTGGTAGACTGTGCTAGTTATGCTGGGGTCGACGTACCAGCCGAGTTCGTGGAGAGGTTGGGTTTCTTGGGTTTTTAGGGTGGTGTTAAGATCGCGTAGAAGGGCTTTGGTCGCCCAGAGCGTGGAGGTTTTCGGTTCCTCAAGGAGAGGGAGTTCGGCTGCGATGAGGGTGCCGGGGACGAAGTCGGTTTTCGGGGCGGAGGAGTTGGTGGTTGCCATTATAGTTGGTGTGTCGTGGACTGACGCTTTACCCTTGTTGTTACTCTGCTCCTGGCTGGTATCCTGTTCGTTTTTAAGCAGGATCAGGTTATCTTCATCATCTGTGTCTTCACTAATATAGCCATCTGTTGTGGATCGGCGCGCCTTGGGACCTAATGCCTTTGTGGAAGAACCTGGGAGGGACTTTTCGATGTTTGATATGCCGGCAGACACGCGCCGAAAAAAGGAAGATCTGTCACCGAAGATCTGAAGTCTTCTTTTCGCGGGTGATTCTTGCATATTAGCAGAGCCCTTGGCTGCTGATGAAGCAGAATTGCTGTTCAGAGTATTTGCTTGCTCAGACTCGGTGATTTTTCCACCAATACGGCGCCCTTGGCTGACCGCCGTAACTGGGATTCTAATCGGATTTCCACTTGGGCCTTTGGCCGTATATTCAGGGTCCTGTAAATGGCAGGCAGAAGAGGAACCCTGTTCCACGCGATCTTTATTACACAAATCGAGAGATTGGCAGCTAACAAACAAATAGCGTGGCTGTATCCAGTCCAGCTGCGCTACGACGAGATGAGGTGACTTGCTCACGAATTCGTTGGGGGCATTCACGACTTCGTTCAGGGATATTGCGGATTGAATTTTCAATTGGCTCTGGGGCCATGCTATGGGGGTGCCTCTCGTATAAGAAGACGAGGTTGTGAAGTCAGGGCTCATGTACACGCCATTTCCAAACGCACGACCGTGAACCGTTTCGCGGAAATGCAAACCTTCGCGTAAGATGCCGTGCCAACTAGAAAGGCGACTTCCATGCCAGGCAAAAATAGTAGGGTACTTGAGGTTGAGTCTTTCAGTTACGGCAGCAACTGCTTGCACGAATCGTTGCTCTTTGTCAGGGGCACCCTGCGCGAATCTGAACTGCATGTAGTTCTCCATGCCAGAGACGCGGTCACTGTCGTTGTAAGCTGAATCTGCTGTTTGGCCATCTTGAATGATACATGAACGATTTGAAGCGACAATCCAACGTAGCACATCCAGTGCTGATTTAGAGATCCTGACACGCCAATCAGTAAGCATAGGTTCTGCCTTCTCAGAGTTATTCAATAGGAACTTCCTCATCTCGTCCACGCTGGGCAGGGTATCGAGGAGCATTGCAATAGTACTCTGTTTGTCAACAGCACTAATGTCATCGAAGTTATGGTTATAGATGTAAATAGTCACATCCGAGTATTCGGCTTGGATGTTGGGCTGGTTGTTGTTAGAGCCTGGAACTGGTGTTGGTGTTACCTGTCGCGAGACGGGGCTGGACAAGTGAACCGTTGGGAAAAAGGAAATATCCTGCACCCGACAGTGGAACTGTCTGTTGGGTTCACAGTCGGAGATCACAATCCAATCCCCGGTACGAACAGGGCAGTTCCCGCAGTCGCTGGGAAAAAGAAGTTCTAACTTTGAATAGTCGAACTTGGTAACAGCATGCGCATTTGCACTTGATGAGCTAATCGCAGAGCCTCGCTGGTAGCCCACGTGTGGTATAATTGGTGAAAAGCTTACAACAGGGGGAACCAAAAGTCCGAGTCCAGTAGGGAAGTCATCCAGTCGACTTTGCTTGGCACTGGCATAGGTGAAACTAACAAGTAGATCCACGACATAAGGCTGCGATATGACTTCCCATTCCAAACTAGGCCCGAATCCAAGAGCCATGTACTGATACAAGCAAAGGCTTTTAGAGCATACATATGGTTTCAGCGCCTCAAATGCATCTTCCGTCTTGCAGTGACAAACAAGACAAAACTCCGTGCATCGGACAAAATGACGGAGTACAAATTGCATTGCAATGAGTGGGAAAGATGCACCATCGCCATATTTCTCTATCAGATGGTCAGAGGTTACTAAGTCCGGCAGGGTGGTTGATGAAGAAGCAAGGGTTTCTTCTTTGGTATATTTATCATCTGATGGGTGTGCATGGTTGAGAGACTTTCCTTGAACATCGTTGAGAAAGACTTCTGCTCCAGACCAAGGAAAACCGAAAGTGTGTCTGTACTGTAGAATCTTAACAAAACGTTCATTCAAAAGAGCATTTAGTGGCTTGCTGATGAACGACCGAATCATCTTTCGAGAATTTGGTTGGCCCGCCAGGGAAGCGCTATCTGCTTCATCGTATGTAGCTCCCGCCTTGGAATCGTAACGGTTGAATGCGGTTAAGGCACTTTGGAGTGTAGGTTTGTACGAATCGCACAAGTCAGCCTGGAACTCCAAATGAACTTTCCCAAACGCGGAATCCTCTTGCATAATTTCTTCGAGAGAGCGATATCTGTCTATGTAGCGGATAAGGCAAACAAGGTATTGGTTTCCATTCACATGCCAAGCCTGCATTGCTTCCTCAGATATTGCAAGTTTTGAGAGCCGGCACGAGATGGAGATAATTGGATTCCCGGGATTTCCCAAGTATCCCACTCTGAAGCCGGCCATCTTGGCCTCGCGGAGGTCCACCGCCAGCTTGGCAAGGATGATATCGTCAGAGTTCCCGGTCAGCATGCCAGTATCCGGGTTTTCAACATGCTGCACTGAAACTATAGGAGAGTGTGGAGACCAGCCATATTCACCATCGGAGTCCTCAGGTGCATCGAGCATATCAAGATCACTGCCCGAATCAGGAGACAATGCTTTCTCCAGGGTGCTGGTAATTTGCATAAGCATGTCAGAGATGCTGAGGCCGCTCAGATAAGATTGCACCTCCTCCAATGCTTCAGTCACTGCCTGGGGAACATCTTCAGTTGTAGTATACACAAAGTAGTCATGCTCCTTTGGGTATGAAGATAAGTCTGCGCGTTTCAGTTAGCAATGTCTTCTTTCTCTACGACGGGGGGGGGATTATATATACCGGAAACTAGGAGCTGAATCTCCACTGGTTTTTCAGATGAAGAATCCGGGGAAAATGTGCAAGAAATAACGCCGTCGTCATCCCCGGCCTTCACATCCACCATGCGGGAATTTTTCCCTAGGCTTGAAGCCTCTTGTAAATCGCGTATGAAGTCCCTCCTCGGCATGTTTGGGGCAAAGAGGGAAAAGGCGCTCTTAATCTCCTCTTACCGCTGCGCAAAGCGAGCGAGTTGTGCAGAAGCTCTGGGGAAGAAATTGAAGTGGGCAGGGACAATCAATCCAACTAAATATGTGAAATGGGACAAAGAGCGATGAGAGCGATGAGAAGAGTCGAGATGAATCTGAAGGGGAAAAAGAAACCCAAACCCAACGCCTCAGGATATTGTGCAAAGGAACCAAAAGAAGGCCTTCATTAGAATTCTAGGAGTGCAGTCCCGAATTTTCTATGAGGGAATATCTGAAGATTGAAGTGTGTGAAGATAGAGATATTTTGTATTTTGGCCGGGAGACCGAAGGGTATAGTTGCAACGTAGTAGAAGAAAGCTCATAAGGGATAAAGAAGGTACAAGTGAATGAATGAGTTGCACCTGGGTCCCGTTCATTGCAGGCGGAGTATTTATTCCGGTGCAAAAGGCCGCTACAAGAACAGCGGCCGATCGGGCAAGGCAGTCAACGGAGGGGCAAGATAGCTAGCTCAGGCAAGTAAAGGCGCATGTATGTATGTATGTATGTATGGATGTATGGATGGATGGATGGATGGTTGTATGTATAGAATTGCGGGAAGAGAGAGTCAAGAGCCCGGAGAGGAGTGTTTTAGCAGCGCATTCTTCTGCGCCCCAATAATTTGGTAGTAAGAAGCGGAAAACGCCTTGTCCCCATAGACAGTGTTATGGATGTATGGATGTATTTCACTGCCACTGAGCCATGTTTACACATGGGAGACAGTGAGAGGGAGGGAGAGGGCGAGGATGGGCACCAGGAGGGAGGATGAAATGTGTCTTGTTGTGAGGAGAGGGTGTTGCGGTGCAACTGAGCCCTTGTGGATGCGTCAGAGACGCTCGGCAGAGAGACAGGTATTTATTTAGCAGCCCCAGTACGGAGTAGTTTAACTAGTTAGGGTAAGGAGGACTCTCCTCAGTCAGTAAGAAATCAATTGGCTGAGGTGGGTTGACACACAGCCAGAAGAAACTGTCAGGGTCATCTATTTAATATGGGTGGTTGTATTTCCTCTGGATATGAGCTTGAAGATGAGAGAACATGATGCCCCAAAGGAGAGCTTTCAGCCTCAGTCTCAGCGGTTGGGAAGAGAGAGAACTAAATAAGTTATTGAGTTATAATACGAGTTATTTATAACTATTTAAATAACTAATATTTAACAACACAATCCAGGTCACAAGTTATTTATTTATTTATCCTGTGGGCACAACAAGATATTTCTGCTCTGTTTTAATAAATAGCCAGCTAAATAAATAAATATTTATTCAACCATCGCAAAACGCCTTTATTCTCCTTGTCTGCGCAGTTAAATACCAGATTTCCCGCCGTGAAGCTTGCTAACCACCGCACAAAGCTAAAATCAAGCTCTTGTTGGATTCCTGATCCAACAGCAAGCAGCTTATACCTGATCTGCTGCTGGCAACTAACCCAGGTATTTATCTAAGATAACACGCTGTTTGAACGCTCATACTTTCATGGTGTCTGGCATTAGGGATAGTTATCTTTCGGAGGAAAAGAGGCGCTTTAACAAGACCGCAGATGCCTCTGCTTGCACTTCATTTCCAATCTCAATAATATCTGTTGACCATCACGGCCCCCGGGCGCTTCTCCATCTAGCATCCATCTTGACAGAGGGCAAGGGTGATATAAAAATAGCTTGCTGTTGTGTTGTCGCTGTGGGATACATTCTAAACCCACTGAGTAGACAAGAGGGGGAAAATAAACAAAGGAATTCTATCTGCAAGTATTATATAGTTATAAATATATAAAAAAATAAAAATAAAATAAAAATAAAATAAAAAATAAAAAAATAAAAAAAATGAACATGACATTAGATTTATTGCAGTTCTGCGCGTAAATAAATAAATATTTACTTAAATATTTACTAAATATTTAACTCAGTTAGTTAGTTGTAAGGACCGCGATTAAATATTTATTTCTCTCCGCCCGCCACCTCTTCCCAATGTTAATGCAAAATGCCATCTGAGGCTTTAGACAGCATAGCAACTCTCGACCGCCGATTTCTCTCACGATCCCGTATCTCAATTAATGTCGTGATGCATACGTCTAACTTAATACTATACGCTTCTCTATTTATACCTAGGTAGATATTGCTCTACAAAGGAGCCGTTGAATTATTTACGACATCGCCTCTCCGCCGGAACCACCACCACAATTACCACCGCGCTTCGATCGTCATCAAATACAAAAGGAACGCACGAAAGCAAGGCCAGATAAAGGCCAACCATATTATTTATCCAGTCTACCCATACTCCACACTCCAGTTCTACAAGCCATGGACCGCGCCACCACCTCCTCCCCTTCCACAACCCCAGTAACCAGCAGCCTACATGAGCCCCCGGAAAGCCACAAAAGGATACATCAACCCTCATCCTCCCATCTCGACTCTACCCTCTCCCATTTCGCTGATCCCACCTTTGACCCTGTCGACTACCTTAACAACATCCTCCCGTCCTTCTCCCTTTCCCTCTCTTCACCCCAAACAACAACGACGGCAACCGCAACAATCCCCACAACAAAAGACAGAGCAGCAAGTGCTACCGCGGCCTCTACGCCCGTCTCCCTCGCGGCGCTCTCAACGCAAACCCAATCCCTTATCTCACAGCTCAGTGCGCAAAATGCGCGCCTGTCGAATACCCTGACGCAGCTGACAGATGAGATACTACGTGGTGGGGGCCGGTTGGCGTATGAGGTCGAGGTTTTGAGGGGGGAGGCGGTGGGCTTGTCGGATGCGTTGAGGGAAGAGCTGGCGGGGGATATAGAGCTGTTTGTGCCGGGAGGGAAGGTACCGGATATATCTATGTCTACAAGAGCGGAGGAAGAAGCGGTGACAAAGACACAAGCGGAAGCTAGTGAGCCAGCGGACAATCCCGCGCAAACACAACAACCGCAAACACAAGTACAACCAGATGACGAGCAACAGCAGCAATCACAACCAAAAGAACCAGGGCAAGAAGCACAATCGGAAACACAACCCGCCTCAAACGAGCCCCTCTACCTCACCCACCTCCGCACCCTAACCAACGTCCGCGCCCGCCTCGAGCAGGTAATCCACACTTTCGGCGAAGCCATGGAATGGCCCCTCGCCCCCTCCGAAACCTCTCTCGCATCCTCTTTCATCTCCGTCTCGGCACCCGAACCCGGCACGGAGAGCCAGCACAGCCGCGAGGAGAAGGGGAAGGAAGTCGCGAAGAAGTTGCGGGCGGAGATCATAGAGTTGCTGGATAAGGACACTGGTACCACTGACGCAGATGGTGTGGAAGCGGCTAATCGGCGGGTTGAGGCGCTGCGGGAGCTGGTGGGCGTGTGGAAGGGGACGGCGGAGGAGAAGGCGCGGATGAGGTTTGTGGATGGATTGGCGAAGTTGGTTGAGGAGCGGAGGAAGGTTGTGCAGAGTGAGACGGAGAGTAAGGGTGGAGGAGGGTCTAAGAGTGGGCTGCGCGGGGATAGTAATGCTGGACGGGATGGGAGGGGAGGAGGGGGTCAGGAAGGTAAAGGTAGTGCTGGTACAACTACGACTGCTCCTGCTTCTGGTGGCGGTGGTGGTGGGTTGTTGCGGAATCTGCAGCGATTGCGGGATGAGATATATCTTGATTGATTTTGGGGGGGGGGGAGGGGGTGGCTGAGACCACCATTGTAAATATTTACTGTATAGGCTGGACTTTGACGTCTTTCACTTTTATATACTCTATAGACATAATATGCTTTGCATGGCTCCTTTCTTTTTACTTGTTATCTAGAGTAATTTTTATATTTGTCAAACATAGATCTATCTGCATTGGCTCGCTAAAAATAAATAAAACGCTCAACCAAACTTCCCTTTCATCTCGATATTTCTATTTCGGACTGGTTTGGCGGGTTCAACACCAATCGCCGCTAGCCCACGGGCTTTTGAATCGACATTGACTCAACATCTCCCCCGCCAAACAACCCTAACTATACTGTCCCATCTCTGACAAGCCATTATTATAGGCCAATTAGATGCGGCATTCTTGTTCCTTTGCTCGAACGGGGGTCGGGTAGCCATTATACGTCGCTACTTGCTGCAACTGCGTCGAACAGGGCATCTCGAGACGAAAGTTGGCTCGTTGTAAAACATGGGCTTGCTAGAACTCCTGGACTATAACGCCGTGAGAGATGGCGCTGGCGTACATCTCTCGACTCTGTCTAGGCCGCTGCGGAGGTCGAGAAGGACAAAGACGCTCTGGGTAATTGCTGGTCTCATGCTGGTTTTGCTTGTCGTCTCTAGGACCGGGCTATATCAGGTACATATATACAGATATATATTCTTTCTATTTAGACAAGGATGGTTGCTATAGGTTACCTAGAGGGCATACGTTAACCTTCTCCACAGACTACAATTCTTCACGATATCTCCGAGATCTATCTTACCCAGCCTGTTACATCGTTTGTGGGGGATGAGATATCTCCCGCCATCAACTCCCCCCCACCCAAATTGAGCAAAGATGGCAAGTTCGCTAGCGGCGTTACAAAGACAAATCCTTCCTTTCATCTCATTATCCGCGGATCGAAGAAGAACCCCGCTATTTGTAGGACGATATTCACCGCTATGGTTCTCAACTATCCACCGCCGACAGTTCTGGATTTGAACGAACCTATCACTAAAGACGGGAAGCCCGAGCAAGGGAAATGGGATAAGCTGCTGGCAATTCATAGCTACCTCTCAAAGAGCACGCATATGAAAGATACCGATGTTATCATGATTACTGATGGCAATGATACCTGGTTCCAGCTGCCGCCTGAAGTTATGCTCCAAAGGTTCCATGACCTGTTGAAGAGGAATAACGACAAATTAAGGTGGAGATATGGCTCCGTGTCAGAGAAGGTCGCTAAAAATGAGCTCAAGTCTACGCAGCGATACTCGCAGCGCATTATTTTTGCGGCGGATAAAGTCTGTCGGCCGGATCGCCCTTATGACGCTTCCTGTTTCGCAGTTCCTTATTCCAACCTGCCACCGGACATCTACGGCCCGCTGACAGATACCGGCAAAAATGTGGCCCAGAACCGGCCTAGATGGCTGAATTCTGGCTCACTGATCGGTTTATTGGGCGATGTGAAGCGTCTCTATGAACGCGCAGCGGAAATTAACTCCAAAAATATCATGCTAGGCGACGAACAGGAAGTTCTTTCTCGAATATTTGGCGAGCAGGAATTCACCCGAGAACTAGACAGACGCCTCAGGCGACCAAACTGGTACATCCGCATGGGCGAGTTATTTGGAATCCTCCAACGCATAGACATATCACGCATATTCGTAAAACTGGCCCCAGGACGCCGGCACGAGTTCGCCATCGGCCTCGACTACAAATCACAACTCTTCTTCTCAATGTCTCCCCATTCCCAGCACAACCTCGAATGGCTACACTACAACAACGTCTCACAACTCTCCTCCGCACAGCTCAGACACGGCGTCCCCCGCGAAGCCCGCCTGAACTTACCCGCTGATATCGCCAAGTGCGAAAACCCCTTCACCCCACCACATCCACTAGCCGAAAAGATACCACCCCCTTACGATGCTTCGGTCGATTACCTCCCAAGCCCCCAAAATGAATCCTGGCACACCCTCCCCCTCGCCACAGACGTCCACTCCACCTCCATCCCCGCCCTCCTCCACACAAACATCGCCATCCCTACAAACTCAGACCCCAAGCCCAAACCCGACTTGGACCCAGACCCGCTCCACCTCTGGTGGCGACACATGTGGTTCCACCCCTGGTCCCGCGCCCTCCTCCGGAAATCCCTGCGCGCTCTGCGCAGCGGCGGGGCGGAGGCGTGGGACATGCGCGGTGGACAGGGCGGTGTGTGGACAGGTAATGATGAATGGGCTGATTGGGTGAGTGTATGTAAGGGGGCTGAGGGGTTAGTTTTTGGCAACGATGGGTGGGGGAAGTGGGGGGAGGAGCTTGGGGAGGATTATCTGGCAGGTTGATATCGGGGAATGGCCCGGAGAAGCTGCCGGAGAAGCTGAGGGATAAGGAGAAAGAGGGGGAAGGGGAGGGGAAGGGGGTAGAGGTGGATGGGGGCAAATAAAGGGGTAGTTAAGTGGGTCGCAGGGGTTGGTTGAGAGCATGGGGGATTTAACTGACTTCTATGTTAGATTTGTGTTTTATTTTATTTTACCTTTCATGTCAAGAGGAGCGGGGAGTTTATTATTTTTTTTTTTTATCTTTTGTTTTCCTCTGATTCCCGGTGGGTTTAGGAATTTTTTATAGACGTTTCTATTCATGGGATGTAATTTTATTATTTTACAAAGTTACGGAAGTTGCCTTAAATGAATTTGCTTATTAGACGGTGCCGATAATGTCCTCAAATCTCGCCTCCGCGGTTTCTATAAAGTTTCTTGTGCAAAGGTCGCTTTTTGCTTAAAGCTTCGAAGGTAATGTAGAGTTCACAAAGAAAATATATGTTAATAAATGCCATGACGCCCACTACAAAGACAAAGTAATAGAAAAAGACATACACATCCTCTCGGAAAAACGGGAGTAATCCCACCTGAATGCCCATGTTCTATATAATCCAACCAAATAAAAAAACTCCCCACGACATAAATAAACCAAATGGATATATAGTGAACATAAACAAAGCATAAAACATCACCCAGCAGCCGCAACAGTACTCCCATCTTCCCCCTTCCCCTTCCCCTTCCCCTTCCCCCTCCCTTTACCCCCCAACGTCTCCCTAACAATCCTCAATATCTCCCCAACATCCTCAGTACTCAGCCTCTCCTCCCGATCCTCAATAACCGTATCTAGCAACGCAAGCGCCCCATAGTCCGCTTCCTCGTCAATAGCCCCATGCCCCTCTCCCTCTCCTTCTCCTCTTTGTTCCCCATCTACCTCACCATCGACATCCATCTCATCAGCTGTCCTTGCCCCCTCTGTAGCAGAAGCACCAGCAGCGGCGCCCTCCTCACCCTCCTCCTCCCCTTCCCCTTCCGCATCCCCTACTTCACCTGCACTCGCGTCAAGCCCAATCCCCAAATTCACAATCATAAGAACCTCCGCCTTTGTGAGTTGGAAGGGTCGGAGGCGCCTTATTATTTCCCGTAGCGCGTTGTCGAGGTCAGTTGTTTGTGATTGGAGCGGTGCGGGAGGTTGTGGCCGTGGTGGTGGCCCCGTTAGGGATGTAGATGTAGATGTAGTATTTATATTATAATCATCGTTATTGTCATTATTATTATTATTATCCTTATTCTTCTTATCGTCGGCCTCCGGCTTTGGCGGCGTAAAGCTTGGATAATTGAGTAGGTGCGGAGAGAGACGGGTTACGTAGTCGTGGAACTGCAAATCCCTCCCCGTTAGCGCAAGGGAATTGATATGCAGACAGTAGGAAGAGAGATGGAGCGCGAGAGGGGGAAGGGGCCAGAGGGGAGGAAGGAAAATTGAGAGCGGAACGGTACGGACAACTTCAGAAAAGCTAAAAATGAACCTACCTCCTTAACAACAGTATTATGATCCCTCAAATCCGGACTCGGCGTAAAATTCCTCGAATTGGGTGGTGGATTGGGAGGTCTGCGCGGCGGGTTCAGGCTGAAATGGGCCAGTATCTCCACATTTGTTAGGATGGCGGACTGCGGTTCGAGGATCTATGATGCGGACGTTCAATTTTGGTTAGCTTTCTTTTTTGCTTGTATTTCAATGTAGCTCTTGTTTGGCGTGGGAAGACTTAGATTGAGCTTACTTTCATGATATTTGTATGTGTATATATATGTAGAGACAGAGGCAATGGATATGCTATGTTGCAGGCTGATGGCGGGGAGGAACAAACATTTTTCTCCGTCTGCAGCGGGGCGGAGGTCGGGAGCGGAGGCGGCAGAAAATGGGAGAGCTTCAAGGCGGTGAGCGGCAGCTTGCACGAATCGAACGAAAGACTGGGAACAGAAAAAGAAATTACTTGAACAGCTTTTTTCAATTGACTTTTTCAAAGAATTCAAAGTTAGGGAATAAATCACAAAAAGCTACCTATTTTTTCTCCCAAGCACCAACCTGCGCCCTAAATAGAAAAAAAAAGATGGAAACAAAAATATCAAAACAAAATGATATACTCAAAAGCAGAACCATAAGATGAGATAAAAAACCAAGCAGGAATGGATCTCGCCATACAAAAAGCAGATATATCAGGCAAAAACTAAAGAATAAGAGCGAATCCACGATAAGAGCATGATATCATACAGAATAAAAAGAAGGGAAAAGAAGAAGAAAATCACGAAACAAAACCATGCGAAAAATATACATTTCCCTCACGCCTTGCTCTTCTTCTTCTTCTTATTCTTCACATCATCCTCCTCGGTCCGCTTTCGCTTCTTACTAGCCTCCTTTTCTGCAGCCTTAGCAGCCTTCTTTGCCTCCTTCTTCGCTTTCTTCACGTCCTTCTTGCTAATCGACGATGGGTTCCCTTCGCTATCAAAGGTGATCTCCCCGCGCTCGAGTTTGCGCTGGTACCGGCTAACGCTGAGTCCAGCCTTTGCGGCCATCTCCTCCACACTTGCACTGCCACTCTTCTCTTTCTTCGATTTCTTATCTTCCTTCTTCTTGGACTTCTTATCGAATGGCTTTCTCTTCGATTTCTTCGATTTCTCTTCCTCATCTGACTCTTCTCCTTCGGATGACTCTTCAGCATCAGCCACCGATCCATTGGTAGCGGGCTTATCTTCCATCTCCACATCAGACTCTTCCTCACTCTCACTTTCATCTTCAGATTCCTTAACTTCCTCAATCAACTTCTTCTTGTCCTTCTTCTCTTTCTTCTGCTTCTTTAACAATGATTTGGCTGCGTCCTCATCGCCAGCAAGCCCATCCGCATCCGGGTTATACTTCCTAGCTTCGTTGACCTCCCACTTCTTAGGCTGAGTTATAGGGATACCGTTTGGTGCAATGCCAACCCCTCTTGGCTTGATGGGTTTGCCTTCCATGGCCGCTAGCTTCTTCTCGAGGTAGTACCGTGATTCTATACCGAGGGCAGCCTTCTCTTCCTCAGTAGGTTCATTTCCATCAGCATCAACAGGCCAGTCAGTCAGCGCATCGACGCGAAGGCCAATAGCTGCCTTGGCGGCCAAGACACGAGCCATCTTGCCCTTGTTCTTGCCGGTAGCCTGGCCGATCAGGGACGCATGGTAGATAAGGCCGTATTTGGGAGTGTCGTGCTTGGTTTTTAGGGCACGGAAAAGAGCCTTTTCAGCTCCCAGGATCTGGATGGTACTGGCGGGGCTCTTGGATAGGTTTACCAAGCTGCCAGCATGGGCGATTAATCGAGCACCAACCAGTTCTCCCACGAGTGCTGTAAGATTAGGAGCGATGGCGGTCATTCGGGCAGTCAGGTAGCTTGCAAGCTGTTGGCGATACTCTGAGAAGCCGACCACTTCTTCTGCCAAGGCTTGAATATTGTCGAGGTCTTCGTTGGAGATTTCCGTACCCATCGACCGGTCCGCGGCAGCCTTTACTGCAGCCTCAATTTCCTCTGGCAGGATCTCAGCAAGATCTGTTTCGTCAGAATTTGAACGCATGCCCATCTTGAGCACCACTTTGGCATAGGCGATGTTGTCGTTGAGGATTTTGGCTAGTTCGGGGAAATGCCAGCCGTACCATTCCTTGACGCGCATGGCATAGGTGTTGAGTTCCTTGTCGAGGTCGTCAAGCAAAGAAATAGCCTGGACAATCATGGTGTCGATCTTGTCGGGGGAGAACTTGAGTTTGTGACGGGCTAGAGAGTGGGACAAACCCAGGGACATCGTGGACATATCAGCTGGCAAGAGGCCTGGGATCAGAGTGGGGAGGTGCTCTCGGATTGCGCGGTAGAGATCCGCAGTTGAAGAGTCTGCAATGGGCTGAATGGCGAAGGGGAGTTTTGCGATGGCGTTTCCTTGAAGCAACAAAGTGTTAGCCTATGTGTCGAGCTGTATATATTCCTTATGAATACAAGCAAACAGACATACCAAGTTTTGGATCCGCAACAGCCAAAGAGACCTTCTTCTCATCTTTAATGGATTCAAGTAAATTGGCCAACCGGGGTGTGACTTTTCCCTCCACCAGAGACGCGACCTCTTCCAGGGCCGTGGCCGCACTATCGAACTTTTGGAAATTCTTCAATTTCATACTATATAGTCAATGCGGTCAGCCGCACAGCCCTTTAAGGTACATAGCATATATTCCACGCCACATTGCTGTAGGCCAGCAACTTACAGATTCGACACGCCCTCTGCAGTCTGCGTTTCTTCCGCCAGATCATCGCGCTTGAGCAGCTTCTTGTCCTTGGCCTTGAGCAGCGCATAGCCGGCGCTGGTTTCCGTGAGGATAAACAGCGTCATGGCGGCGGCAGGAGATTATTCGTAGTATGATTAGTAAGTATCGTCGTCTATCGTCGCTTCCAGAGTGATTGTTATTCCCTTGTTGCCCTTTTCAGCAGCAGCCGCTGGCCTCAGTGATACCTTCCACACAGGCAAAGTTGACCGCACAACCAGGCACAGGAAAGCGCAGCCCGGACGGAACAGCAGTTTCCCTATTTAGTAGGGCTGAGCTGGAGAAAGAGGGGGAAGGTGTGAGGGAAGTGAGTGAGGACGGAAGGAAAGGGAGGTGGTAATGGTTTGGGGTCGTCCTTTCCTCGATTTTGACTTGGCTTTTCTTTTTCTTTTTCTTTTTCTTTTTCTTTTTCTTTTTTTTTTTTTGCTGCTTGGAAGAGGAAATTTTGAAGTGTCCGGGGCACAAGCGAATTCCGAGCTGTGGTTGGACGGTTTGGGACAGTGGAGAAAGCTAGCTGCTTAGGTAAGTAATCACGTGGAACTGAGCTTGCACTCCTAGCCTAATACAGCTAGACCGAATTCTTACAACCCGGGGCTGGCAGCTTCGACGACATCTACATCAGCACGATATTGAAAGAGATATACAGGTGTATAGAGGTATATGCGCTCTACTGGCCCGAGATGGAGGGCTTGTATTTTAACGTAAATGGCGGGTAGGTTTTTTTCTTGTTCTTCACATGCGCTGCTCTTTGCGAAATATTGTTGTACTAACCTCTTATCCAAAGGTATATCGAAGGACTCGTCCGCGGTTATCGAAACAGCCTGCTCACTTCCCAGCACTACGGGAATCTGACCCAATGCGATACTATCGATGGCATGTTATTCCTGCCTGCTTCCCTTTTTGCAAGATAAATATCTTATTCCTGAATTAGTAGTCATATCTTATGAGTCCGGACTAACATCAGCGCTATGATGTGTAGATGTCAAGCTCCAACTCGGTCCCGCCTACGGCGATTTCCTAGCCGCTCTCCCCCCAAACCCCTCGACCTCCGCTCTCGCCGGCAAAACCACAGAGAAACTCGTGGCGGAATTCCGCTACCTCCAGGCCCAAGCCACCGGCTCCATCGCCAAATTCATGGAATACCTGACGTACGGCTACATGATCGATAATGTCGCTTTGCTTATCACAGGAACCTTACACGAGCGCGATACACGAGAACTACTCGAGCGTTGCCACCCACTCGGCTGGTTCGAGACTATGCCCGTTCTCTGCGTCGCCACAAACATCGAAGAACTCTACAACTCCGTCCTCGTCGAAACGCCGCTCGCCCCTTACTTCAAGGGCAGCTTGAGCCACCAAGACCTGGATGAGTTGAATATCGAAATTATCCGTAACATGCTATACAAGAATTACCTAGAGGATTTTTATAGATTCGTCAATTCCGAGCCGGGACTGAAGGGTACCCCGACTGCTGAGGTCATGTCAGAGGCCCTGGAGTTCGAAGCGGACCGCCGCGCCATTAATATCACTCTTAACTCCTTCGGGACGGAGCTGTCCAAGGCGGAGAGGAAGAAGCTATACCCCGAATTTGGCAAGCTGTATCCCGAAGGCTCCCTGATGCTATCACGGGCTGATGACGTTGAAGGCGTTGCGCTGGCTGTCAGCGGTGTTGGAGACTACAAGGCCTTCTTTGACGCGGTGGGACTTAACCAGGGCGGAGTCGGAGGCCCCGGCGGAGGTGGCAGTATTGGTGGTGGAGGGCTTGGAAATATGGCTGGTGGGGGTACTAGTGACGGAAAGAGTTTGGAAGATATGTTCTATCAGAAGGAGATGGAGATTTCGAAGCTTACCTTTACGCGACAATTTACGCCCGCAATCATATATGCATGGGTTAAGCTTAGGGAGCAGGTATGGTCTTTCTTTCTTTTTTTTTTTTTTTTTCTCTCCCTCTCTCGTACTGATTGCCGTCCCCCCATCCGAACTTTCCGTAGCGGATATTCAACATGTGAATGCTCTTTCTGACGTGCTGGGACTCCTCTCCCTGTGTAGGAAATTCGAAATATCACATGGATTGCAGAGTGCATTGCGCAGAATCAGAAGGAGCGGATAGGGAATTATATTAGCGTGTTTTGAGATATCACGGGTTTGTTTCATCATGGTTTTCGCGTAGTCTCTGGCTTCATTTCCTTTTGTCATGGTGTTCACTATATCTTTCTATTTTTACCCTTTTATTCCCTCATGTTCCGTCGTGTTGCCTCCCACCCATTTTTCGCTGGGAATTTGATTTCAACTTTTCCATATTAGGAAGGGCTTCTGTTATTTTACTTTTCTGAATTTCTTCCAATTTTTCATTTTCATATTTCCTCTGATTTTCTAACATCATCTTAGCCCCATTCCATTACAGTACAGAGAAAATCAGCAAAACATACCCAAAGTTTCAAAGTTTCATCATCTTTCTTTCTCATCGCATTACCCTACCTGTTCCCCGTTTTCTCTCGCTCAATATTTCACACCAGAGTTTCACAATCCTCCGAGGAGAAGTCTCCAATCGTCCTATCCTGACCATCCCGTCAGTAAAACCCTCTATCCGCTGCATAGACACACTCCCACCTGGGTTTTCCCCATATCAACAACCTGTGGAGGTTACATGGATGTGGAACTCTTGCCCAATCAACTTTTTCTTTGAAAAATAATACTGCAGCTCAATGTACAGAGGCACCTGCGATTCCTGAACGTTCCTGAGGAGCAGATCTCACATACATAAGCACTTAACAAAGCCCTTGCTCTGTTTCGCTCTGCTTCCTTGGTTTCTGTTCGTGCCCTTTGTTCGTTTTTAAGCTGTCGATCCCCGCCAGGGGGGTAGTTACGGGGCGGGTTGGTTTGGCGTGAATGTAATAAGGAATAATAATAATGGTATATGCAGAACTCCGTATATACACTACGTATGTATGCTGCGTATGGTCTTTACTTGTGTATATGCCTATGGGTCTGAGAGTTGCCTATGTATGCATGTTGTCGGCCGTTGTTGGAGAATGAACAAAGGGATTGTTTTACTTATTCGGAGCCGCGCCTATTAGGCCTATCGGACGGTGGTGAGAACCATTTCTAGTATCAGTTTATGGATTGTGAAATTCTCAACTGTGACAGCTGCTTAATACATCACCACACGCGGGGACGTCTTTTCAGGCCGCTGATGATGATTTTCAGCAGGTGTTCTTCTAATGATGGGTACTATATAGTCGCTAGGTGTGAAATGTATCTATTGTCTCCATAACTCCCCTTCTTTCATGCGGTCGTCTGCGACTGGTTGCTGGGATGAAATGAAAATAAGCTACCCTTTACTCTTGACTAACTGTAGCCGGGTGCTACAAGACTATCTAGTTAGTTCATGAAACAACAAGGGAAAGGGTGCAACGTGATAATGATGCTCACTGTTTACGTTTTCGCATAAACAATTGCTGGTGTGCATACTCTGTATAAGTTGAAACGCTTGGTTAAACATTAATCCGACTTGTGGGTTGGTTAGGAGCTCCTATAAAAGTGGCTGTTTTCGCGGGGAGGACAAGCAGGAATGTACGGAGTAGTTAGAGTAAGGTTTTAGGTGGTTACCGCGGTCTTTGAGGATAACTCAGGCTGTGTTACAGGTACAATATGTAAATATAGCTATAATTAAATCAGGAACCATAGTGGGAGGCCATGTTATATAATTATCTAGTTAGTGATGAATATTTTTGATGAATAAGCCAGGGTTTGTCTTGATAAGTTCAATTCTCCCCTTTCACGCCATCCTTTCGTTTACTCCGCACTCAATCGAATATCGAGGAGCCACCCCATATTGATTGGGACGATAGAGGTTCAGCATTTCTTAGTTGCATGAATGACTTCATATTAATGTGGTACTGGACTTGTGCCAATGCGACAATCCGGGTTCTTGGGGATCGACAACCGGCTAACTCGACCCCTGTGCCAGCCAACTACGCTGTACCCGCCCTCACACCCCAGGAGAGAAAGGCTGCGGGCCATTTGGTTTACTTGTTCGATAGGGCCGGTTTCTAGCGGCCGGCTGCTCAATTGCAATGGAGTAATGGGTTGCGCTACTTTTCTTCTCCCCTAAGTTGCCCTTCGATTGCGCTGCTGGAGGGTTCCAAGCTTGCACTTGGTGGGAGTGGGATTTAGGTGCCTGTGCCTGATTTTGCAGCATCAGCGCTGTACTGTACTAGTGTGTGCTGCGAAAAGCAAGGGGGTAATTCATGTTTCGAATGCTCTGGGATCCTGTGGTGAAGAAAGTAACTCACGGCGCAGTCCGGAGTAAGTTGCAGGCATGGGTCATGGACTTGGTGAGTTCCCCTGAGCTGGCTGCTGTCAATATCCTGTGCTCCAACTACTCATTCGCATATCTCAATGTTCGAGCACCTCACGCTTTCTACAGAGAACAGAGCCCAACATTCAGCGCACAGATGATGCTTGGGGGAACAGTCATGAAGCTCAATTCTGGTATGATGTAACCTAACCCAAGAGATCAACGAGGAGAGTGCAAGATTGCCATGAAGGAGTGATCCTAGTACCTGGTAAGCATCCGGATCGGCGGGTGGCGCTCATTGGCAGCGAGGGATCCCATGGCGGAGTATTCGCTATTCAGGGCCGGGGATTATGACCCAAGAGCGGTTTTGAGCGGGCGCCAAAACCAAGCCAAGTAAACCCGCGCGGCGGGATTTGGAGTCGGGAAATTCTGGTGAACAGCTGATTGTTGCCCAATCATAGCTACTCAACAATTCAAAGGGACGATATTGGGCATAGTGGGATAGGTATGGAGTGTAGAATGTGGTGAGGTATGGCCTCTCGAATGCTAACTGCTCAATATCATGGACAGGGATGACTGACTGGCGTATCTACGCAGTAACTACTGGTTAGGGTCGCGCTAAGCCCCACCTCAAACACTAGAGGCCCCACCTCCAGTCGGACGCCTCACGATCATCAGAGTCTAGCTGAGGAATTCGAACAATAATAATTCTCCGAATGAAGTATGTACACACATGGTGCCAGGATGTGAATTCCCCTGAACGCTCAGGGGATCACCACAAGAGACCCACCCCATCATGCACCAAACAGCGTCATTAACAGCCTTTTTCAATGTGCACACTCATCGCGAGGAGGAGGAAGATGACTGGCCTGAGCTGGTGAGGGAAGCCGATTCTCAGCAGAAAGCGGCAGGACAACTGTGATAAGTTAATTAATATTCAATTGCCTAACACAAATGCTAACCTTAACCTAAGCCCAGTACTCAGAATTACGATCGTCAGGAGCTACTCATGCGGCATCAGCATCCTTGTCCATTCAAGCGACAGAAACAGGATTCTTTGGCCGATGCAGGCCATTCGCTTGAACTCTGATTCAAAGAAGCTTTTATTCTTTTGTTCTACGCTGGCGTGCAGACAGCCTGATTCCATTATTGTTATCATTGGCTCTCTTGTCTAAGAGGCACAATCGCACGTTGCAGGCCTTGGGTTTCTTTTATTCTCAAAAAAATGAAAAATTCCATAGTATGAAGAACAAATCCGCACTCTCCTTCAAAAAAGCAAAGCTCGGGATCAATATAATTGGCCCAGGAACCATGATGCTTGACTTCCATATATCATGTCTCTGCGTTTTTCTTTCTCGTTTCTTTTTTTCTTTTTCTTTTTTTTTACCCAGTTTTGTGCGAGGTTACATTGTGTGCAATGATTCGTCTTATTTGGATAAGATGGAAAGTCTACTTGACTACTAATCTACCGCTCTTTTTGGAAAAACAATATGTCCTCATGATGGTGAGGGTAAATTTACCCTTTCCGTTCGTGGATGACTATTATTATCCTCGGTTTTCTGTGGACAGGAACAGAATATATCACAGCTAATCAGAGGTTGGAGAGAGGAATGCCTGTGCAGGGCTCCTCGCTCCGCAACGGTTTACATGATAACGTTGATCAAGGGTTGTTGATCACCATTTCTTTTTGGAATTTGCAAGTTTACTTTGTTTCAGGTGCGCCGTCGATGTCACTCTTGTCACACAGGGGAGTGTTCCGTATATAAGAGACGGCCGGAAAGCCCCTCGACATACTTCTCCCTTCATTCGTCCTCTTTTTTATTCCTCCCTTGTTCATCCGGCATACAGTGTTTCGTGGCGTATCTGACATTCCTTTTTATCTTTCGAAAAGAATACCACTCCTTTACAGCAACCAGTCCTTCATTCGGAATATAACATACGTATATACTCATTTTTGATTTTTGAAAGCACTTCGTTCAATCCACTATCACACCTTAAACCATGAAGCTCTCCGTCCTCTCCGCCGCATTTGCCCTTGCTGGCTCTGCTATTGCCGCCCCAACTCCAATTATTCCAGGGCTCCCCAAACTTCCCGGTCTCGGGTCGTTGCCGTCTGTCCAGGGCATTCCCGATGCTTTGGTCGGCCAACTCGTCCCTTCAGTCACCAAGACCGTCAGCGCCGCTGGTTTGGGATCGTTTTTGGGACCGCTCCAGGGGCTCCTGGGCGGAGAACTGGGAGGACTCCCGCTCCCACTCAAGGCCCGCCAGGACGTCGAGGCCGAGATTAGCGGCATGACCCCAGAGCAAGCTGCGCAAATGATCCAGTCCATGAATGAAATCGCATCCGCCCTCCAAGTTGACAAGGCCATCGACGGCAAACTCCCCGGGGTTCCTAGCTTCTCGAAGGAGAAGCAGGAGCAGCTTTTGGGAGCCTTCAAGGCTCTCGTCACCCAGCTCGCCCCCTTGGCTAAGAACGGCCTGAAGGACATTGCTCTCAAGCTTGACGCAATTAAAGTCCCAGTTCAGGGTCTTACTGCTCGTGACCCTATCATTGGTGGTCTCCCGATCGTTGGTGGCCTCCTCAATGGCGGTGCCGGCGGCATCCTCAGCGTTGTCGCTGGTCCCCTCAGTATCTTGACCCAGGTTCTCGGGATGGCTGGTGTCGCACCACTCCTCGGACCTGTCCTCTCCACCATCAGTGGTCTTGGCTTGTAAAGGTGAGTTTCATAATTTACCTATCCATTCTCCTCGGCATCATTCATAGGTGATCTTGCTTAACTAGTATCTGATAGCTAGGACTGATCCCCTGTGCCCAACTTGATAGCGACACTCGCAAGGTTTCGACTCATTTCTGGCAGAGAAGTTCGTCCCACTAGCAAAGCTTTGATTTCTGTACGATCTGGCGCGCGGCGTAATGGTTTCGACCAGAAGAAGGAATACCCCAAAGAAACCCTCTTCATTATGCCACTAACCATGTCCATATTCAATTCTTTCTTTTCTTCTCGTAACTTGTTCCTATTTCCCTCTCCCGGGAGGAGACTTAGCTATCTATTTTCATGTAAATTAATTATGGAACTGGCTTTGGCGGTTTAATGAAAAACAGTTTGTTAGCTACATATTTTTGGTCTTCTTACTTGTCATATTTGACTCATCCTCGGGAGTTTATCTCGAACCATCTTAAATATACGTTTGATTTTCCCCCTGAATTGAGGTTTGGTGCTTGGTATCTTTAATACATCCCTCCTGCTATTATATATTAACGGATGCTTTGTTTCTAATATACTCTGGATAGCCTGAAAGTTTATCTGTATGCGTACTTCTATAAATTTGGTCTTGATATGACTTCCCCTTTAATGATATTTATCATATTATGCCGTACTTCATGTTTCGTACGAGGATTCTCTAAAAAGGCTGTCCCACAATATTTCCAACGACCTCGGATACATCACCCAACTCGTAAAACAACACAACTTAGCCCGAAGTCATTTCCAGAATATCTTTAAAATGGGCGAACTTTTAAGAGTGCCATGGTGGTAAATTATCATCATATTAATCCTCAGCTGTGACGCAATAACCTTTAATTCTTTGGAGTAAATTCGTCGTCCTGACATGAAACCGCTAACAAGTTTGATACACAATCAATCTCCTGCCATAATCAGCGGAAGTTCGAGGCAAATTGGTTACATGACTACAGCTGTGTGCTGGCGACTTCAATGGTACTTCGTACTTCCTGTGTTGTGTTTACTCCGTTTCACCGCTGAGTTTGGGAAGGAATGTTGCTGGCGACATTCTTTTGCCAAGATGAATCGTGATAAATTTGGTCGCTTAATTATGCCTCCTCTAAGGACGTGATATTTCTTTTGGATTTCTCTTTGGGTAGCTTGTTGTGTATTGATTCGGTTGAACGTTTTGTTGGAGTTTGTTGTTTCCCGCAACCCAGGTCGTTCTCCTCGTTTTATTCCGTTGTTTTTGTTGTGCATGGAGATACTGCAAATAGTTATTTTCTTATTCACCAGGGAGGGTTACTGTCAAGGCGATGTATTGATTAATGATGTACGATTGCTGGATGCTTCCTTGAATCGAGAATCGTTTCGAGCTGAAATCACTAGTTACTCCGTAGTTCAACTGTGGTTCGGCACCGGGCCGCTTTCCGGCGTTTAACGCGCTTCAAAAACCGTAAGTTACCTCTGACTAATCAAGAGTAGCTATCACGTGCTCCATGTTATGACTTCACATCTCGTTCATCCCCAAGTCACCATATTCTGTATGCCCATAGGCCCAGAAACTTGTTGAGAAGCTCCCTGCATATTGTTGATGACGGAATCTGCTTGATTTATTTCTACGACACCGCGGCATCAATTTGCAAAATGGCAACCTCTGCGGAGCTTCCAATTCGCTCAAAGCACAAGGGAAAAACCACAGTCCAAACCACACAGTCCAAACCCGCTCGTGGACAAACGGTTTCAAATGATCCTGACTAGATGTTTAAGATAGGATTTCTTGTAGACGTGTACTAGGAGAAGCCGGTTGGAGGTTCTAGTGGAGTTGATAAAGTCTTCACTCGTTTCCCCCCAGAACCAAATGGTTATCTACATATTGGCCATTCCAAAGCGATCGCTATCAACTTTGGATTTGCCAGGTTCCATGGAGGAGCCTGCTACTTGCGTTTTGATGACACAAACCCCAAAGGCGAAGAAGAACGATAAGAGCATTGAGGAGTTGGTTCCGCTGGCTTGGTTTCAAACCGCTTCGTGTTACCTACTCTAACGACTATTTCGATCGATTATATGAATTAGCAGAGGCATTAATCCAAAAGGATAAGGCATATGTGTGTCATTGCACAGGTGAGAGATTGTACGTACTTGTACAATTTTTGGACTAAAAAATCAACTCTATATCTTCTTGTTCCGTTTTACAACACAGAAAATGAAATAAAGGCCCAACGTGGTGTGGACGCTGCCGCTGGAACGAAAGGAAAAGCTCGATACGCATGCCCCCACCGTGACCGCCCTGTCGCTGAGTCTCTCGCCGAATTCCGCGCAATGCAAGGCGGCAAGTACCGTGCCCAGCCAGCTGTTTTACGAATGAAACAAGATCTCGCCAATGGCAATCCGCAAATGTGGGATATCACCGCATATCGAGTTGTTGAGGATGATGAAGGTGGATTTTGTAAACATCTGCGCACTGGTGACAAATGGAAGATTTATCCGAGCTACGATTTCACTCACTGTTTATGTGATAGCTTGAAAACATCACCCATTCTCTTTGCACAATGGAGTTTGAGCTATCTCGAGAGTCTTACGAATGGTTGTGCGATGCGCTTGAAGTATACAAACCGATGCAGCGAGAGTATGGCTCCCTTGTAATATGTATTCCAGCGTAACATTTTACTGACTGTTTCCTAAAAGATACGGGCGTTTGAACATGAACGGGACAGTTTTATCAAAGCGTAAACTTATCACCCTCATCAGTGGCAAGTATGTAAAAGACTGGGACGACCCACGCCTATTCACGCTTGTTGGTCTTCGCCGTCGCGGCATACCTCCTGGTGCAATTCTATCATTTGTCAATGAACTCAGGGTTACAAAGGCGAACACCACAATCGAAACTCATCGCTTTGAAAGATCAGTGCGTGTATACTTGGAAAGCACTATGCCACGACTCATGCTTGTGCTGGATCCTATTCGTGTTCTCATAGAGAACCTGCCGAGTGATTATGTTGAGATGGTTGAAATACCATTTTCAAAGGACCCTAGCTACGGTGTACATACCTTTGTGCTTCTGCCTCATTTTCGTATAGTACACTTCATCTTTGTCGATGAAGCTCGCTCTAACAATATTCTCCAGACTCATTCAGTTCCATTCACGAACACTGTCTATATCGACCGCAGTGATTTCCGGGAAACCGCTTCAGAATTTTTACCGTTTGAGCCTAGGGGTTTCCGTTAGCTTCATGAAAGTACCGTTTCCCATCACGGCGACCTCCTACGAAAGTGATCCAACAACAGGGCTCGTGACTGTCGTGCGTGCGAAATACGAGATTCCAGAAGAAGGCTCTCCACGCAAAAAGCCCAAATCGTTCGTGCACGCCAATTCCCTTCAAATCACCTTACTTTTAGCTTGCTGATCTTAGATATATTCACTGGGTTGCCCATTCACCAGCTCACGGCTCCCCGATAAAAGCCGAAGTACACGTTTTCCACCCACTTTTCAATTCAACAAATCCGTTATCGCATCCAGACGGCTATCTCGCAGATATTAATCCCAACTCCGAGGAAATATTTCCTAACTCGCTTATTGACATCGGGTTTAACGAGGTGAAGAAGCGAGCACCCTGGCCCGCAGACACCTGCCACGAAGGAAAATGAGATGGAAGATGAGAGTGGAACACTACGCCCAAATGGCACTGAGTCGGTTAGATTCTAGGGCATGCGAGTTGCATACTTTTGTGAAGACAAAGATAGCACGGCTGAGAAAGTTGTGCTCAATAGGATCGTGACATTGAAGGAGGACCCCGGGAAGGAGGCATGAACTAATGAGTTTACTACTTACAACCTGTTGATTTGATGTTGCAGTTGTTGGTATTTAGCCAATCATAGAACACATTATTGACAAGGAAGCAGTTGCACAACTACTCTGTACGTATGACAGCAATGACATAGACAGTCACGCCACACCCTATTTCTGCTAGTATGGCACCAGCGGAGGAAGTCTAATGGAGTCAATGAAAAAGTGTGACTTTACTATATACAGTACCATACTATAAAAAATATTATGCCAATCCAAATCCCGCAGTCATGACCTTCAATATGTGGTGGGACAGCGCACTGAGCCACGATTACCCATTATTAAAAGACCGAACTATGCCGGAACGTTCGCAGGTCGCTGTTGTTCCTGCGTTGAAGAAACGTATAAGAGACAATTAAGTCTCATGAAAATAAACGTGATGATCCAGTAACTATACAAACATACCTGATCAATCGGATCAAAAACTCTATCTCATCGCCAGCGCCAGCGGCAGAACCAGGGCGGCGTCAAACCCATATCCCAGATTAATTACAAGAAAATACAGGACATCATAAAATACAAAATATAAACGATATTACCTCATGATGGCGAAAAGAACAAACAACAAACAATCAAATCACTCAACACCTCCCATCTCCACCTCCATTCCGCCAGGACGACCAACAACCACAGCCTCATCGTCAACCTCCTCCCTCCGCCGCAAGAATTGAGCTTCTTCGAAATCAACATCCTGTGCCATCCAGCCACTAAGAGGATCATGGATCTCTTGACCACTATCATGCACTTTATGATATCGTTGGTGTTGCTGTTGGTCATTTTGATAGCTCCTAACCTTCTGTGCTAGCCTCGGAAGTAGGGTTGGCCGTGATAATGATGGAGGAGAGGTGGGTGAAGACAGTGCACGTGCTGTGCTAGTGAGAGGAATCGTAGATTTCCACATCTGATGAAACCCGCGAGGGAAGATATTGGAATATTCGTCGTCTTCATTGCCTTCGTCGTCTGAGTCCGCAAGGTCGGGTTCGAATGGTCGTTTGTGTGGGTTAGGTTTCGGGGTTGTGGACGAATCTATCGATTCTTGGCTGCTTGAAGGGATGGAGCCCTTGTCCCATTCCACGTCTAGTGCGTGCATTGTCTGATGCCGATCCAAGGTAGGCCCCGGGGAGGTCTGGACGGCAAGATTGCCCGTTTTCAGCACCCCGCAGAAAGGTGCCAATTCTGCGTACGACGTTGCTGAAGGTGAGCCTGTATACGAGATGTGGAAAACAGACTTTGTGGCTGTTGTTGTTTTATAGCCTTCTGGTACTGATTTGCGAACGCGCATGCCGACGGTTAGAAGCGAGGACTGTACTTTGTGAGGAAGGGAGGGAACTGGAGAGTGGGTTGGCGCTGCGTAGTTGAAATGTGAGGAACCGCAGGAGGGAGACTCTGCATTGTCGGGTGAAAAGTATTTGGTTATGGGGACTTGGAAGCGCCGTCGTTTTGAGACAGAGGAGCTAGTGGTGGCCATTTTGTTGGTAGACTTTGCGATGCCGGGGTAGTTCAGAGCTAACAAGACGTTTCGCTGGTGTTGGTTGTTATTAAGTTGTCATGAGCCAGTTGAAGGCTTATATGACGTTGCTAGGGCAATATTCAGCGGAGGAGGTGTCTAGGTCGTTGTTGTCGTTGTGTGAAGAAAGCAGTTTGTCGCAGCAGAAGAGAAGGTGGCTTGGACCTCGGGGAGGGAAGTGGATGGGCCAATCACGTGTGGCGATAGACGCGACACGAAAAATTCACGAAAGGAGCGCGTATGTTGCGAATGCGGACTAGCGCGGTTAGTTGCAATTTATCCTCCTTAGGACTAGCGTATTCGCCGCCAAAAACCCTAATATCAAGGAAGAGGAGAGGAATACAGGACGGGGGTACGTACGAGAGAAGATCGGATGGTTAGGATATGGGATAAAAGTATGGCTGTCGTAGCTCATGAACCATTATGCAGACATGGAAGGTTTATTTCCTCCAATATTAACTCTATTCAAAACTCACTACGGAGTAAAAAGGCCAGAGTAACGTACATGTCTTCTGAACTGTTAAATAGGTATCTTCTGCAACTATACTCTAGAAAGCCGTCATAGAACCGGAATAAACGCCCTGCCTATCTCATGAAATATTCCACTTTTTACGTTGATTCCCTCATGCCAATGCTTCCATTTATGAATAATTCCCTCTCTTCCCTCCCCTCTTCTGTCTGTCATGATGCGCCTTCAGCACATTTCTCGTCTCCACCAAACTCCTCTTCCCTTTACTCTTCGCCTTCCCCAACGTCATGAGGAAATTCTTCTTTCTCGCCTTCTCCTTATTAGTCGTACTCTTACCCTGAGCCTCCTTCCTCTCCTTCTTCTTTGCAGTCTTGCTCAAATGATCCGAGCGATCGGTCTTCATTTCCTTCATCCGGGCAATTTTCTCTGCGCGTGTGGCTTTACCGGCGGAGAGTGCGGCAAGTCCTTCGATTTCGGCTGCGGTGAGCGGATCATCCATGTGTCTGGCGGCATTTGAGGTGGCAGCTGGCTTTTGACGCTGGGTCTTGTTTTGCGGTAGGAGAGACGAAACGCTTTGTTTGGCACGGAGCTCGGCTAGTTTGGCAAGATCTGCGGGCGTCAGAATACGGGTTGTTGCGAGAGTGGAAGGTTTCTTTTCTTTTCCTTTGTCATTTTGTGGGTCTTCCGTCGTGGCCCGCGATTCTCCATTCTCTTCATTAATTTTCGCCTTTTTGGCGGCCGGGCCCTCGTCCTCGGAGTCGCTGAGCTCGATATTGATCTCATCATCACTCTGAACATCAATCCAACCGCCAGAATCATCACTTTCATCCCCCTCATCTACATCCCAAGCCCCCCAATCTTCTTCCTCATTTTCTGCCTCATCTCCGTCCTCACCATCAGACGGCAGGCCCTGCTCGCGCCTTCTCTTGCGTCGCTCCTCTTCCTTCCACTGTTCTAGTAACTCAATCCCTTCAATCTCACCAGCGTCCTCCGCTCCAAAGCGGATATCTTTCCGCTCCCCAGCCTTCAGCTGGATTGTTGCATTCTTACCCCGGTCCCTTTTCTTCAATAACTCCGCGCCTACTTCTCGGTAAAGACTCAACAACCCCTTTGCAGCCATCATAACTCCCTTATCCTTGCTTTTCCGATACATGACCAAATCTTGGAGCAATGTATCATTCATGGCAAGTGGCTGTCTGACACATATTTCTCTAATCGCGTTTAAACCAGCGGACGCAACCTCTGCAGCGGCAGCTTCAGATACGAACTCATTTGCGATTTTCTGAACTAGTGGCTCGAGCACATCGGGCGGTACGAGCGGATGTGTTGATTGAGCTAGAGAGGCCAGGAATGAAGTGACCGATGGTTGCTTTGGCGTTAGATACTTAAGAAAGTATGAGTATAACTGGATCATCGTAAGCTTATGCAAGCCCACCAGCCGGGAGACAAGCTGCAAGACAAGTAATTTCTGCTCCAGATTAAGCTTGGACTTCGTATTTTGCAGGTGTTTCGAGAACAACGTCTCCGCAAAGCCCTGAGGGTCATATAGAAGGTGGAACGCAGAGAAATTCAGCGGGTGGGGTTGATTTTTCTTTTTTTCCTTCTTCTTGACCGCTGCAATAGCCTTGTCTATCTGGCGTGCCTTCTTCTTGCTCTTCTTGTTAATCGTAACCTGATGGCGTACCTGGGATACGTCAGGAATTTCATCATCGCTACTCTCGTCCTCCAACTCCTCTCTTTCCTTATCGCCGCCAAGGAAAAACCGAACGCCACCAACTGCCACTTTCTCATTATCCGCCAGCGCCGCTTCTTTCATGATCTCCACTGCTTTGGCATCGTTCCATATTTGCCGCTTCCATAGTTCTCTTGTGATTTTTATGGCCCAAAGAGCTTTCACGGATGTTCTATCAGAGGTCACGAGATTGTAGAGGACGGTTTGGACGGTTCTGTTTAGCTTGTGGTTTACGGATTTCGAATTCGATGTGCGTAGGTCGGAGAGGATTTTCTGGAATATGAATGCTCGGAGAGTCTTGCTTGGGGTGGAGACTAGGACAGGGAAAAGGGTTTGTAGGAGTCTACAAAACATTAGTCCATCTATCAAATCCGCAAAAGGGAAGTTGAAAAGCAACAGGCACATACGTAGCAGAATCAATAATCTCCTTCTTCCTTAACAACACTAGACTACCCACAATCTTCTCTCTCAATTCCGGCTCGAGCACCGCATGGTGTAGTGTCAAAATCTCAGTCAACTCATTGGCGAAATTCTTCGTGATGTCCCGGTAGCAATCGGCGACATGCGCGATAAATTCAATGAGGTCACGCAGCGAAATTATTCCCGTATCCGTTGCGGACGAGGGCGCCGCCATGAATATCTCCCGGTGGCTTTCATACTGGTAGTGTTGGCTTCGGAAATCTTCGATGTAGGACTGTGGGTCTCGCCGAATTTTATGCTGGAGGTTTGTCCTGTAGAGTGTTTGCGACGTTAGCTTCTGCTCTTTTTCATCTGGCGTATTTGCGCAGCAGAAGGGAATAGATAGAGGAAATGCAGTTTTTCTTATCAATCCTTACAGGTCAGCATCCACCTTTTCCAAGGCTCCTAATTTGCGTTTCCCCATGGCTGGTGGATTGGCTGGGGTATGTATGGGTGATAAGATATGTTGTATGGTGGTTGTGAAGCTTGTCGGATTTTCTTGCCAAGTCTTATTATTTTTTTTGCTAGCACCGAAGTCCAAAACTATAACTATACGCAGTACAACGACGAGGGAATCTGGCTTCTTTTCTTTTCTTTTCTTTTCTTTTCTTTTCTTTTCTTTCTTTCTTTCTTTCTTTTTTAAGAGAAAAGTCTATGTTTTCGAAGGCTATGTAGCTCATTTCTGTAATCTTGTTCTACCTATATATGAACACTCATCTTTCTAATCACTATCACATACGACCATAGGCCGTGGGAAACAATGCTTCCCGTCAGCTCAGTTGTACTTGAACCACCTCGATAAGCTGGACCGATTTCAAATGCCTTCTTCGATGCCGCTTCTAAAGTCGCCCAACATCGCCGAGTGATGGGAAAACCCTTGCATGCTGTGGATAGACTGCACCTACAGGACTAACTGGTTCCCAAACACCCCCATTGCTAAATACCGTGGGTGCTTCATTCATAGGGAAGACATTCTACGCCGGTATAACCTCCCTACCGGGGAAGACGGAGGTAGATTATACAGCCGCGGTAAACTTGGTGAAGGAGATTTATATTCAGAAAATCACGCCTTTATGGAGCTGCTATCCCTACACGATATTTACCAATAAGAAGAACGGGCTGATTCGGTGGTTAAGGGCGTATTTCTCTTCTCACAGGTGATGCTTTTGCCTATGGAATATCAAGGTCAATCTTCGTGCTGCGCACGCCCTACTTTTAGGGAGATGATTTGTGAAGAAATCAGGGGAGGGGCTCTTGCTGAAGGAGGAGCACGGCGCAGAGTGACATAAGTAGAGGGATCAACTATTTACGCGCTGGAAACACGTCGTTTTATGCTCATAGGCGGATAAAAATTATAATGCAGTCCCATCCCAGAATAATTTATACAACATCTTGAATTTTGCCATATTCAGGGAGAGCCCATTTTCGCATCCATTCTGACTTGAGAATTTGCTTGGTCGTAGGGCGATTCTCAGGTCTGAATGAGAACATCGGACGTAGCATGTCGAAGAAAGCTTCCCTCTCCCTTGCATCAAACGACGGTATGCCACTCTCTTGCCTGGGCTGTTGCACGCTATCCTCAAACCGATCGTCCCAGGATCGGAAAGGGTTGCGGTTTATTGGCTTACCGTCCTCAGTAAATTTCAGTCGTCGCGCCTCCCACTTTCTCCACCATTCAAGCGGCAAAATACCAAGAGCATCGACATGCTCACGGGTCATGTCGTCCTCCGTCATGAGAAACCCTTCAAACAATGGTCGTTGGGCGACGATTGACCATATGGTACAGGCAAGAGTCCAAATGTCCGATGGAAAAGATAGAGAGTTGTTTGGTTCAAACCGCGCCTCGGGGGAACGGATAGCAAGGGGGGTGTGGGATTCGTATTTCCGTTCTTTTGAGCGGGAAAAGGCTTCACCAAAGTCCGTAAGCAGGATCCTGGCTTCTGAAAGTGTGATTTTCTCACTCGCTTCACCCAACCAAATGGGCGCAATGCCGTGGGACGGAACTCCAGGCGGAAGAGGGTTGCCATCTAGACGAACAATTGGGTCAAGTTCCGGTGCTCCATATTTCTCATATAATTGATTGAGTGACAGCTGGTCAAAATTGCGCGGAACTTTGAGAAGAATGTTGCCAAGGTGAAGGTCTCCATGGACGATTCCTTGGGCATGGACAAAATCAACCACAAGAACGAGTTGCGCAGCCAATGACCTGGCTACGTCCAGCTGAAATAAGCGGATCCATGAGCCATCTTTCGCTCCGGAGAGGCTAGCGCTCGCTGGCGCTGAAACGTAGCAAGCATGGTTGCCATTCGTGCCGTGAATGGTGAACCTATCTAGAATCACAGGGATCATCATCTTTCCTGGATGGTTGACTAGAGGACAATGAGGGCCAGCGAGGGCGGTTATATGACAATAGACCCATCACCATATCATGCGGAGAATTTAAGCCAAAAGAAGTTCGATAAAATCAAGCACATGATAGTAGCTCAAACTGTTGGGGGTCCCGCGGTTGATCGGCCCTTCTACCAGCAGTGCGCTGGTGGTGATTGAGCTCTTTTGCCCCAGTAGCCTACACAAACTTGGATGAATTGTGTCCTGACACACACGCGCCAGCCAACCCGAGAGGTGCGACCGATCAGTGGGTGGAGCGGGTTGGAGCGGGTATTTAATAGAAAGTCTGAACCTGATACAAAGCGTTTATCGATTGGCTGACAACCAGCAATCAGAAGAAAGCCACCCCTGCTGTAACATACTATGTAGGGCCTCATCAACGCTGTCAAGGTCCAATCGAACTCCTGCACTGAAGTGCAAAATGACCGGGATACTTGGTCGAAGACCAAGCACCGCTGCTGTCCCAATATGAGGAGCCCTAATAATGGTCAAAAATACCCGCCAGGATTTGATACCATGATCAAGTTGATATGTATGCATACTGCATGACCTCTAGGAGATGGCCCAGTGCCTCGACTTCCCTATCCCTATCTAGTTGTTCCTAAAGTATCAAAAGCATTATTCGATGGGATCCAAGTCCATGAAACGGCCTGGCGATTGCCAGAAGCGAAATTGGTGCACGAGGCAGGCTGCGGCTTCCAACATGGCTATAAAAGCGGACACAGCCTTGGACGAAATACAACGCAGCCAGCTGCATCTTGCAATTTTTCCCCCTTACCCCAAAGCTCCAAAGTATTGCCTCTGCAGCGACAAACCCCATCCGAGAGACCATCTAAGCAACCATGTCGTCTACGGTCAATATGGTGAAATATTATTTTTACAAGGGCATGGTCCCGAAAGACCAAGACCACCTGCGCTAGCTTGTGGCTTTGGCATATCAGACAGCCAGAGATAGAAAGCTCTATCCGAAGGCGGTTCTTATTAGGTGCGTACACAATGCATTCGAGCAAACGATACTTATACGCGTTCTTGTTTTCTTGAATTCCTACTAGATGCTAGCTAATGTCTGGATAAAAGTTTGCAGGTCCGAAGGTTCATGATACAACCAGTATCAATGGCATACAACCAGAAAGATCCTTTGGGTCCACACGTGACTCTTTGCTACGAAGACGAGAATCAACTCCGACATGGGACTCACGTCGCTAGCCATGGCTATGTTCGCGGGAAAGACGACATTGTGTTTGTGCTCGCAACACATGCTGGAGAGAAGATTGACTCGGCCAAAAGGCAACAGGGCAAAAAGATAGTATGGCCAGCGGAAAATGAGCTTGAGGCTGTACCAGAGATCGGCTACGGCCATCTTCCAAGTGACTAGAACCGGAATCGGTGTTTGAAGTGTCTTGGTTGATTAGAGCGGTGATCTGCTTCTTGGGAGTACTGTCGAGTTTCAGTTGCTGATCCAATAGCCCTCTTAGCCTTCTGGCAATGGACACATGCATAAATTGGGCTTCAGGATATGAGAGTACCGTGATCATGAGCTTTTCTTAGAGATAGTAATATACATTCACACCTTATAACTTTCTAAATGTCGTCATGAAATGTCACTGGAATATTAAAATTTTGTTAGAATCTGGAACCTGAGATGAATAGTAGCTGATTTTCAGCTTAATCCAGATATGAAGAGGTAGGAGAACTTAGTTCGGTTCTTGATTTTATTCCGCTGTTCTCTATCGTTTTTCTGTTCTCTATTTTATTTCCTTGTCCTGTCATGTTGGCTTCATTCGTGTGGTTTTGTTGCATTTGGAGTTGATGTGATGCTGTCAAACGTCCCAGTGAACGAGGACAGCCTAACCTAGGGTAAACAGACTAATCGAGAAAATGGCGGACTTTTTCCTGTTCAATTGACAAAAGAAAAATTTCTTCATGATTCATTCAACTACGTAGAGGAACAATAAGCAAAAAGAAAAGAAAAATTGTCCCGTTGTGGAGTATTTCTGTTCTTTCAACAGACCCAGTCCAGATATAAAAATTTGGGTCCCTTTTTTAATTCTTTTGTGTTAAAAAAAAATCGCAGATGAACGTGAGAAATAAAATCCACCGAACACCGCAGATTATGGCAATAAACGCACACACACACGGAACATACACAAGAAACACCACATCCTCCCCGGCACGCCCCTCCACAACACAACCAGCAATAACCCCCCCCGGCCCCCAATTGCAAATCGTTTACCGATTGCTCTTGGCCACACGCTCCAGCTCGTCCTTCTTCTTGATGGCGTACGAGTTCGAGCTTCCCTTGGCGGCGTTGATCAGCTCTTCGGCAAGGCACTCAGCGATGCTCTTGACGTTGCGGAAAGCGGCCTCACGGGCACCAATGGTCAGGAGGGCAATGGCCTGGTTGACGCGGCGGAGAGGGGAGACGTCGACGGCCTGGCGACGGACGGTACCGGCGGAGCCAATTCTGGTGCTGTCTTCTCTGGGTCCGCAGTTGACGATGGCGTCGACAGCGACTTGGATGGGGTTTTGGTCGGTCATGATGTGGATCTATAGAGTAAACAAAAAAATTGGACCCGGTTAGAACTCAGATAACTCCCTCGATCAATTGTTTGATGTTCTTCTTTTGCTCCAATTACTCAGAGAAGGTGAGTTAGGGGTAGGATGTAATATCTTGCACGTACGATTTCGAAAGTGTGGGCAACAATGCGGACAGCCATGAGCTTCTTTCCGTTGTTACGGCCGTTCATCATCAGAGAGTTGGTGAGTCGCTCAATAATGGGGCATTGAGCCTTTCGGAATCGCTTGACAGCATATCGTCCGGCGGAGTGGGAGATGTAGACGGGCTGGCGGATTTGGATGTAGTCGCTGTATCGAGAGTTCCAGAAGTCAGCGCGCCTATACCACCAAATAGAAACAGAAACCAATTTGAACAATCGATAGCCCTGCGCATCCGTCATCCTCCCTCCCCCCGCCCTGCTTTCCTCCTATATCGATTGTTGACATTTTCATACTGTTCATCCCCAGCCAATACCGCGCATGCCACACCACACCTGTAACACCGCCCGCTCTCTTGAACAGAACTGAAATCACCGAAAAAATACAAGACTTCACACAAGTGCAGATGCAAAGCACACATACGTCAAAGACATATCCCGGACCTCAATATCCTCATAGCTCCATTTGTTGAAGAGCTTGACGCTGCCGATTTCAGCGGCAACTTCCTTAGGCAGGACTTGGTACCCCATGGGGCTTTCGACCTCGACTTCCCCGCTGTCGGACATGTTTTCGTTGTGTGGGTTTGGACGCCGTTGAACAACCTGGACGAGGGAAGGGGACGAAAGGGTGGGCGGGTGGAATTGTCGTCGTTGTCGTCGTCGTGTCGGCGTGTGTCGTCGTTCTCTTCGTCTTCCTCTTTTTTCCAAGGTCAGTGTTTGGTGAGGAATTTGAGGTGCGGGCTAAGCGAGGGTTAGTCAGCCATTTGTGGGCGATTTCTGAGGTTAGGGCTCTTGGAGGATAACGTTGTTGTGTTGTGTTGTAATCTAACTACGCGAGTTACACTAAATGAATAGGTTGGGGTGGCACGTGACTAGGGTAGGTGTAGTAATCACCAACACCCCCCCTTGCTACACCGTGGCCTATAAGCCGCCACCCGGGGCCTCCCCCATCCTCAAATCTTTCGAAAATGCAATAATAATTAATTACATCAATCGGACCCTGATTTCCTTATTAGGAAAGGCGTCCGTACAGTAATAACCATAAAAATCAAGAAATACATGCAAAATCCATTGATCCGCTGTATCATCATTACCATTCAATCATTCCTTTCTGATCTCTTTCAAACCAATCCTTTTGACAAAATCTTCAAACGCAGGCTTCGCCAGTGGCTTGGTGAGCCCATCAGCTATGTTCGCTGTAGAACCAACATGTTCCATCATGATTTCCCCTTTTTCAACCAAATCGCGGAGAATATGATATCTAATCTCAATGTGGCGTGACCTTCGCGTTAAGGATTCCCCCTTTGCTAGATCAATTGCTCCCTTATTGTCAACTCATAGGTGCGAGCATATTTTCGCTTTTCCATCATCCATCAACCCGGCGTCATATAACATGTCATTCAACCAGATTACCTCACAAGCTGTCTCACTAGCTGCAATATATTCGGCTTCTGTGGTTGATTTGGCAATAGATGTCTGTCTCTGCGAACGCCATGAGATCGGTGACCCATTAATCAATATAACATAGCCGGTAGTCGATTTGTATTGGGGATCCGCCCCCGCCCAGTCCGAATCACAGTATGCCACAGGACTCAGGCCATCTTCTATCTCCTTCTTGTACAATATGCCATGATTTTTCGTCTTCTTGACATAACGTAGGACATGCTTCAACGCTGCCCAACATGCCTTGTGCGGACGTGAGTTAAAACGCGAGAGATAGTTGACCGCGAATGCCAGGTCTGGCCGGCTGCTTGAGACCAAATACTGCAATGATCCCAATCCTTGACGATATCTTGTAGCTGTAAAGTCGTCATCCAATCCACCATCCTCATCAGGTGAAAACTCCAGTCGTATGCCCGCCACCATTGGGGTCCCCGCAGGATTCACCTTGTCCATGCCGAAATCTTCAAGAATCTCCTCAATATAACGGCTCTGTGTAACCACTAGATCGCCATTCCTCTGGCGTTTGACCTCCATTCCAAGATATGGCTTGGTCTCTTCGACATCCTTTGTCTCAAATCTCTTTGCGATCTCTCCCAATACCCAGTCTAATTGCTGTTCTTGAGGCCCTGTCACCCGACAATCATTGACATGCAATGTCAGATAGATCTTGCGAACAGGGTGATATAGGAATCCACCATCATAAGGTGATATCTTGAATCCCAATGTGGTGAGGTGTTCCGTTGCTAGGAAATACCATACCCTCGCGGCTTGCTTCATTCCATATAGACTCTGGCGGAGTAGTCCCACCAAGCCCCCCCTGCCGTGCTTTACACCTGTGGGCAGTTGCATATAGATCATCTCATTCTGTGGTAGTATGCCATTCAAAAACGCGGATACATAGTCAATCGATTTGACCTTCCATCCTTTGGCAGTCGATATAGCGAATAGGCTGCGCGATGTAGGCCCTGATACCACTGCAGCATACGATCTCGTATAATGGATACCCTGCTGTTGCAAGAACCCCCTAACCACCCAGCGAGCTCTAAAGCAAATGGTTTCTCCCTTATTGTTGAATTTCCGATCATATACCCATTTGCCTGTAAGAATATCCATTTCCGGGGCCTTCTCAACAACAATATATGTCTTCTTCTGTTCAAATATCTTAACCTCCTTTTTCATTGCCTCATGCCAATAGTCCCAGTCTGGGCTTCTCTTGGCTTCCGCCAGCGTAGTTGGTCGGTCTGTCAGGACACTTAGAACAGAATCATCCTCATTAACAGAGTCTTCAGACTCTTCATCCATGACAAGCTGTGTCTCATCATCTAGAAGGTAGGTTGGATCAATTGCACCCTCTAAGTCCCCATTTGCAATCATCTTCAAAACATCTGGCTTTTCCTTTGCAAGGTGTCATAGTAAGCAGTGCTGCCATCCCTCTCTGGCATCCAGAATGTCCAATTCATTAGGCAATTCATTGGATTCCCTCACCATATTTACAGGTGTATTTGCACCCATGTCAAGAGCTTCATCAAATATGACATCTCGTGCAATCTCAAGACGACGTGCAACAGGATCCCACACACGATATTGGTGTAATCCTTGGTATCCAACCAGCTGCCATTCCTTGCCGTCAGTCCTATCCGCGAGCTTATTCGACACTTTCAAATCCTTCTTGTAGACCTTGCACCCCCATCTCCGTATCCAATGGACAGAAGGTTGCACCCCAGTCCACGCTTCAAAAGGTGTAAGTGGTGTTCCTTCCTTGCATCCAAATATCTTTGTTGATGTTGGGGATGTATTGATCATCATGATCGCGGCTTGCATTGCTTCACCCCAAAGTTCTCTTTCTAATCCACTATCAAATAGTAGGCTTCACATCTTTTCTGCAACTATTCGATTCGCGCGTTCCACTGGGCCATTCGATTGTGGTGTGTCAGGTGTAGTCATTTCATATGCTATTCCTTTGCTCTGGCAGTAGGTCTTAAGTTCTTGACTTTTGAACTCTCCTCCACCATCCCAGTGTAGGGTTCCAACTCAACATTGCATAGTTGCCTCAATACCCGTGATGAAATTCATTAATCTTGCAGTAGATTCTCCCTTTCCCATCATAAGGATTGCCCACCTATAACAGGTTGCATCGTCCGTTATACCCAACCAGTAGCTTGCACCCCCCCTAGTGGGAGTGTCATTCCCGTCGAAAAGTGTTTTTCCACCCCCTGCCAGATCGATGAAGAATCTCATTGCCGGCTTGACAGCTCGTGTCATAGGTGCGAAGGTCGGACATGTCATTTTTGCTTGGACACAGACCTTGCAAAACAGTAAAGCTCGTTGACCTATAATTCTCATTCCCAGGCGTGGATCCGCCGCCATTTTCGTGATATCCGCGGGATTCAGATGCCCTAGCTTTTGATGCCATTGCATCATTGTAAGTTCCATAACCTTTGTATCATTCTTGTCAGGTAGTGCCAATATTGCATCATTACCCTTTGTTCGCAGTGTATTCACAGGTTCAAAATCACCATTGAGCATAGCGAATCGGATCAAGTCTCTGTATGTGACTGGCTTTTCTATCTCATAGATATCTCTGTCATTCAATCTTGCAGTAAACAAGAACATCCTATCAGGAGACATAAGCAATATGGCGTGATTATTTCCATATGCCAGTTGTTTGAAGGTATAACCTTGACGTACGAGCTTACCCATGCTCATAAGGTTCACTTCCAATTTTGAAACATAACGGACGCCGCTTAGCAGCATATCCGCTCCTTCAACAGGTATCTTGGTATCCCCTATAGCCATAGCTGAGACTACTGTTCCGTCTGCCATTTCCAACATCACTTTCACCTTCTGAGGTTTTGCCACGACAAGATCCCTGTGGGGTGTGGCGTGGGCGCCCGATCCAGAGTCTAGGATCCAGGTATCTTTTCCTGTCTGGCCACTCACATAGGCCTTTTCTTTGATGCAAAATACTTGCTCCATGACGTTGTGAACAGGAGCAGCACCTGTATTCTCCGCATCCTTGTCTTTATCCTTGTTCCTATTGGTGTTGGAATTCGAATTCGAAGGACGTTTCTCAGGGTATTTCTTCCAACAGTCAGTCTGGATATGACCAACCTTTTGACAATGGTAGCAGGTCCTCGCATCATTACCCCTACGTTCAGATTTGGATTCAGTGTCCTTGTCCTTGTCATTGTCTTTCTCTTTGTCCTTGCCTTTCTTATCCTTATCTTGCGCGTTGTTGGTAGGATTTCTAGACACATCAGTATTTGCTTCATTCACAGCAGGGAGCCGCAAAAGAATATCACAGCACAGGCCCATAAAATCGTCCTCTAAGGGTTGGGTATTATCTTTGTCAATTTGATCCATTCAATTCCTTATGAATGAGGCCCAACCTCTGTTGACTCCTGTAAGCAGTCTGTCGAAAAACACGACATCCGGGATCTCATATCCTAGACAGATATAATCAGTCCTTATGGCAATCAGATGTTCAATGAAAGCTCTGTCAGATCCTTTGCTTTTGAAGGTCATTTCAATAAGCTCTTCAAACAAACAAGTCCTGCGTACAGCAGGCCTCTCGGAAAAGTTATCCTCTATGATAGTCCATAGAGCATAAGCTGATAATTTGGACTCCTTGAGTATAGTGAAATGGGCCTTGGCCTGCGGGGCAATTGCAGACCACATGTAATTGTATAACCAAAGATTGCATTCTTTCCAGAAACATTGCATGTCCATGGTGGCATTCTCACCAAGGCCATTACCTTCAAGGATATCATCAGTTTCAGACTGTTCTGCAGCCAAAAGGATTTCCTCTCTCCACATTGAGTAGTTAATGAATCCAGTGAGGACTATTGGTCTTTTGATGAGTCTTACTTGGCTCCTGAATTCTTCAAGGACTTTCATTATGACAGATGTCTTCCCTTTCTGTTGGAGGTATTCTGCCAGGTCTGCTCCCATCTCATCACCTGCAGGGTCACCCCTACTGGTCTTCATCCGCTCAACCTCATGCTGAAGTCTTGCAATTTCAAGCCTCATACAAGTCTCCTCGCTCGCTGAGCCATTGTCGTTCCGGCCACTTGGGCCCCCCGCATTGTCTGACATCTCACTGATGCCTTCAACCGGGTCTTCGTATTCGTTGGACTCGTCAGACTGTTCCTCTGCAATGGTTTCGTCCGGCTCAAATGCCCCTGGGGCAGTCACTTTTCGATTCGTTGCAGGTGTTGGTAAACCCACGCCCAATCCTTCTTGTGCTTCAGGTGTTTGTGGATTTCTTCTCCTACGCGTTGGCACGTAATCCTTCGTTAAGTCAGGCTTTCCACCCGATCTCAGGTTCACCATGGGTTCAATTAATCAATAAAAGACATCTAGGCACGCGTAACGATACGTGGAGACGTCAATTTAGCACGTTGTTGCGGTTATTCGTTGCTTGCGAAGGGCTTCATAACCTCTTGGAGGATAACGTTGTTGTGTTGTGTTGTAATCTAACTACGCGAGTTACACTAAATGAATAGGTTGGGGTGGCACGTGACTAGGGTAGGTGTAGTAATCACCAACAAGGGCAGCAATCACGTGTGTCTTCTTGGCAATTCTAGTCCCGTCCGATAAATGTCTTGGCATTGCATCTGAAGTCTATTTTACCATGTCCTCTTCATTATTGAGTATCTACGTCTATCTATATTATTTACTATGGCTCAAGCGCAACAGGGCAATCGGGAACCCCCTCCTTCCACACCATCTCCGCATATTTCATCAGAACCATATCGGCCGTAAAATCCGGTTGGGTATAAAGCTGCAAATCTTCCGCTGTATAACTGCCACCCGCCTGATTCACCGCCGGTAGCACGTAATTTTTCCCGATAAAACTGACAAATACTAGATCGACGTTCTCAGGCTCACTGCCGTCCGTAGGGAATGATGCATTCGCTTGAACATCATTTGGCTGCGGGAAATGGGGGATCATGGAGTGCGGCGTGTCATCGCCGTCCGTACCAAAGTCATCGGTCGTGGTATAGCCGGGGTAGATTTGAGTCTCGTCTTGTCGATGGCGAGTGATGGATCGTGGCTTGAGCAGATCTCTTCTCATTTGCCTCGACGTGATCAACGGGGGATCAACACAGGATTCGCGGGCTGCTAGCATCGAGCTCGAGTATGTGTCCACTTCTGGATTGTCGCTGCGCTTTTTCTGGAAGGGCCCTGCATTTAAGATATCCAGGACCTGTTTTGCCTGCGTGTATGGTACTTCGGGGATGAACTGGAACGAATTTTTGAATGGGCTGGTTATATAGGCGTCATCCAATGTAAACGGGCCTTTGATCAGGTCGAATCGTATGGACCCCGTGTTCGTAAGGATCAGACGTGGCTTATCAGCCCGCGACGGGTTGACAACAGTGGCAGCTAAGGCTTCTTCAAGAACCTTAAAGATATTTCCATCCTCGCCAAACGGTTTACAAGTGGCACAGTATGTCTTGGGCACACATGCAAGAACTGTAGATAGGTTATTGGCCTTGCGGAATTCAGTGATATCGCCTGTCACCCATTTCCCGAGATGAGTATCAAACTTGAGGTCTTGCGAACCAGCCGCGTGATACGCAAATGTGAGGCGATTCCAGTCTAAATACCGGCGAGAATACAGCATGCTTTGCTCTCCTTCCGGGCAACTATGTTTAGGAACCTGGCTCCATGCCGATTTCTTTACAATGGCTTTCCTTGAAGGGTTTGGTACGCCATGAGGCTTCATGCTGCCCTTGAAAGTAGGCGACTTTATTCCAGACATGGAGAGCCAGCCGACGGTTTCACAGTATCGACCCGACGCAAGGCCAGTTGAAGTCTCATCCCACACAACAAAGTCCCGAACATGTGCATGACCCCCGAATATTTGGATGGGCTTATCAGGTCGCATACCGCGGATGGCCTGCTGGATGGTTGTAAGGGTGCTGCTGGGTTCGGTGTTTCTGACAGGATTGTGACCAATCACTACGAACAGGTCGACGTCTTTAGTCATGACAGCCTCAGTAAACCACTTTTCTTTAATCATATCCTCGGCCTTGGTAATCCTAGACACGTTTGAATTCTTCTGAAAATTGAAAAGCACGCCAAAGGCCATGATTCTCAGCCCGTAAGTGGTGGTGAAGTGGCGGTACTTGTGTCCCAAATCTACAAATTCTCCTGTGGCATCGTTGAGAATCTGCACGTTGCTGGTTAGATACCTCGGCCCGTATACGCTTGAGAAGTTTGCAAATGTATCATATGCGACCTCTGTAACATAGAGCTCATGGTTCCCGACAGTGAGCAAATCGTAATCGATCTGGGAGAATATATCTGTTGAATAGGCGCCATTGGGGGTCGTTATATCGCTCAATTCATTGCCATCATGCAGGTCCCCTAGAACCAGAATCGGAGCCACGTTTAGATCCCGCTTTCAACTAAGCACTCGTATCAAACAGCAACAAAAACCAGCATTGACGCATATAATAACTGAACAGAGGGAAAGGGGATCAACAGAGATAAACGCACCAGTATCAACCACCAACAAATCAACTTTCAAGTCATGCGCCTTTTTCCGCATGTTCCTAATGAAGGAGACAAAGTCCCCCCAGTCCGCTCCATAGTTCTGTTCCTTCAGATGGCCGGCCAACCAGCCATGGGTGTCCGTCGTATGGATGAAATTAATCTGACCCCATTCGAGAGGACCCTTGGGCTTCGTCATCGCATTCAACGCTTCTGGCTGCATGCGACGGACCAATCTCTTATGGACATTGTAATCCGAGGGTCCATAGCAGGAGTCGCAGGCCCAAATGGGCGCTGCAATCCATGTTATTTGCAAGCCGAGGAGGGATAGAAGAGCCGTCAACATTTTTTCCTTTTCGAAGAATGAGGTTTATTGAGCGCTACAATGGAAAAGAGTGGGATTGTAGAGTCAATCCCCTTCACAGCCCTGTTAAAGACAACAACATGGAAAAAAGAAGTGTCAAAGCCCACTGATGAAATACAGCTTGCGTAGCTTATTCGAGTCCTATATTTCAGCCGCTGTTAAACGGCAATTAGGTAGGTTGTGACCCCAACCAGGCATGGCTAGATGACATGCACTATACTGTCGATCAGTGACTCAACTTTTCAACAAAAAAAAAAAGAGCTGAAAGCTCCCATTCAGGGCTAAATGCAGCAGTTCACGTGCGAGGATCTGAGGTTTGCAGTGATAATTCTGCTCTTGGTGCATTCTTTTGTAGCAGATCTTTGGCCTGCGACCACCCACGTGAAGTTATGGTTGGATAAGCGCAGCAGTCCACTTTGATGCTGGCATGGTTTGGTGGGGACATAGTTACTACGCGGGCGGGTTCCAGTTGATTGCAGTGCGTGCCAACGCAGGCCAGAAAATAACTCAGTGTGGTTCCAACCCAATTTCAACTGCACTTCTGGTGTTTGGAGGTTCTGCCTCCTGCGTTGCGCTATGTATTCTTCTGTCAAATCAGGGGTTCTACCTGATCGTAAATTGACCACGAGGTTCAAATATACTAATTAAGAGATGTCTAAGCACGTAATATTGAATGCGGAGATGTAATTAGAACATTGACATTGATCAGCAGTCTTGTTGCTTATAATAAATAATACTACTAAGGCCTTCACAACCATCAATGTTGTGTTTATTATATAACTATAGTTAACTTACTTAATCTAGCTAGCGAGGGTTTCTATAATGTGGGACACCTGACTAAACTAACTTTACTAGATGCTTTAGACATATTCAGCTACAACTCTCTCATAATATTGATTTTTCATATTTTTTGAGATTCCAACTCATTCTAGCTCTTTCTAATATTAATTCCAGCTTTTAACCCTCTAGTCCACACCTCTACACTAAGAAACTGGGTGTTGGGTGGGGTGGAGTCTTAGGAGAGATGTATGTATGTAACTTAACTACTTTTTTTCAATGAGGTAAGTTAATAGTATTGCCATGGATCCAGACCAGGCACAGCCAGGCACTGCTAGCAGAGTTAAACTAGTAGTTAAGTTAGTTAGGGCCTGTTCGGTGCGGTCCGTGTGTACTCGTTCTTTTTGTACGGATCTCCACTTTTTTTAAAAAGTACGGCCCCAATATCATGACTGTTCGGTGGGCAGAGTGTCTGTACTAATAATACAGCTGCTTTTTACAAAGTACAGATGAAAATGGCCAGGTGTTCAGTGGATTGAGCGGCCGTACTTGCATCTCTTGCCAAGATCTTATGAATAAGCAGTATTTAACTTCAACAGTGTGTGATAGTGTAGAATAGCACTTTTAGAGACAATATAGTGTAGAATAGTGTAGAATAGTGTTCATAGTGGAGATAGTTAACTAATATTGATTAGAAGGAAGCTCACAAAAACACATTCTTTTTGAACTGACTCTGGACTTCATTCAAAAAGAATGTGTTTTTTTGAGCTTTCTTTCTTCATTCTAAGAGTAGTGAGTAAGATAAAATAGTGTGATGACACAACATCAGCTTGCTACTAATAATTGATAAATACACTATTTTTAATGAGATCCACTATTGTGTTCAAAAAGTACAGATGCACTGAACAGGCCCTTTAGTGTTTTTACTTCATTCTGCCAGTAATTCCATCCATGATTGGTTTGGACAAAGTTGTCTTGGCCAAAGGTGGATTTGTTACATCTAGACGAGCGCGGCTGTTCATCAGATAGATGTCTTACTCATGAATGTTGCTGCTGCTGCTGCTGCCATTGCTGCTACCTACAGGCGTTGTCCAATTCTTTTGGCTATCTTCTGTCCACTGTGTGCCCTATCTAAGCTTATCAGCGCTTCTGCACTGGGCGTTCAGTTAGAACATTCAATAACATTGTAGAGCAAGTCTCTATCCATGATTTTCAAATACATACTCTATAGATGATATGGCATGAGCTTTTCCACTTACCTTTTGGTAACACTTTTTCCTCCACCGCACCGCTATTTTATAAGTAGTTATAGCTTATGCGAACAATATCGCGTCTTTAGTGACAAAATGATTGCCTTGTATTCTCTGGATACATAGCAGGATTAGAGCCATACGTTGTAGTTAAGCGCCATTCATATAATAGCAAAGAGCTCCCAAAGCCATTAACTATTTATTCATCACCCTCTGGGACAGCGCCTGCGTTGTTTCAGCACAGGAGATAAACGCAGGAGGAGTACAGAGGAGTGGTCATATTTGTGCAGATCTGACAGGAAAAGTGGAGAGAAACGTTCCAAGTTGAGTTGGAGAAAGGATCTATCAGCTGTGTCGGGGGCCAGTCGGTGGAAGGATATCTATCGCTTGGATAAAAGATTGTTGAGCTAACTAAATGGTCATAGGTTTACTAATTACTCTGTGATGATCTCACCAGCTGTCAGAAGATGTTTTCCATCTTCATTTTATTCGATTAACCGCCGGGTCCCCAGCCCCCCCTACACCGTACACAGGAAGCAGTCCCCCAATCAGGGCTGCGTCGCTTGCCGCATGCATTGAGTTACTTTAAAGAATGGTGTTGAATGGAATTAAAACTGCCAAGATCATGACTTTGAAAACAGATAAATACATAAAATAAATACATAAATCTGCTATCAGATCGAACCGTTCCGACACGAAATGCGGATCGATGAGATTTTTCAAAGCTAAATTCTTAGCCCCTGGAGCCCCGGAACCAAACCAATTGTGGCGTCTGGACGGGTTTAATGTTTGCTTAAATAATGCCAAATAAGAGACTTTTACACATGCCTTTACTAGCCCCACTACTACTCCTGTATAGACTGGCCGGCGGGAACGATGAATTACACATTTGGTCCCATTTGGTCTGGTCCCATACATTTCTTGATGTGAGTCTCACCAGGACCTAGCATCAAGAAAATCTGAAAATGAATCATTTTCTTCAGAAATGATGTGAAAAATGATCAGATTTAATCTCTCTATTTATCAAAGAAAAACCAACTTTTCCATGCAAAAAACACTGTAATGCTGTAACTAATGGGGACGGGGGGGTGTGTGCTTCTGGCGGCACAAGAACAGGAGCAGCGGAACCACAATAATAATAACCACAAATAAGAACCACAAGAATAGAAATACACACAAGAATAATCACTTAATTGAACACATAGGAAAATACCACACACACAAATCATCACTTGAACACTTAACACTTGGAGAGATGTTGATTGTATTCTCTTTCTTGATGGATCGCGCGGCGGAGGTCGGATATATATATGCAGAGAAGCCCGGCGAAGGGTTGTTCCAATCCGAGATCGCTCTGAGACCGAGATTCTCACTACACTATTCTATCTCTAGATTGATTGGTCTGAACACTTTTCATGTGTGGAAATGCCAGTTCCACGACTCCACGACTCCACGACTCCACGACTCCACGACTCCACGACTTCTCGATATGCGTGCCGACGAACGCGCGACTTGGAAAGACGGGAGAACCTTGAAGCGGATCTAGAGGGCGGGCGACTTGGTGGTCTTTCGTGGTCACCCGTCTTCCATTACAACTGCGAAAGACGACGGAATCAGGACAAGATTGAAACTCATTGGAAGCGTTAATGTTCGCCACCAACGCGAGCATAGCTTATAAGTAAATACAACTCTTCCCACCCATACATATATCGGGCCTGAAGTCATTGGCTGTTGAGAAGCGATACACGAATATGGCACAACGGAGCATGTATCCGGAGCGACAAGCACTAATGTTCACCACCAATCCGAGCATTCGCAGTGCAGTATCTTGGTCTCATTGCATTCATGGTGCATCCTGCGACTGGTGAAAAATGCGATGCGTTGATTCCTATTGCTTTATTGGACGCTGGACACCGCATACGCCGATAGTTCTCAGGGAAATACATGTTCCAGTCTGCGCACAGGCACCTTCTTTACGTGAGACTCACGGCGGCGTGCCATAGAAACACCTCTAGGATTGTCTATATAAGATCACTCCGCTTTGTTCTACTTCCTGAATGTCTTCCAATCTAAAACAACTTACCTCGATTCTCTAGTTTCTATTCCACTGCTACCGTTATATCTTAATCTACATATAAGCTCCCTTCAAGGTCGTTAGTTCCGACCTACTAAATTCAATCCTTTTTTCAACCGGCGGTTTCCACAGATTGGTCCAACGTCGATCTCAAGATATCATGGAACCCAACGGAATTTACGTCACTCTTTCCGTCAACGCGACGGAGTATCATTGGGGGATCTACGTCACCGGCGACGACCTGCGCCAGGGCGTTGCCGTTCACCACGCCGACAACAAGACAGGCGGTTGGTCTTACGAGCGCAAATATACCAACAATCTTGTTCGTTCAAAAATGTTAGCATTGGCACTGAGAGTCGGAACCGTTCCCCTGCCGCAGGGGCATGCCCAAATCGACCATATCTTGGGCGATCCGAGTATGATTTCGCAGGATTCGGGGTTTAGATGTAGAGCTTGGGCGATGGATGCTGTGGCACGGCTACATGATGCAGGCATTGTGAATGCACCAGATGTTTCAGAGGTGATGACCAAAGCATATGAAATTGCAAATGCAAATCGATCTAAGATAGAGCAAGGAATTTGTTGTTGCATCATTCTAGATGTATTGCCTTGGAGTTTTCTTTGTGATGTAGTGTTGTGCATGTACATGTACTTAGCTTGGATTTGCCTCGTTTTGTACACCTTTTACCCCAAGGCGTAGCCGCTACTGCTATAGCTTACGGACAAGTAAGCTACAAATACAGAGTGAAAACCTGTTGGAAAATATCGCGTATTTCGGACCGAATTTTTTACTGATCTTATTGTGCGTATCTTGTCTCTCAAACAAGTTCGCAACCAGATTTGCAGATTTACCTGCCTATGACCTCATGCGCTAAAGCTCTTATTCAATGCAACAAAACCTCGTGCTGGCTCTTCTTTCTGGTCTGAAATTGAGCAATTCAGACAAAAGAAATGGTTGCTACAAAAGATAAGAGAGTATGACGTGCTCAAGAAACTCTTTGAATTTTCAAAGTCTAAATCCCCACTTGTGGACCAACTGTTAAGAAACATAGGTTGGTGGTCGCTTAAGCACGCCACGGGCTTTAGAGACAAAGAAACACTCCATACAATAAGCAGGTCAGAAGGGACAGGTATGATCTCGGAGTATCTGTTCAGCTTTCAGTTCATCAGGGTATTCAGGAAATGCACTTTTCATTGTCTCCAACCAAAGTGTCCATACGCGCACAATATAACAGGCCTTGGTAAAATCCCAATACTCAGGATACCAACCTGCAAACTCCCAATCCACAAACCCAGATAATCTCCCATTGTGTATCAACACATTTGCCGGGTTGAGATCTGCATGTGCAAAGAAGACACGGTATGAGCGGGAATGCACATCTGTGACCATAGCTCTGTTAGTAGGGTCTGGAATTAGACCACACATATCCATCAGATGCTTGTTAAAATCTGTGATGTTGTCATAGGGTCCCGTGCTGCCGTCCTCATTGTTGATCCGACAATCCTGACACTCTCTGCCGAGTGAGCTGCAGATAAGGGGAGGATAGGGATTTGGGATGGACCGAATCTGCTCAATGTAATTCCCAAAATCGATACTGAACTGGTGCAGTTGGTCGGTGTTCAGTGTCTGGAGACATTTCCCAGCAATGTCGCCCTCAATGCGAGTAGTCAACAGCCAACCTTCCTTTTTTGCTGGCAACTCTATGAAATCCAAAACCCGCGGCGCGTTCACTGTTGTGTATTTTGCAACCATTTTGAGCGCATGTGCTTCATACTGGACACGAAGAAGCCGGGACCGTTTGAGATACAGGTTGAAGGGTAACCGTTGGACATCGCGGACATGGTAGGTCCCACTACCATAAAGGTGCCCGCCAATTTGGTAGGAGAAGGTGATAAAGAAGAAGACGGACGGATTGCGGGATTAGATGGTAGAGTCGAAGTAGCATCACGGGCAACTGCGGCAACACGCTGAAATCAGCAAGTCATGGTGGATTTTGAGTGCAAAGGAATACGCACCTATGCTATGTCACACCACTCCGGCCACGAACCCCCAGACTACTCCGTACTCACTCCATCGATCGACGATGAGATACACAGTCTATTCTGTACTCCGTGCACCTTCATCGGTGGTTAAGTCCTTGGCTGTTGAAATACGAAGGTAGCGCCGATGGCAAGTCAGGAGGGAAGTTTCGTGCGCAACCAATGGTAGGTCGGATTAGTTAGTTATCATCTTGACAAACTGTGCAAAATTGGCTTTACAAATGTGGCTGTGCACCTGTTCTCTGTAATTCGAAAGTCAAGCACATTCTACCACCTGATTATTTCTCTGGCTTTTCTTGTTAGATAAAGGAACCCAAGTTCTACATATAGATATATTCATGGGTTTGGTTATCGTCAAAGTAAATGAGGAATGATGCCTCAAAACTGATGCCCAGAACATCCCACTACACTAGTTACCTACTGAGGAAATATCAGTTAAGCTCAGCCATTCCGCGAAACAAGCGGCCTATCTTGCTTCAACCCCGCAAAAACGTTTGTGCGTCAGCCGCCGCGTGTTTCAGCCTCGAGGAGCGGGCTTGAGACAAACTCCGACCGCTTTGTCCCTGACACACGAGTTTCACCAACCCTATCTTCCCCCAAGTCGTGCGCACAACAACCGGCTGTGTTTCTCATCGACCTGGGCAGGCCGGTCCTCCGATGTCCTGAAATTCTGCTCCTGCTAATGCTCCATCAGTCAGTTCTCTGGGAGGTTTCGTTACTCTGACTGTTCCCTAGCCGCCAACTCGCCGCGATTATGGCTGAGGAGAACGCGGAGTTGCAGATCGCGCTGCGGCAGCTGGACCAGGAGTTGGAGGTGAGTACTACCGTGACATCCTGCAAGTTCTGGTTCCCATGACAGTGACTGATAAACATCCCGGGTTCCTTGTAGGACGGTGAGATCACTCAAAAAGGGTAAGCAAAATTTCCGTCGCTTCCATTCTTTCTGCCTATTCCCTCTTGTCTCTTCCTGCCCCCGGGGTCAGTGGTGCGCATGGTCCTAGCCGGTTAGACGCCGGTTAGACGCCGGTCGCTCTATGGCATTTGGTTTCAAAGACGACAAACAAGGAGGAGAAGTTAAAAGACAAGTGAGAACAAATGGAAGATGAAGAAGGGAGGGGGGGTTGGTTTGTCAAAGCTTTTTGGTTTGTAGCATCTAGTTGACGTTTTATGAAGATACGAAAAGCGTCGCACCCTAATTCTATCCCACTACCTATCCTCGAATAACAGCAAGCGCGCAGATAGAGGCTTGAGAATCGGGAGTCCAACAGTTGCTGGCCATCGGGTCTCTCAACTTGGTATATACTCCCCTCCATCGTCGTCGCAAGGCAGTCGTCCTGCCAGTTCGACTCTGTCAGATGAACGCCGCCATTCGGACTCCCTGCCTGCCAATTTTATTGGTAGAGAGCAGGAACGCATAGCCACGGACAGCATGAGTGCAAGAGATTCTATTGGGAGTGCTTCCCATTCGATGCAAAGCGGGAACCAGTTGGCGCAAATCCAGGAAAGAGAACTGGGTTTTTCGTTCCGATCTGAGAGGCAGCCGTCGTCGGCGTCCTATGATTCTCTTTTCCTCCCTAAAGGTCCCGGCCAGCCGGGGAATAACGACTCCTCCCGATCAGGCACCCTACGAAGCCACAATTACGCATTTAACCCAACCGATCAGCCCGACTATGGCGATCCGCATGCTAGTGTGTACGGCCCGCCAGGTAGTAGCGGAGGGCCTACGCGACAGTCTACCATGCTCGACTCACAGCAGGCGTTTTTCTCGGACTTCGCGGGCCAACAAAGTGAGGATCACAGAGACAGCTACGGCGGCGGCTACCACCGATACTCAAGCCAGACCCAAACCGAACCTTTTTCTCCAACCGCCAATATGGCGCCACCATTCATGAATGCAGTCGACATGTCGCATGGGCCAGTCGTCGATCACCTGTTGCCCCTCGAACCCCGAGATGTGACCTGTGAAGTCCATGATCCTCACAATCCTAATGTTTCTATGTCGCAGTTCGATAATTTACCCGCAGTCGTGCGGCATCGTGCACGGACTCATCCAAAACAGCCAGCTTACTGGGTACTGGATCAGCGCGGAAAGGAAATCGCGTCAATTACATGGGAAAAGCTGGGGAGTCGGGCGGAGAAAGTTGCGCAAGTCATACGTGACAAAAGCAGCTTGTATCGAGGAGATCGGGTGGCGCTCATATACCGAGACGCTGAGGTGATTGAGTTTGCCGTTGCGATTCTGGGTTGTTTTATTGCAGGGGTGGTGGCTGTCCCGATCAACAATCTTGAAGATTACGCTAACCTCAACGTTATCCTCACATCTACCCAGGCTCATCTCGCTTTGACTACTGAGAACAACCTTAAAAACTTCCAGAGAGATATCACAACCCAGAAGCTCACTTGGCCCAGAGGAGTGGAATGGTGGAAGACTAATGAGTTTGGAAGTTACCATCCAAAGAAGAAAGATGATACTCCTGCCCTTGTTGTTCCTGACTTAGCCTATATCGAGTTCTCAAGAGCTCCTACTGGCGATTTGCGCGGAGTTGTGATGAGCCACCGAACAATAATGCACCAGATGACTTGCCTTAGTGCGATAGTGGCATCTGCATCTCCTGATGGCACACGCCAGGCCAAACCGCATGGTGAAACCTTAATCAGTTATCTTGATCCCAGACAGAGCATAGGTATGATCCTGGGTGTTCTTCTTACGGTGTACGGTGGGCATACCACTGTCTGGCTAGAAGCTCGGGCTGTCGAGACACCTGGTCTCTACGCTAGTTTAATCACCAAATACAGGGCTACACTTATGGCAGCCGATTACCCAGGCTTGAAACGTGCTGCTTATAATTACCAGCAAGATCCAATGGCAACTAGGAATTTCAAGAAGGGCACTGAGCCGAATTTCTCCAGCCTAAAGCTCTGTCTGATCGATGCTCTCACCGTCGACCCTGAATTCCATGAGATTTTGGCCGACAGATGGCTGCGTCCTCTTCGCAATCCGCGTGCCAGAGAGTTAGTTGCTCCAATGCTCTGCCTGCCCGAACATGGTGGCATGGTTATAAGCGTTCGCGATTGGCTTGGTGGTGAGGAGCGAATGGGATGTCCTCTTACGCACGAGATGGACCCTGCAGGACCAGCTGAATCAAATGAAACAAAGAAGGAGGAGAAGACTGAAACGTCTAAGCCCGGGTTTGGAAGCAGTTTGATTGGTGGAACTGCTGTTCCGACCCAAAAGGAGTCTAAAAGTGCTAGAGCTGATTTGGATGAGGTTCTACTTGACAAGGAGGCTCTTAAGAATAACGAAGTTGTCGTGTTGGCGATGGGGGAGGAAGCGCGGAAGCAGGCTGAAACCATGCCTAATACTGTTCGAGTTGGTGCTTTTGGATACCCTCTTCCCGATGCCACGTTGGCTATCGTTGATCCGGAGACTGGATTACTTTGCACTCCGAACATCATTGGCGAGATCTGGGTCGACTCACCTTCACTTTCGGGCGGCTTTTGGGCGCTACCGAAACATACTGAGGCGATATTCCATGCTCGACCCTATCGATTCCAGGGTGGTAGCCCTACTCCCGTGGTTGTGGAGCCCGAATTTCTTCGCACTGGGCTTTTGGGATGTATTATCGAAGGCAAAATATTTGTTCTCGGCCTGTACGAAGACCGATTGCGCCAAAAGGTCGAGTGGGTTGAGCACGGAACAGAGGCTACAGAGCACCGCTATTTCTTCGTCCAACACCTGATTATCAGCATCATGAAGAATGTACCTAAAATCCACGACTGCTCGGCGTTCGATGTGTTTGTTAATGATGAGCATTTACCTGTCGTCCTTTTAGAATCTTACGCTGCTTCAACCGCACCGACCACCTCTGGAGGGCCGCCGAGACAACTAGACATAGCCCTCTTGGATTCGCTTGCTGAACGGTGTGCAGAGGTCCTGTACCAAGAGCATCACCTTCGGGTATTCTGCATCATGATCACTGCCCCGAACACGCTGCCACGAGTCACGAAGAACGGACGACAGGAAATTGGAAATATGTTATGCCGCAAAGAATTTGACAACGGTTCACTGCCGTGCGTCCATGTGAAGTTCGGCGTCGAAAGGTCTGTTTTGAACCTTCCCATCGGGGTTGATCCTGTAGGCGGAATATGGTCGCCCACGTCGTCGGCTGCTCGACAAGGTGCCCTTGTGATGCAGGACAAACAATACTCAGGCGTTGACTACCGAGATGTCGTGATGGACGACCGGACTTCTACCCCATTGAACAATTTCAACAGTATTGTTGACCTGCTGCAGTGGCGGGTTGCACAACAAGCGGAGGAACTTTCTTATTGTTCTATTGACGGGCGTGGTAGAGAGGGCAAGGGAATTACATGGAAGAAATTCGATACGAAGGTTGCAGGGGTTGCTATGTATCTGAAGAATAAGGTTAAACTCAAGCCTGGTGACCATGTCATTCTCATGTATACGCACTCTGAGGAGTTTGTTTACGCCGTCCATGCCTGTTTCTGTCTTGGCGTGGTTGCCCTACCAATGGCGCCTATCGACCAGAACCGCCTCTCAGAAGATGCTCCAGCATTCCTTCATCTAGTCGCCGACTTTCACGTCCGGGCAATTCTTGTCAATAGCGATGTAAACGATTTGTTGAAGCAAAAGGCAATTTCTCAACATATAAAACAGTCAGCCAATGTCCTTCGCATCAATCTTCCTTCCACGTACAATACGGGGAGGCCACCGAAGCAATCACACGGCTGCCGCCACCTTGGATTGACCATGAAACAGGAGTGGCTCCAGTCTGGCAAGCCGGCGATGGTTTGGACGTATTGGACCCCTGATCAAAGGAGAATGTCCGTCCATATTGGACATGATACAATTATGGGAATGTGTAAGGTGCAGAAGGAAACTTGCCAAATGACGAGCTCTCGCCCAGTGTTAGGTAGTGTCCGTAGTACGATAGGTCTCGGCTTCATACACACCTGTTTGATGGGGGTTTATGTCGGTAAGTTTTCCTCCTACGTTTGAGCTTACTTTTTCGTTCTTATCGCAATAATACCAATAAGGAGTTAAACTGACGGTGTAATGGATAGGTGCTCCGACTTACCTCTTCTCCCCCGTTGATTATGCCACTAATCCAATCTCCCTTTTCCTTGCATT